CACATAACCGCGACAGCCGGTATATTCTTGAGTCCACCAAATTTTTGGGTTATTGCTCCAAATCTTTTGCGTCTTTTAGTTCAAGATTCTCTTCGATCGGACATTCCGTTTTCGAAATTAACGGTTTTACCACAAATTCGACCTAACCAAATATCGATTCCGCTTGGTGTGAACACCTCGTGTTTACGATAACGAGCGATATTAAAAAGAAATGGCGAATCGACAAAGCAACGTGCAAGGAATACGAAATTATTGCGTCAAGATTATCATATATTTACAAAATACAATAAATCCGATCGAACCAAATATCGATTCGATTTTTGGGGCAGGGCCCACATTGATCCGTTCAATTAAACGACGTCATTTCGATAACACCCTGTATATTTACGATACCGAGCTTTGGTGGGTCTGATGATGGGCGCCTTAGTACCGTGTTCCGAAACCGGCAAACTTCGGCTATAATTCCGGGCGTTAATGTCGCCGCCGACAGCGGGCGGAGGCGGCGAGCAAAAAAAAAAAGACGCCGTAAAAATCGGTCGTCGTCGTCCTCGTCGCGGTCGTTTTCCCCGGGAAAACGACTCGGATTTCGACGGCCTCTCGAGGGACCGCCATTTTCCGCATGACGAGCGACGGCGACGAAGGCGGAAAAAAAAGGGGAACGTATCGCTAACGAGTAGAGCCGGGGGGGACCCCCCGCGGCCGCCCTCGTCGTCGAAATTGATTAGTCCCTTGTTCCCCGAGAGCTCCGGGGGACCCCGTGTCGTGCCACCGTCCCCGGGGTTAGATAAGGACGACGGAGTACTACAAGTTCGGACGGAGAGAACGCGGAGGATGCTGGGACGCGCGTCAATCCCGCCTAAAAGCAAGATTCGCCCGGGCAGATCAAGATATCACGTGATACCATTCTGAAAATATTGAAACAATTAAACATCAATTTCCAGCATTACAATAATAATAATAAAAATAAACTGTCTTTGTTGAAAATCAAAATAATACAACAGTAGTAAAATCAGTTTCCGCACTGCATCAATGTTTTTTTGGACAACCACCGATTTTTGACGACCTTCACGAAATTCATCCTTAAGAAAACTACGACTACGACTGAAGTCCGAAAACCAGCGACAAACAGCAGTCCTAGATGGTGCTTTAAGTTAAGTCGAATTAAGTTTATCGTTGTTGAGTTAGTCCACGTTTAAAGTTGTAAAAAAAGTTCCATTTTTAACCGTCACAATTTTTTTAATTTATCACAAAAAACACAAACGATAATTTTTCGCCAAAACCTGAATAATATGCAGCCCTCGTATAACACATCAAAATAGATCATGCACCAAAGTAGCCGGTACCTCGCCCACCCTGTATGATAGACGAAAACGATAAATGCAAAAAACGCCACATCATATCATAAACTCATACGGGCCTAATAAACAATATTAACGCTTTTTTGAAGGACTTTATTGTCTGGAGGGACGTTATAGTACATGGTACGTGATTAAATAATTTAACTGCGTTGTAGTTCAAAGATCTCTGGAAAGTTACCTTAAACAATGACGGGTGTCCCGATTATGAATGTCATTTCCTCTGCAAAGTTTACGAAACAAGTACGACGGGGTCTTGTTGGAGTAAAAAAACAAAGGTGACTAACTGAACCTTATATTGGTCCTCCAACTTGAACCGACCCGAACCAGCGAGGCACTGCGAAATATGGTCATACTTTCTGAGATTTTAACTAAAACTAAGCGACATGGGATAAAACTAACATATCACCGAGTTTAAGTTTGACTTCTTTACTGAGAAAATGTTTGTGAATATACAATGTCCTCAACTTATAGAATGGTTTTTGTAGCACCGAGCCAACGTGCTTAGAAAACCGTCAAACCAAAATCCTAAATTTTTGCACCTGTCTTGTTAACAAGGAAAGTGATATGATCGACTAAATGCCGGAGTAGTCAATCGAATCAGTTTTATGTCTTATTTATTATTATTATTATTATTATTTTTATATTTATTATATTGTCTGAGCCGTGAGCATTAGAATTAATACTAATTAAACTTCCTCAGGGCCAAACGGAATGAATTAGGATCAAACAGCTCCAAAAGAATTAAAAGCAACATTAAAACTAATGGGGTAGCTTAAATTAGCCACCGATCTAGCGTTCATTAAACAATCGCTCCGCTGCGCTCCGCTCCGCTCGTGTCAAATAAACTCGTGAGTCAAATGCCGTTTACCGCACTTGTTGCATAATAGACTATTATTAAAGTGGTAACGCAAAAATGTCTCAATATGCAAGTTGCTTTAAAGGTAAATCTCCATAACAAATCTTGTTATAAGGATCTTCTGTTATTACGGTATCCCGCAATCCCAATAAAATCATTTAAAAACAATTATAAAATGAATTTCGCTCAAGCATATTTTTTTGGGGAAACTTCCACAAGCTACCGTAATGCTTGTTGCAAAACTCATGGATTTCTTCTGCGTCGGTTTTTGTTGCATCCAACTTGCTTTTTCAGAGCTTAATTGAAACAGTTTCACCTGAGTTCTAAAGAAACCAACACGAAGCCTTTAAAAATGTTCCATTAATCAGTCTCATCGACTACTTAAGGCACTTTAATAAAATATATCAGTTTCTAAGGCATATTGATGACCTTGGCTAGCTTTATTCGACTACTTGCGCTTAAAGGAAATAACAATAAAGAAAATATGTAACTATTTGGTCGAATAACAAAACTTATGTGCTATTTGGGAGTGGAAACATCTTTTAACCCCTCCGTATAGGAAAGCAGTAAAGTATACTTCGACCAGAAATATAGTGCTTTTACCACCGAGCCCTCGATTAACTTTGCCTACTGTTTATTACTCCAAAACCGCAATACCTTATAGAACACCCTGCCAAGCAGACCCTTGCTCGTAACCATTCCAGAAATTCTATTTCATTACATTTCTACATAGTATCATTATAATGTAAGATTCTAATAAATATTTATCTGTATATAATCTATAGTCGTAAAAAAGAATGTTGTTGTTTACAAATCGAAGAACTATGTAGAAGACACAAAAATACAAAAGAAGAATGTTGTTAATCGACAGGCACACAAGAATAAAATGATCATTTTCAAACTCAGCTCTAAGATGAATAGAGCACAGCTACTTACCGTTATTCTTAACAGTTGTGACATTTAGTTTATACAGCATTTAATAGAATTTAACATTTTACTTAAAATTTAATTTTACTTTTGGGCTTTTATACATAATATTTAATTTAGCCTAAAAAAACATAGAAATAAATGCAGAAAAGTAGAGCATTTTTTTATGAATGTATGTAACATTCGCATTAAATCAGATAAAGGCTGGCCAACTTTAAAATGGAATTAAATATTTAATTAAATTTTCGTGTAAACGCTACCATTAAATTTCAATGCACCTGTACCAATAAACTCACCTTAAGAATGACGGTACATTACTATTTCTACTTCAGCTTATGCAGTCATAAATATAAAAACCTTTCGCTTCCCATTCTAGATAAACTAAGGACGGAGTTTTTAGCCGTTACTTGAAGTTTCTTCAGAAAACAGAAAGATTGGCCTGTGATATTATTATCAAGATTTAAAGTCATCCTCAAAATCTGAGGAGCGACCACGAATACGGCTCCCATTTTTCAAGGTCTCCTTAACATCATGATTTTCAATCTGAGGAAATGTTAAGCTTAGTTTATGCTTAGACCACTATTGAAAAAGTAGAATTAGACCTCGATATATCCTTTTAGATCGACAAATAAAGAGCCAAGTGTTTTATAAATTGCTCGAGGTCCAAAGTTGGTGGTGCCTCCGAGTGCTTTCGATCTAACCGCAACCACGCATAATTTGAGAGTGGCGCTTTTTATCTTTAAGCAGGGGCGGTTTTCGTTCGTCATCGTCAATTGATGCGGCGGTTTCAGTCCAGTTGGCCCGAGCCCGGAGTAACATTAAGCAGCCGGCAGGCAGGCACATCGTAGCCGTTTCTCGCAGCAGCAGGCGGTGGCAGGCCGCCTCCGATCGTTCGGACCCTTTGTGAAATGCCGCCACCGAAGCGAAATCTACCGATGGAACTCTTCTGACCCCCGTAGCGCTGTTAACACGTTCGATGTTTAACGTATCGCAAATTTGAATTCTCGAAATACCATTCGAAACTTGGGCGAGAAAAAAAAACAGAACTTTGACAGCTGAAAGAAGTTTCTATCGTTCTATGGTTGATATGTTTTTGTTTTTTTTTTAATATGATCTGCATTTCTTTTAAAAATGATACTTTGTTGTCCGGGTAAAATGGACCTTTAAAAATTTCTAAAAAAGGCTAATCAGTAACTATTTCTGTTGTTAAATACTTTTTAACAAATAATTATAATTATTATATATAACATTATAAATAGGTTCGAAAATTTGGGTAAATTTAGTTAAAGTTAATCAAATATAAATCGACTTAATGGTTAAAAGCCACAAAAAATAATAAAAAGTCACTATACAGAGTGTTTTCGAATCTAATGTCAATCGTTTCTAAGGAAATTTAATTTCTTGATTTTTTTCAATAGGACGTACGGTTTTCACTCAAAAAAATAAAAACCTCTTCTCTACCGGGTTTAGTTTTTGTTTTTAAGTGCAAAAGTAATAATACCTGAATATATTTTAATATGTTTGGAAAACAATATAAGACTTTTAATACTTCTTATTTTTTTTAACCCCTTTTTAGTTTATAGCTTCATAGCCAATAGAAAGGACTTATTATATATTTGTTATTAGTTTTGTTGTGTTATTTGTTATGGTTGTCAGATGAAAATTTCGGAGGCCCAAATGTCATATTGAAATCAACATCCACAAGTCTAAATATGGTTGGCCTGCGGTACCAGCGCAATCGCCGATCTCCTTTTAAGTTTCGTTTTTTTCCTTTTGCGTGAAAATCATTTTCCTCGGTGGCGCTTCCCTCGACGAGTTTCACGTCAGCGGTTCGAGGGGGTGTGGAGCGTGGCGGCACGATGCCAACCGCGGCACGTATTTTGCCGCCCCCGGAGAGACGGACGCAGTCGGGAATGATTAAAGGCCGGCGGCGGCGGCTGCTGCGGGGGCGGGTGGACCCGGAAAGGTAATTAGGCGGAAACGGGGGACCGCCACACCGGAACCCGCCACTTTGTAAACAATAAATTATTTAAATTCGGGCGGACGGGGGGCGTCAAATTCAAAATTGCAGGTCCCGAAATTCCCGAAAAAGCTACGCCGTTCCGCTCGCCTTGTTCTTTTCGATAAACGGGAAAAAATACGTTAAATAGTAATGATAAGCTTTTTTTCTATCATTTTCTACAGTGTCCCCTTCCCTTTCGCCACTTTTCCTATTGTACTCTATAGTTTCATAGCTAGCAGGAAGGAGTTATTATGTTTAGGCATCTATTATATCTATTAGAGATATAGAAAGATATTAAAGAGAGTATTTTTCAAAAATTGTTTCTTTATTTTTCAAAATTGATGCTGTAATTTGCTTAAAAAACAGTCTAGGGCTTTTATTATTTCTTAGCAAATAAAAAGAAGGTATTATTTATTCTTATATGCATCAGATAAACATTATTTGGAGAATTAGTAGATCAAGTAGAGAATTAGTAAGACATTAAAGACAACATTTACTTAAGACTTAATATTTTTTACGTTTACGTACAAGCTATAAGCTATAAATTCTTTTAGCTAGTAGAAAGGAGTTATTATATAATATACTGTCTTTATATATATATATATATATATATATATATATATATATATATATATATATATATATATATATATATATATATATATATATATATATATATATATATATATATATATATATATATATATATATGATGACACTATATTCCGGGATATCATCCGTTCGCTCGTTGAACTCCGACTGGAATCCTGCAGACGTTTCGCCAAAATCTCACTTGGCATCTTCAATGCTCGCACTCCGAACACTGCGAAGTGTTTTCATTTCATTCAACTCCATTGTAGTTTATGAATTATTCTCATATATTATCATATTATTTTTATATATTCTTGTGTACATCAAAGAATCAGTAAGAATTATTAAGACGTTAACATTTACTTAAAATAATTTCCTTATCTTTCAAATTCAATGCAGTAATATCTAACAATTTCTCTTAACAGTAAGGGGTCTAGTATCAAGAATAGTTATAATTACAATTATTTTTCACTTTGAGATTCATTTATTTATAAAAATTTTCTTAAGTTTTTTGTAACTCCATGTAGACTATAGCTAGCAGATAGGAGTGATTAAGTCCTATGCTCTGTCTTATATACAGATAAATATTACTTAGACTCATTTGTAGTCTATAGCCTCATAGCTAGCAGAAATGAATTATTGAGTCCTGTATTTTTTCTTATATATATGTCAGATGAATATTATTTATATCTATCTATCTAGTAAGATATTAAAGACAGCATTTTTTTTAATCGTTTCATTGTCTACATAATTTGCACCAAAATGTATAATGAGTAAATCGTTATTGAACTGTCAAATATACGTTTTTAATCTTCATTATAATGATTTGCTGGCATTTTTTGCAATACTTTCAAATATTTAAAAAACTTTTCAAAATAGAGATCTTTATGTCTGTCCTATAATATGCATAATATTTCGAAAAAGTTAGGAAAACCTTTTTTTTATATCTCTTCAAATAAGAAAGTCTTTTCGGTATAGGAAAAGGTCGAACAGAAAAAAAAAACACGATCTTTGATATTTTGGGGAAAAAATCACGTCATCAGATCGAGTCGCTCTTCAGCCGATAAGCACAGCAGCCCTGGCGATAAAAAAAAGGCGCCAACGCATAAATTTCGAGCCGGCGTCCCCCCACCCCGCCCCTCCCGCCACCATTTACGTATCGGTTCTCCCCCGCTCCGGAGCCCCCGCCGCCGCCACCCCCAGATCGAAAATTGGACCGGAGCCGAATTTAAATCAGGCGGCAGATATGCCTCGCGGCCAAAGTTCCGTCGAGAGTCCAGAGACCCGGAGAATGACAGGCGGGAAGCGTTTCGGATCCGGAGAAAACGAACCCGGCGGGGTGGAGGGCCGTTCCAGGGGCGGCGCGGACGTTTTTATACAGTTCGCACCCTCGGATGCTGAAAAAAAAAGAAGGGTTGTTAAAGGTCAAAATATATCAACAACCTTGTTAAGTCGTTGAAGTAGAATGAAAAATATACAGGGTTATTCGCGGTGAGTGTCCTATTAGACGTTTATGGACGGTAAAACCCTGAAATGTTGGTTACTTATATAAGCGAATGCAAGCAACCTATGTAAAATATTTTTGGCTATGCGGTGTTGCCAGATATACTGGTAACGTTTATTAACTTTCGTTTTTTAAGTGGAACACCCTGTATATTATTACATTTTTAGATTCTGCGAAGCATTCTGGATTTTTTTTTATGTAACATGTACCTATCTGGAACATTTTCTTTTAAGACATTTGGCAACAAACAACCCGACATAAAGTAATAATTTTTTTCGCCACCCGTACGGCAAAACACTTCAATTTTTGGTTGCCGTTTCCTTATTAAATTACTTATAAGCAGTGGCAGACTATGGTGTATTTATCATCCCTGTTTTCGATTTATAAGCAAAAAACCAAAATATTGCAATTAAGGCGAATTAAAGTAATCACATATCATCTGGGTAGCATGCATGATCATTATCATTATTATTTCAAGATATTGTCTACCCGTTTTATTAAAATACTTCAAAAAATCGAAGTACCAATACAAACTCTGAGGTGTATTTTTGACATCTTTACAATTTTTTCTTTATCATTTCTTATAATAGGTTTTTTTTTAAACGAAACCCGCTCAACGGATTGAAAAAAATAAAAAAAATTAATTTCTTTAGTGGCCTACCATCGATGCCTGACAAAATAGACAGGTGAAATTTGTGAACAGGTGTGTAGAATTTCATTAAAATGTATAAAGTGCAAATTACAGATATTAAGAAAATATATTTTATTTTTGAAAACTGTATCCCAAAAGTTAAGACGTTTTTCTTTTTAAAATACCTCGTATATTTGTATCTTCAATTTTAAAGTGTTTTCAATTTTGCCCATATTTACAAAATTTGAAAAAAAAAATATTTTTATATTTTTTTTGTTTCTAATAATCGTAATAATCGTATTGTTATTATGCTATTATCTCAGGTTTTACATTGCCATATAATGAGTTCCAATCTCCAGTTGACTTTCAGAAGAACTTCTAAATCTGTGATGGATTCAAAATTGGCGGTCGATAATGATGTCGCCACTATGTGATTTACAGTATCTTGAGATGAATTTAAAAATAAAATTACTACTAAGTTTAAGTATTTTAAAACTAGACATTTTTTGCTGTTGTTATTTTAAAGCGCTTTTTATTTGACTAGCTGTTCCAATGATTTTTTTACAAGCGTCACTAAATATAATAGTAAAATACTTTTTTATACTCCCTTCGGTAAAATACCTAATTTGCCACCGATCTAGCGTTCATTAAGCACTCGCTCCGCTCGTGTCAAATAAAGTCGTGAGTCAAATGCCGTTTACCGCACTTGTTGCATAATATACTATTTTTTGGTATTAATTTAGCTTTTGTGATTTTTTTTTGAGTGAATTTTAATACATTCAAAGGTACTGCTCGCTTTTAGATGCAGGTAATCAGGCTTCTTCATTCTATTATTAAAGTGGTAACGCAAAAATGTCTCGATATGCAAATTGCTTTAAAGGTAAATCTCCAGAACAAATCTTGTTATAAGGATCTTCTATTATTATGGTATCCGGCAATCCCAATAAAATAATTTTAAAACAATTATAAAATAAATTTAGCACATCATATTTTGTCGCGGATACTTCCACAGGGTGCCGTAATACTTTTTGCAAAACTCGTGGATTTCTTCTGCGTCGGTTTTTGTTGCATCCAACTTGCTTCTTCAGAGCTTAATTGAAACAGTTTCACCTGAGTTCTGAAGAAACCAACAGGATGATCGGCAAAACGTTAGCAACTTCGACTCTACAACGAAACCTTTAAAAATGTTTCATTAATCAGTTTCATCGACTACTTATGGCACTTTAATAAAACATATCAGTTTCTAAGGCATAGTGATGGTCTTGGGTAGCTTTATTCGACATTTTGCGCTTAAAAGAAATAACGATAAAGCAACTATATAACTATTTAGTCGAATAACAAAACGTATGCGCTATTTATGGTAAAGTATACGTCTACCAAAAATATAGTGCTTTTACCACCGACCCCTTGATTAACTTTGCCTACCGCAGCCCCTTTTAGAACACATGCCGAGCAGACCCTTACTCTTAAAAAGAATGTTGTTTACAAATCAAAGAACTATGTAGAAGACAGGCACACCAGACAAAAATGATTATTTGCAAACTTACCTTTAATCCAGTGAAAACAGCCTCGCAGTGTTAAAGCTAGAGAATCGGGTACATAAATACGTACTTACTGGAAGGATCCCAGTCAAATACCTCCATAATATATAAGAACAATTGCAATTTAGATTAAACTCTTAAAAACTAACCATATCAGTTAATGTTAAAATAAACGCTTCTACTTATTCGAAAATACACGCAGCATGAATGCTTAATCAAATTTAAATTAAATATTCGTTACGGTCCATCTACTTACAAGACCTACTTAGTAAAAACATCAAAGCAATAAATGCACTATATTTTTGGTCGTATTATATCTGGGATTGACAATAAAATACAACAAATTCTCTACTATTGCAAAAAAAAAATAGAAAACCGACAAAGAATGCAAATAATAATAATAAAACCGTCAAATTTTCAGAACAATCTGTCCTCCGCGATTTTTGTCGTCGCCGTCCCCCGAAGAACAAAAGCCCGCCGAATTATCGCTGCCCCCCGGGGGGGCAAGACCCCGTAAGTCATTAGCGAGCGTTTTTCTCCGTTACGCTATCGGGTTTCCGCCGCCGCCGCCTCCTCCCCCTCCGCCGGACACACAATGCCCGCCGCAGGGGCGGGGGACGAACGGGTGGGGTTCCGGTGGGCGGCGACCCGCCCGCACCGCCACCGATGACGGAGGCTATGCGGGATTATGTATGCCGCCGACGAAAGGTCGTTATTTATATTGCGGGAGGCGGCGGAAGGCGCCGCCGCCCCCGGGAATTGCGTAACGGACGTGCCTCGGAGAGATTGTCTTAATTTTTGGGCTAACCGAAAATGTACAGGGTGGTCGTGATTGGAGTGTTTTAACAGGAAACGGCTATTTCTGAACTAGATGGAGCAAAATCGACTTCACGTCAAGGGCTCGATTTTTTGGGAAACATTTAATGGCGATACCTTCATTACCGATCGAGATATAGAGCGTTTTTCAATTGTCATTTCATTATCACTACTCAGATTTTTTCTACAGTTGTCGTTGCCGACAAATGTATTCTTGAGTGACAAGGCCAGGTATATTTCTTTCTTTTTGATTCATTTCTGGAGTGTTGACCATTTGTGGCAGTATTTAGTGTGTATATGAAGGTTTAATCACTAGAAAACTTATTAAACAAGAAGGTTTAAAAGAAACCTGTCTATTGACAAGAACGCCAATATCGTTGACAAGGGATACCATCAATGGTGCAGAAATGAGGAAATCGAATACACGTAACGATTTTCAAACTCACCGTATAGGAAAACATATTGTCTTTATCAACGCGAAGTTGTTCCACTTTACATAAGTAATCATAATAACAAGAATAGCACTTTATTCCAGCAGGTAACATAACCCAATTACAGGAAATATTAAATATAAATCAAGCAATTTATATATATATATATATATATATATATATATATATATATATATATATATATATATATATATATATATATATATATATATATATATATATATATATATATATATATACAGGGCACGTAAAAACTAATCTTGAATCCATCACAATATAAATCGCAGTGCGATGATATTGAAGGTATAACACACATATTGTAAATATATGAAATATGAAAATGGATATTAGACCTGGATCACGAAAGTTGATTGATGCCTCCCTTCCAGTAGAAAATGAAACAGATTGCATGTCTCTGGGCAAGTTCAGAGGCAGATGATCAAGTCCCCTCTCAGGATAGGAACCGTCCTCCCTGAACATTAGGTACTTCTTAGCAACATTCTCCACACACTCTCAATGGAAGGAGTGTGTCAGTTATATATTGGTGAAATTAAAAAATAAAGATTAGGCAACAGATCCATAATTTGCCTTGTCTCCAAAGGTTGGTTGATTCCACTCAAAACCATAATGACCACAACACACTCTGGGTCAGAAGTCAGAAGTGGTGTATATATATTTCTAGCTATGAATTTATTGTATATATTTAATGTCAATGTTTTTTCAGTGTAATTTAATAATATTATATCCACCTAAATATACAAAAAATGTTTTATTATTACCAAAAGCTTTGAGAGTCCAATGTCCTTTAATACCTACCCGCAGGTAACTTCCATAATTGCGGGCAAAAGTCAGCAGGATGAAGATGGAGATAGACAAGTGCGGTAAACGAAATTTGAGTCACTAACGTCAAAACTGGCAAACGTCAAAATACAAGCCGCGCGGTAACATCTCCGAAACAATCCGATTGCTCCCAAACCAGTGCGGTAAAATCCCGGAAATGTCCGAAGGGGCTCGGTTCCGTGGGACAAGAAACTCACGTGGTAAAGTGACGCTTTCCGCACTCTAGATCGGTGTGTAATTGGGTATTTTACAGAAGAATTGAATAATACTGGCCCCAAAACGGATCCCCGGGGCACACCATAATGTTTTTTTTACTATTAGTGTTATTAATTTGCGTTCTTTCGGTAATTTTTAAATAGTTCCCAAGCCAAGCTGTCTTTTTCTTCTTTTTTTTTTTGCTGCAAAATTTCTAATAAACATTTTCTTATTTATTGAATATTTAAAAAAAAATAAGATTTTTTTTTCATCGTAGGTGGCGGCGGCGCGTCGCGGCGCCCTATAAATATTAAAGAAAATAATAAGCACGTGACGACGACGTAGGGCAAAGGGAGACGACGACTAGGGAGAAACAGCGCCCCTTATATATAATACGCACCCTCCGGGGGGGCTTCCCGGGCGCCACTTCTATCTCGAGCCGGGGGGATTAGGGCCGCGTTTTAGGAGGATTTGTACCGGGTGCCCTCAAATATTATTGCGGATATCGGGGGCGGCCGCCGCCGCCCCCCTCCCTCGTCAAAAATCTCGCCGAAATTAATTAAAAAGGAACGAGGCGGGGGTGGGACTGTTTTCGTACTCGGGCGTCGCGACGCCGACGCCAATTTTAAATTTTCAACCCCATACATTGACCACCAAAATTAAAGCATCACTTCTAGTGTTGGGGCTGGCCAATTGACCACTTCTTAATTAACTAGTCAAATTCGATCAAAATGTTGCTTCTAAAAGTAAATTTATACTATTAAAAGAATCACATTTCGCACAAAAAAATGTAGTTGTACGTAACAAAGATAAGCAATTAAAAAATGTAAAACTTAAAATGCTCTTTGAAACGCGTTGTCATTGGCTGTGACCGGTTGTGACGTCAATTCGCTCGTTTGATTACGCGCCAACCGGACGATAGGCTTCTCTATGCCATTAAAGAACGACAACGCAGGCTAAAGTGACACTCAAACATAATGTTGATAAAAGGCAACGGTTTTTATTTTCTGTTAGACGAATAAAAACTTTATCTGGCGTTTTTTGTGTTTCTTCCATCATTATCATATAAAGCACACTGAGCACAAATACAAACAAACAAACGAGCCATAAATAAACGTAAATAATATAATTCTCCGCCCATAAGCTGAGAATAACACTATAACATGTGGCCATGTCTATCAAGAAGCAGCGGTATGACGTCACGATCATTCCCGCGCGTTTGGTGTCCTTTAAAAGGAATAGCCGGGTATCACAACGTGAATTATTTATTGCAGTATTGGGTTTTGATATTTGGCATGCCATATTTCCATACATAAACAAATGTATTTAAAAAAAAATGTTCAAGTTCCCTATTGTAGAATGTTATCTATAATCAAAATGTCGTCATTGGTACTGTATGGATAAATAGCTCATCTAACCACCCTCAAGAAAACATTATAAGAATTATAATTTAACAATCATACATAATTGAAAAAAATAGGAATTCGATTGATTATTTATATACTTAATGATAGGACTCATTCTCTTCTCATTAACAACACATAGTGTTTTTTTTGTTTTATACGTCACTTGGAAAAAAACTTGGCTACTAATCCTACATTTTGTTTTTTTATTTTCCTTGACATCTCTAATATCAAACTAGGCACATTTTACTCGCTCCGCCTCTATTTTCGGGCGGTCCATATCGATTTTGTTTTTGCAATATTTTTGCGATTTTAAGTGTTCCGCGACCACTTTTTAGCCTAGTTCTGGTGTTGTTGATGGTACTATATGACCTTAGAAGAGGACAAGCTCCGTCTGCTATGATCATTTATTAACAACTTTGGGAGGTTAAGTTGTCCTTAAACTCCACAAAAAATGTTTCGACATTTTGACATTTCGACGCCCCCACGTCATTTTGGTATTATCGTGACGTCACGTAAGCGCACGTATTTTTAGCCGACTGCCGCCCCCGCTGGGGTCGCCATTAGCGCCGCCCCCCGCCGCCCCCGGTTAACACGGTGTCGCGCGTTTCACGTGCGGAAGCCCACGGTAATGACGCGGGCGGGGGCGGGTGGGTGGGTTCCGCCACCGCCACCGCCACCGCGCCCGGCGTCGGGGGCTCGTGGGAGGGGGCGGAGGCCGACGGGGGCGGCAGAGAACAGGTTGGCCGGTAAATGAGCAGTAATAGAGCCGCGCGAGGGCGGCCGCGGGGAGGCGGGGGCGTAAAGGGCGACACACTGAGGTCGACGTCGGGGCGCGTCGTTTGCACCAGGAAACCGGCCCTAACAAAAGGAGAACGTGCTTACATAACGGGGAACTGGTATAAATAAATAAATCCTTTATTTGCAAACAATAATAAGAATAATATTTGTTGACTACTTACATGGTTTGTAGCAGGTCATATAAGTATACCGGGTGACACAAGAAAGTGGGAACACTATGTAACTCTTAAACGGTTTGAGATAGCGATTTGAAATTTGGAACGGTTAACATAGCTTGAAAGTCCAATTTTTTACACGATGGAGGCAATGCTTGCACTTGCGGTTTGAGCAGAAACGACAGTAACTTTTTAATTTTAAATGGGGCAACTTATATTTTTTTGCATTTTTGGATTCAGAAGGAAGGACAAAACCAAATAAGTTTTTTCATAAAAACAAAATATTAAGTAGGTGGCTTAGGTGGCATTTTAAATCTGACCAACTTGACAATTAATAATGAATAGAACCAAAGCCACCTAAGTAATATTTTGTTTTTATAAAAACGTATTTATTTATCGGGATTTTTCCTTCCTGTGTGCTTATTTTTATAAATGTTGCAAATTGCGATTATATTAAGAACCCTTTCCTAATAAAATGTACATGTACATATGTTTAAATGATCATTTAAAACAGGCCAATCGGACTGTTATTGATTTGCCAAAATGTTCAAAAACCATTGTTTCTTTTAAATACTTTATTACATGATTTTTTTAAATAAAACTTTGTAGTGTCCTTTTGTCATGTTTGAATAAAAAACAGTTTTTTTATGGGTATAGCTTTACGAAAAATTGGTTACTACCATTCAAAATAACTGTAAAAAAATCCCCTTTTTTTAAAATTATACAACAATCGACTAAAGACTAGCCCGAGAATGATTCTTGCCAAAAGTCAAAATTCCATTTCTGGACTATCTTTTGTTCAATTGTTGTGTAATTCTGGGAAAGAATTGCGGACGTTTCTCGCTAAAACCAGACCCAAAAAAACATTTTTTTTCGGCTCTTCTGCTTGACAAAAGATCACTATGAAGTTTTATTAAAAAGAAATCACCGAAACATGTGAAATGAGAGGTGTAATGTAGTTTTTAAATGTATGCGCAGACATCAAGAGTTTTTAACACAAGGTCGTACGACTATTAAAGAGTATTACAATACAAAGAAAACGGCGAGAATTGTGAGAACACAATTCATGGATTTTGCATCAGGATAATGCACCTGCTCACTGTCTAACTTATTGGTCAAAAATATCATGCCTCAACCACCATATTCGCCGGATATGACTCCATGCGACTTTTTCCTGTACCCAAAACTCGAGGAACCCATGAAAATCAGGAGGTTTGGAACAATTGAGAAGATAAAGAAAAAATCGCTGGAAGAACTCAAGGCTACACCAGAAAGTTCTTACCGGAAGTGTTATATCTGAAGTGGATTACTTTGAAGGGGACAACATTGATTTTGATGAATAAATAAATACTTTTTGATAAAACCTAAAAGTCTCCTTTCTTTTTGAACGCACCTCGTCTACAGGGGTTTTCACTTAAAACTCCGCACGCCAATGAGTCCAAAACGAAAAGAAATATTTAATTTATGTAAAAAGTAGTGAAAGTGTGGGGTCAAGTAGATATTTCCTAAAGTTTAAAAAATTCGACGCCTGCAAAGAGCTGGGCGTCGCGACGCGTCGAAAAATTATTCGATTGCAGAGACTTTGGAAATACGCGCATACAAAAGTACATATTATTTAAAAACTTTTTTGTTATTTACTCAAACTTATTTACTTTACCCGTTTCTAAGTTATACCGATTTAAAGTAAACATTTCTTGATTAATAAAAAATGTGATTAACGCTTATTTTTACAAGTATGCCATGAATGTTAGTTACTATGGCAACCATTGTTATCGCAGTTGTTTTAAGTGCAATTACAAACGTAAGTTGTTATTGCTGTATCAAAAAATTGACACATTTTGTCACAAGAAATATCCAAATTTGTTCGGTTTAAAAAAAACTAAAAATTATTATGTGAAAATGGGGTAATTTAGCAATGAGGAAGAAGTAGACATGTTACTGGTGTTTGGAGAATGCAGATGCAATTGTAGAGAAGCAAAAAGAGTTTACGCACGGCGTTATCCGCATAGAAGAGTCCCCGATGCAAAAACCTTTTCAAGTTTATGTAAAAACTTAAGAGAATATGGCAGCTTCATAAAACCTAAAAGAGATAGGAACAGGACGGCTACAAATGATGAAAATACTGCTGCTGTAAGTCAGCAGGTTGATAATAACCCCGTGGAGAATTCTACATAGAAACTCTTTTCACCCGTACAAAAGTAAACTAGTTCATAAACTAGAACCAGGCGATTATGCTAGAAGAATGCATTTCTTAGCGACATTGTCCGATTTGTATAACCAAGATGCAAATTTTCTCTCGAAAATTTTATGGGGTGACGAAAGTCGATTTCAAAATAATGGAATCGTTAATAGACACAACTGTCGTTTTTGGTCCGAAAACCATCCTCGTTGGATTACAGAAAGAGGTAACCAACGAATTTTTAGTATCAATGTTTGGTGCGGCATATTAAATGGATTCCTTATTGGACCTTACTTTTACGAAGGAACTTTAAATGCAGATCGCTATTTAAGATTTCTTCAAACTACACTTCCGGAACTATTAGAAGAAGTGCCTCTTGACACTAGAATGAATATGTGGCTACAGCAGGATGGAGCGCCTGCACATAATGCCCAAATAGTAACGAGGTATTTGAACCGAGAATATCCCAATAGATGGTTTGGTACTAATGGACCGGTAAGGTGGCCGGCGAGGTCCCCGGACATTACACCACCAGATTATTTTCTTTGGGGCTACCTAAAAAACGTTATCTATGAAGAACCTATCGAAGATATGGCTGATCTCATTAACAAAATTAGTGCAGCGTGTGCCGCTATCACAAGAAGGACTCTCCTACAAGTGACCCAAGCTCATCTGTTAAAAGTTTTTGATAGTTGTGTTCGAGCAGATGGACATAATTTTGAACAAAATTTTTGAAATGTCTTATTATGTAGTTAATTGCAATAATAATTTTGGTTATTAACTTGTAGGTATTTTACTGTTTTTTCATTTATTTATCATGTTATCAGAACTAAATCGATAAAAAATAATAAATAAAATCATACTAAAATAGTGGAAATCTATTGTTTGTAATTGCACTTAAAACAACTGCGATAACAATGGTTGCCATAGTAACTAACATTCATGGCATACTTGTAAAAATAAGCGTTAATCACATTTTTTATTAATCAAGAAATGTTTACTTTAAATCGGTATAACTTAGAAACGGGTAAAGTAAATAAGTTTGAGTAAATAACAAAAAAGTTTTTAAATGATATGTACTTTTGTATGCGCGTATTTCCAAAGTCTCTGCAATCGAATAATTTTTCGACGCGTCGCGACGCCCAGCTCTTTGCAGGCGTCGAATTTTTTAAACTTTAGGAAATATCTACTTGACCCCGCACTTTGACTACTTTTTACATAAATTAAATATTTCTTTTCGTTTTGGAGTTATTGGCGTGCGGAGTTTTAAGTGAAAAACCCTGTATAAATACGTGATAATATAGGAAGAATGCCCTTTTCACCATTTTCCATCTAGTAGGCAAATTTTTAGGTTTGACCAACCCTGTATGATTCAGAATTAATTTCAATCTTAAGAAATAATGGACGGTACCTAATGGCTCCGGTGCCGTAGTAATAGAAATTAAATTGAAGCTATTGTTTTGGTCGAAAAACAAAGAAAATAATTAATTTTTCGAAAACCCAGATAGCTATAGAAACGTATTATGCAAAAACAGTCGGATCGGAAAATATCTCATTTAAAAATTCTTTGTCGATGCTACTTTTTCGAAGATGCGGCATCTTCGCAGAGCGAATAATATTTAAGATCGATTAAGCGTCGCCGCTGGTGGAACTGACCAAATTTTCGGAACCATCCAACACCGTATACATTTTTTTTACTCGCAAACGTATTTTTTAATGCTTTGTATAGCGCAAGTGGTCCATAAAATTCCGCACGGTATTCTCAGTGTGCCTTGGACCATGGACCATAGAAAAATTAACGACGCGATCGAGTCTGACGGCTCGTTTGTAGGCGGCCGTGATCGCGAACGACATTTCTGACTTTACGTCTAATGTCGCCCGTACACGGTGTGTGGTTTGACGCGTTTCGGTGCGGAAAAAGCGTGGGCTCGAGCTTCCGGTGCAAACAAACCGATCGGTCACGTTTCGACGACACGGCTGGGCAGCGTTGGCGTCGGGACGTGGGCTTCGGCGGCGGCGGCGGCGGCGGTGGCGCGTGTCTGACGCGTCTCGTGTCTAACAAGCGGCCCACCCGGCGGCGCCCCGCGTTTCGACCGCATGCCTGCGGTCCTCAAAATGTTGCCGTCGCGAAAAAACGGCAATACAACTACAGTCAAAATAAATATCCAATAGGCATACAGTGACCATACGTCCCGTTTTGAACGGGACCGTCCCTTTTATAGGTCACCTGTCCCGTTGTCCCCAAACAAAGCTCCGGGACGCAGAATTGTCCCGTTTTGTGAAACAGCGCGAAAATTTAAATCATGTAGCTCACGAAACGCGCGCGGGCAGGGATTCACAGACGATTCGCATCACTGTCGATCGGTGATCAAGTATCAATAGATAATAATTTGACAAAAAAAGTCGTGGCATTTTGTGGTGACAATGCTAATGTCAATTTTCGAGGTATAGCTAGGCGAGGAACTAACAATGTATTAGCCAAGTTACAATCTCTGAAAAAACCGTTGATAGGTATTGGATGTGGAGCCCATATAATTCACAGCGCAATAAAATCCGCTGCAGATGATCTACCTTTAGACTACGAAAGCATTATTGTCAAAACATATTCATTTCTTTATATTTACACGGTTCGAGTGGAAGCTCTCAAGGAGTTTTGCGCTGAAGCTGAAATAGAACGTCACCAAATGCTTGGCTACAGTAAAACCAGGTGGCTTGCGCTTATGCCTGCTTTGGAGCATTGCGCATTGAGCATTGAAAAATGTCCCAAATTGTTGAAAAACTTTTTTGAAGATCCCACGTCAGAATTATGGCTTAATTTTTTACACGCTCGGTCAGCAAGTTTTCATCAAGCTGTATTGAAGGTCGAGGGTCAGACTGTATCGGCAATGCGGCAAAAGAAATCAATCATCTCAAAGACAATTTGGCACAGAAACAGATCAACCAGTTTCTTCCATTTACTGTTCGTAGTTTAATTGTGAAACTAAAAGATAATGGCACTAATATTAATGAAGACTTGGTGAAAAATACGGCAACAGAATTTTATAAAACTAGCCTCGAATAATTGGAACAGTGGACTTGCTTTCTTACTAAAGAAATAGAGATATTTAATTGGGCAGATTTAAGAAAAGTACTCGCATGGGAAGATATTCAAAACGCAGTGGATATATTGATTGAAAATGGATATATTCACTGCAATACACATTAATTTCAAACTACGTCACTACCCAAAAAATTACCGAATGGGGTAATTTAAAAGTCTCCACGGAAACTCGTTGGGTGGAAATATTCAAACACTTTCGTTCTAACAATCTTAAACATGAAAATTTTTGTATTTTAATTGAATACATTTTATGTCTACCTGGAACGAATGCTCCAGTAGAAAGGGTCTTTTCTCTCATGAACAAACTGTGGACATCCGAAAAAAATCATTTACAGGTTCCAGTGTTGAAAGCGATGTTGATAACTAAGGTTAATGTAAAAAAAAACGTGCCCAAGAATTTTATTCTTATTTAAAGTCATCGCAAACTTTATTAAAGCAAATTTGTTCCTCTGAAAAGTATAAAAACAATTTTAAAAAAATGCGTTGCATATATTTTAATAATTATTGACAGATCAAAGTTCCTTGATTAGTTAGATTGATTATTTTTTAATTACTTAATTAATATGAAAAGAATTATAGTGTATAATTCCATTAAGTGACACTTATTCTAAATAAAGAAAATTAAAAAGTTGTGTTTATTTTCTTTGTTAGCCTGAAGGCTAAATGTAAAGGTCTGGCGGGAAATTTAAATTTTAAACAGTTTTTAAATATCGATTTAGAGTAACGAATGAATATAAGGAAGGACAACAGTAGGCATGTGTGCGATTGCTTTCGGCTTCATTGCTCTTGGAAGGTTTTGGTGAAGTGTATTTTGTGATGGAACGCTTAATTTCTTTAATGTGAAAATTATTAGAGAGGTAAGGTGTTTTAATTGTGGGTTCAGTGACTCGGGCTGAGATAGTTTTAGTAAACAAGAGAGTTGATAACCAATGATCTTTGGGCCGGATGGTGATGCATTAAGGTGTCGGTCTGTATGTGTGTGCGTAGGTTTTCCGCAAACACAATGACCCAATGTTAGGTCTGATTCTCTATTGATATGAATACCTAAGAATGGGAGGTTGTTATTAGTTTCTGATTGAATAAAATAAATAAGAACTTTTTTGATAATGACACGGTGTTGTCGAAACAATTATAATGTGAAGATATCTCTATAATTTCGTGAAAATCTGAACTTTTAGTTCTTATTTATTTTGTTAAATGGATTTTCATCAAGTAAAAGCCACCTCAGTTCAATTTCTGATTCAATAGTAAAACGTATATTAGGGTGTGTACAGTTTAAAGAGACCAAATAACAAAAGTATAATCGACGTAGCATTTCCATAATTTTGGTTTTAGGTTGAAGATGTCGAGAGTGTTCTTCTAAATGGTTTCCATAAATACATTCGCGATGATTGGTGATAATGGAGAATAATTATCTATTGTTATTGTCTAAAACCATTAACAAAAAAATTATTTTTACTTGAGTGACAAGGTAGGGGTGGGTCAGGTATAGTTCTTTCTTTTTGACATATTTCTTGAGTGTTGTCCACTTGTGGCAGTGTTGTCGCTAATGAAACTTTAATCAGTAGATAAGTTATTCAACAAAAAGTTTTAAAAGAAACCTGTCTACTTACAAAAACGCCAATATCGTCGAAAAGGATTATTAATTGTGGAGAATTGGAGAACAGGAATAAACGTAGTGATGTTCAAATTCACCGTATACACAATAGTGATTAAAATATTTATTTTGAATTCAGTTATGATTACATGTTTAAACCCATAGAGCCTTTATGGAACCAAGGAAAATCAAAGGTCATAGCTCACTTTAAGTCCCAATGTTGTAGATTTTGTAGGTTTGATAAAAAAATGACATTAATAACATAGGTCTTTTATTACATTCCTATATAAAACAACATAAATCATTATAATTAGATTCAGATCTTTAGAATAAAAATTTAATTATGTATATATGTTAGTAGCTATGAATTTACAGCATATATTTAATGTCATTGTTTTTTCTTAGTGTAAGATTATACCCACTTTAATAAAAAAAAACATTATTAGGAGTTTTTCGGTACATTTTTGTAAAAACAATATGAACACACTCACTGGCATGACCGACAGGATTGACAAACGTCAAAATTCAAGCCGTGCGGCAAAATGTTCGAAAACATCCGATATAAAAAAAAAACATATAAAACTGCCCCCAATAATGAAATACTCAAAAGATTGATATATTTTTAGTTCGCAATCTCAAAAAATATAACGTTGACCCCAGATATTGAATTAGACCATTAATGAGCAACTTAGGAGATGTATGATGTATTACTCAACCACCTCGAAGCGGCCAGAAAGATATAAAACTGCCCCCAATAATGAAATACCCAAAAGTTCGATATATTTATTTCGCAATATCAAAAAATCTGACTTTGTCAAAGACATTCAATCAAGCCATTGAAGAACTTCAAAATTATGTATTGCTCAACTACCTTATATATTATATAAAACTTAGGTTTTAAGGTGGTTGAGTAATACATCATTATGAAGCTCTCCTAAGTAACTCTTTAATGGTCTAATTCAATATCTGGGAAACCGTCAGATTTTTTTAAGATTGCGAAATAAATATATTACACCTTTGGGTATTTCGTTATTGGGGATAGTTTTATATCTATCCGAGCGTTTCGAAGTGGTTGAGCAATACATTATTTCTAAGCTCTTCTTCTTCTCTTTAATGGTCTAATTCGATTTTCGGAGACAACGTCAGCTGTTTTTGAGATTGCGAAATAAATATATCGAACTTGGATATTTCATAATAGTGGGTAGTTTTATATATTCTCAACGATTTCAAGGCGGTCAAGTACCTCATTTTGAAGCTCTTCTAAGTGGCTCTTTAATGGTCTAATTCGATGTCTGGGATAACGTCAGCGTTTTTGAGATTGCTAAATAAATATCACGAAATTTTGGCTATTTCATTATTGGGGGTAGTTTCAAATATTCTCGACTGTTTCGAGATGGTCGAGCGAAGCTCTTCTAAGTGGCTCTTTAACGGTGCGATTGAATATCTTGGACTCCAGATGTTTTCCGAGACTGCGTTGTAGTAATTAAATTATTGTTTTGGGTGACGCTACCGACCGCGCCGCGAAACATTTTGAGAGCCGCGGAGGCGCTCGGGTGTGATGTGGCGGTGTCGGCACGCGACCAAAGCCGCGTCCCGCGCCTCCCCGCCCCCGGCCGCCGCACGCGCCACCCCCCGACACCACGCCGCCGCGCGTCTCCGCTCTCTCCCCCCCACCGTCGTCGCCGCTCGCTCGCGTCGCCGCCGCCGTCGTCTCTCCATTGCTCCGCGGCACGTCAGCGCGCGAAGACGACGAGTGCCGCGTATCACGTGACCGAACGTCGCGCGTCCGTGCGTCCGCAGCGCACCCAGTGATGACAGCGAAAAACAAACGGGCATCGGAACCGAGACGCGCGAACAAACCCCTGATGGAGAAACGGCGACGGGCCAGGATCAACCAGAGCCTTGCGGCTTTGAAGACGCTCATCTTGGATTCGGCCAAGGCGGACAACACGAAACATTCCAAACTCGAGAAGGCGGACATCCTCGAGCTGACCGTGAGACACTTCCAGCGTCACAGGAGTCTCGACGCCGCCGGCGTCAACCGCTACAAAGCCGGTTACGCGGACTGCGTGAGGGAAGTGCAAAGGTACCTGGAGACGCCCGACGCCCAGACGATGACCGTCGTCGACGCCGGCGTGCGTCAGAGGCTGCTGCGTCACCTGGACAACTGCGTGTCCGAGGTGGACGTCGACTTGAGACAGGCGGCGGCCGTGCCGCCGCCCCCCGACGAACGCCTCCAGCCGCCCGATTCTAGCACGCTCGAGGTGAACAACAACCACGAGGAGGAGGAGGTTCAGCCGCCGCCGAAGGCGGCCAAGAGCTACGACGCCAATTTCGTGCTGTTGCTGCCCGAGCACTACGTGCAGCTGGCGAACGCGCTGGGCGTGAACCTGAGGCAGCAGAACGAACCGCCGCCGGCGGCGGCGGCGGCCGGACCGTCGGCCGATAAAAGTTTCGAGGACGTGGGGAAATGCCCGGCCACGGAGAGGCCGCTCGACTACAGCAAAAACAACGACTCGAACGACAGCATGTGGAGGCCGTGGTAGAGGACTTCGGAGCCGCCTCGTAGTCGACTTAGGGCGCGAGCACACGTAGCGGTTCGTCGCGTCCCAGTCGGGGTGATATTTTCTAGTCGCCGTAGCGTTGTAAATACTGTACATACAAAAGTGGAGCCGCGACGCTGTTATTTCGTTGTGGACCGCGTTCCGTTTCACCGTTGTTTCTATACTTTTCATGTTGAACTCTGTCGGCTCGAGAATAAAGGTATCTCAACACTGCACCGGGTCTGGTTTCATTGTTACGTCACAAAATATGAATTTCGGGGGAATTCTCCCAGAAATAGTTAATTGTTTATAGACCATTACTTTATTAACAATATACGGGGTTATTCGCGGTGAGTTTCCTATATGGTCCGTAATACGACCAAAAATATAGTGCGTTTATTGCTTAGACGTAAATCTTGCCTGAGATGGACCGTAACGAATATTTGTAGAATCTTGTATTTTCGTTTATTTTAACAGCAGGTGATTTGTATTCGTTCTTAAGAGTTTAATCTAAATTGCAATATATTCGGATATATTACGGAGGTATTTGACTGTGATCCTTCCAGAAAATACCTATTTATATACGTGGTTCTCGAGCTTTGACCCGGCGAGGCTGTTCCTGTTAGAAGGAGACATGGAAAGCAACGCAAAATTTGACGAACCACCTAAGCAAATAATAAAACGGATACATTTGTCTTCGGATGCTAAACAGATTGTTTTAAATGTTGTAGAATTTTATAAGATATTCAGAAGGGGAAGCAACTCTAAAAAAAATTGTTGCAAATGGGACGGCCAAGAGGAATATGAGAGAAGATGAATTGAAAATAAACTGATGCCAAAAAGTAACCAAGACATTCATGCTTACAAACTGTTCCACAAAGAATATCGTCACGCTATAAAGGTTGGAGTTCAACAGATATTTTGCTTCTGTGTCAGCGGAGGTAACGAAAACCATCACACGCTCAGTAATAGATGCTATGACCTACACCTCCAGATCAACTACACCCTTTGTTATGTCAGCAGTTGTGGAGAGTGATGTTAGGGAAGCGATTTTAAAACTAAAAAACTCTCATTGTCTTGACTATTATGGTCTAAATGCCAATATTATTAAGCAATCAATATCTTCACTTCTGAAACGTATTACGTTATTAAGAAACAAAAAAAAAAGTGACAAAAATTCTTCCACTCCATAAAAAAAGGGGATACTAATATATCTTAGGTAATTTCAGACCCATAGCAATCGTTCCTATAATTGGAAAAATTTTTGGGTCGATAATAAAAGATAAACTTATCGCTTACTTTGAAGGCAGGAAATTGTTAACAGATTCCCAATTTGGTTTTCGGTCAGGTAGGTCCACCATCCATGCAAAAAAGAATTTCGCAAGCAATCTTGATGCACTTACATGTCACATATCTATCTGATGGTGTTGGGTGCATTTCTTCTTTTAATTTCATCTTCAGTTTGGCTAGTTTATGATTATTTCTCGCTATAATCGCAGTAATTGCTGCCGTTTCATGTTTCTCTTCGTCTTCCACGTTTTTTTCTTTTTTGTTTTTCTGCTTCCCATACCTGTTTCACTTGTCTCGTATTTTCCGTAGTTCTCCCCACTGCCGCGTTCCTGTGTTTCTTATTCTGACCATTTTTATGACTCCTTTAATTCTTCGCAGGTACTTCCTTTCCAGGGCTTGAATTTTGCTTTCTTGTTGATTAGCCAGTGACCATTGATAGATGCACAACAATTGATAACTAAACGTTTTTCAAAATAATTGTCATAATAATTATTAGATCCCCGGAAACAAGAAATTAAAATATTGAAAATCCTGGTTTGGCTTGTCCGTCAAGGACCGTTTAACTTTAACTCCGTTTTGACGGTGACCATCCAGGTTCTAAAATTGACGCGACACAACCCGATTTGAAAAACCGAGTTTTGCTCAAATCTAGTTTAAATTATGCGGGCGTAACACCTTATTTACCGTTAGCTTTCCGTCCACTACCTGATCCAACAAAGAAATGAACCCATCCGTTTTTATTTTAAGGCCGCTGAAACTCGGAAGTCCGACAGGCCCCGCCATCTAGCGCCGCATCGTCAAAGCAAGCGTTTTCGCGCGCTAGTGATTGACATCGGTCTCCATAGATTGCGCCACCTACCGGTCTCTAAACGCGGAAGCTATATGTTATTTTTTTTTAAGTTATTGTGTAGTACTTACGATTTTTTTATTTTAATTGCTTATTTCACCGGTTACTCATATTAATTATTAATTTCCAATCCACTACTATAGGTTCTTCGTTCTTCTTTTCATGCAAAAGAAAAAGTTAAAAATGAAACCGACCAAATGCCCATAACAAATTGTCAATAATCATAAGGAATATTTTGTTTATTTATTATTTTATTTTACGTACTCATATTGCTATATTTTTAAAGTCTTAACAATATTGTTATTTAACCATGGTGAAAACAATGTTCTGCGATCTCTTGTAAGTTTCGGGAAGGAAGGTTTAACGACTAAAACTACCCATAACATCAATATTTTATTGCGATGTATTGCCTGCAAGCGCTTTTAAGGACGATGCCCTCGCCCTTCGCTGCATTACGTAGAAATACAAAAACGGCAGCAGCTTCCTCGCAAATATGACGATTCTCGGCAAGAGGGGGCAAATTACCGCCTCTTTCTCGTTTCGCACGACGGCCCGCACTATGCGGGCGGCCACGTATTCTGGACTGTACCCGGAGGCGGTCGCTTCGTCGGTACGCCCGTAGGCGCTTCCGTTTCCGGCCAGCGCGTTTTCTGACAGCTTCGTCCTAACGTAACCGGGACTGACTGTAGTCACGGATAAGTCATGCGCGGCCACCTCCGCCCGAAGCGAGTCGCTGAACGCCTGCATGGCGTGCTTCGACGCACTGTACGAAGATCGCTCGGGAATCGCGATGAGTCCCTGGACCGAGCTCACGAACACGATGTGACCTTCGCGTCTGGCGACCATGTCCTTGAGCACGGCTGGAAAACGAAAATAACGAAACATTCCGAGACTAAACGCAACCGACGTCGAGGTTATGCGGCAGGGAATCGCCCAACGCGGTTTAACTGTGGTTCGTGGTATGGCAGTAAAGCCAAACCAATCCGACCTCTACGATAAGTTGGAGAAACCTCAGAGCACGAAAAAAACTAAATTACGCATGGTACATCGATGTTGACATCAACAACTACCATATATCTCATTTAAAAAAATGTTAAACATGGATGTATGTATTACAAATTTTTTAAAAAAATGACATAGTAAAAAAGAAATAAAACAGACCATAAACTAATTGAAATTAGGATTTAAAAAATACAAAAAGTGCGGCAGACACGATGTATTTTTCAAGTGTCTAAGACCAAATTGCAAGAATTTTTTATTACTTCTTATTACGTCACTATATGCGACGTAACTGCTTTAGGAAAAAAGGAGGATAGATGGCGGTCACTTTTTTGAGGTTTTCTGTTGGAGTTTTTAAGATATATTTATTTTGTGTTTTGTTTACTGTTAAAAAGTTTATCACGTACAAAGACAAAACCAAAAATGAATAGCAAATTAAAAACGCATATGTATGTGGTATGTGGTGTGACTGTCATACCCAGCCAACAATAACTCAAATCTTGGAGGACTGTAGTAACGCTTAAAAGAAGTTAGAGATCATGAAAAGAAGGATAAATAGCGGTCACTTTTAAGGTTGAAAGTGTATGTAAAGTATGAAAAACTATTTCCAAAATGAATGATAAATGCAAAAAATGTGTCTGTGGTATAGCAGCCAGTATCAAAGCGAAAAAAAGAAATAATACCGACAACGAAAAGGGAGGATCAATAGCGTTGGCTTTTAAGGTATGTGCTTAGTTATAGGTTTAGTTTGAGTTATTTTCTATTTTTTAGAAAAATATGAGGAAGTGTGTTTGCACAGAGATAGTATTATATTTAGCATCTTTAATAGTTGACCTTGAACTTTGCACTGGGTATTATCTAAACTACCTTTGGTCATGGCGACGGTTCCGAAGTAATTAACCAACATGATTTTCTCGTCGACCTCGATGGAGGTGTCGAGTACGGAGCCCCTCGAGCTGCAGCCGCCGTTGTTTACCAAAATATCGATTTTGCCCGTGATGGCCAGTATTTTCTCAACGTGCCGAGGTAACTCCCTAATGTCCCCCAGATCCAGCGGCATTATTACCGGAGGATACGTCGTCATGTTGGAGTGAGTGTGCAGCAGGTCCTCCCGGACTCGTTCAAGTTCCTGACGCCTGCGGGCGCACAGTACAACGAGACAGCCGTGCTTGTAAAACTCGTGCGCGAGGGCTTCGCCAAGGCCGGAACTCGCCCCCGTAATCACCACGACTTTCCCGACGAGCTTGTTGTATCCTTTTCGGAGGCACACAGCGCCGAACATTTTGAACAGGATCAACGAAATGCCGAGTCCCAAACTGACCGGGCCCGCGACTTGAAACGACTGGAACAACCTTCTGGCGTCGTACATTTTGTTCCTCGCCACCGACTCTAGGAAAAACATTTGTAATTGCTCCCGCAATTTATTTAATTATAATCGATCGTGATTTTTGCGGACGTTGACATCGCGTTGCTTGCGATAAAACCCTGAGTTGTTTACACCACGGAACACGAAGGTTATTTCGCATGACTTTCTTACTTTTAATGCGGATTGGGCGGCGCGTGCGTTACGGCATGGTTTTCCTTATTTTTGGTAATACATTCCCCAATTGGGAAGTTAATTTTAAATAATTTTGATCAACATAACCACAGATTAACAAGACTGGTTAGTTGTGGTAAGACCGAATCTCGATGGCGACATAGAATTTAAATTGCCTTTTTTATTTTTCAAATTATTTCGGAAAAACATAGAACCAGGCCTTGGAGCTTTTTTTATATAGCAGTAATTTTATGGATGGGGCAAAAGGAAACTATTTTCGGACGCAGTGAAGGAAAAAAAATGAATTTAAAATGTTCAGAGAAAAAAAAGAGACCATCTCGATAAAAAGCAGGTTCTGTTTGTGATAAAGGCGACTTGGAAATGGAGCCACAACATCCAAGAAACATGCTTCGACGATAATTGGAAAGAGATTATTAATAATTCACTTTCAAGTTTTCTGCACTATTGTATGTAATAAATTATTCTACCAATGTATCGTTATTATTATTTGTATACAATACGGGTGTGACTACTAATTTTTTATCACTATTTATTGTTATTATTTTAAAAGGGAGATTTGTATAGATACTTGGTTGGATACGGTCGAAATTTATCCGCAATTGATGACGTCACACTAACGACAAGCACGGCGAAGATACGCTTCTCTATCCGTTGTTTCTATGGTATCACCGCCGGACAGAGGGTCAAGGACGGGATGCTGTTTCGTTACAGTTCTAAATATTTGACGTCAAGACGAGTGCCGACTATCGCTGTCCTTTTCCGCCCGAGCCTCGAAAAAAACTGGACAGGAATTTTTTAAAAAGACGAGCGGCAACATCGGCCGAACTGTCTTACGCGTGTTTAACATGTTCTCGTTCAACGGCCCGGTGAATTTTGCGCGATAGCAATTCTTGGGCCTGCGAGAGTTTAAAAAAATCGTTTTCAAGGCGTGATCCGACGCCGGTCATGCCGTAACTATGGAGAGCCGGCAGACGTTGAACCTTTATATAACGCACGCTGAAAAGGAGGGACCCTTTCTAAAAGTGTGGGGGCAAACCGACAAGAACAATTCGCTTTACGTGGAACAATTTCTCCTCAGCGCGGCACAGCAATTCGACGAGGGCGTCGGAAAGTTGATCGTGCCGAATCTGCAGGTCGGCAAGGTGGTGTGCGCGAAATACAAGGACAACAAGTACTACAGGGTGAAAATCACTAGCGTCGAATACTTGAACGAATGTTTCGTCGAGGTGTTGTTCTTGGATTACGGTAACAGGGACATCGTGCCCAGCGATAACCTGAGAACGATCGAGCACCCGCTGTCGTTCCTAAATATACCGCCCCTTGCGGCGGCGTTCATATTCGCCGAGACGCATTGCCCGGGAGGGGGCGAATGGAACGAACAGATCTTCGAAACCGTCACCAAGGAGCTGAAGGGTAGGGAAGTGCAGTGCGTCCTGCTCGGCCAGGCGGCCCAGTACTACTTGGTGAAGCTTTTCCTGAATGGTACCGACTTGGGGGCGCTTTTTATCGCGCGGGGGCTGTTGCAGCCTATCCCGCAGCCGTCGCAGCAGGCCGTCTTGTTAAGCATGAGCCTGCAAAAGGCGGCGACACCGATGGTGTCGGCCCCTCCCGAGATTAACACTTATAAAGCTTGCTCCTTGGAGCCAGGCCAGCAGTACCCCGTGTACGTGTCATTCGTCAACGATGGCCCCACGCACTTTTTCGTTCAGCTGCAGCAGTCGGAACAGACGCTCGCGAAGCTGATGAAAGATATCAACGAACTCAACCTGCGGTTGCTGGACTATGTGCCCTTGCCCGGCACGGTATGCCTGGCCAGGTGCCAGGAAGACGGTCACATTTGCAGGGCCGTGGTCACCAACGAGGTCGACAGTCAGTATAAGGTGGGAAACGTTTTATTAGTTCTATACAAACAGATGAAGAGTAACTAGGGACCTTAACCTATAAAATATTTAACCTATAAAGTATTTAATATTTGTCAGGAGAAGGTAGGATATTGCGAAAATCTAATTTTATGGGGGTTATTAGCAATTTATACATTACTTTCAAATTAAATTTAACCCTTCTCATTCTGGACTTGTTACTTTCGAAAATTGATGAAATCGAATTTTTCGCAGAGCAAGCGACACCATAAACTTTTATTCCTGACAATTTTTCAAAAATATACAGGGTGCGCCGCAAATTCAAAAAACTGAAATTTCAAGTTTGTGTATAATACAGGGGACGCAAGATATTTGAAAAAATATTATTTTAAATTGCAATTACCAGTAGAAATTTTAAACTTTGAAGTTTGACGAGATGTGAAGGATAGTTTATACAGGGTGCATGCACAATTAAATTACATCGATTTTGAGAAGGGAGCACGATAGAAAAACAATGCTTCTCTCTACCACACGAAACCGCGAAGCTCTTTTCTTTTATAAGTCGAATATATTTTTCGTGTAAAGGACAAATCTATCAACAAATAACAGCTATTGGTTCTCCATCATCACCAATTATCGCAGGGTATACAGGGTGTCTAATATAAGATAATGTATATGGTGATATTGGAAATTGTAAGACATACAGCGTCCCTTAAATGGAAGAAAAGTTGCCTATATAGATGCTAAAAAATAATCTTTGTTTTATTTTAAATCGATACCCTAACGTAAATAGGAGGTGAAATAGGAAAATGTACAGTTTTGAGAAACTGCAATCTTTTTCTTATTATATGAGCTGAAATGTTCAAATTTGCAGCATATGGGTAAAAGAATACGGCGATGCTAACAATGGCGTCAAAAAAAAAATTGGGCCACTTATGTAAAAATCAACTCTAATCTTTATATACTTTCAAGAAACTCAGATATTTAGTACAATTTAAGACCGAATTGCTATAACAATATTAAGAATTTTCTATTTTACCTTTTACTACGTATTCGTTGTTTGTTATTGTTTATATATTTGTTATTTACCTAACATTATTAATTATTGAGAAGATTTGTAATAATCTGTAGCGTCGCACATCCATGTCCTCTGATTACGTGGCCAAAGTTATCCCAGCTTTCTTTTTTTCCAGGTGTTCTACGTCGACTTCGGCAACTACGAAACGTTGTCCTTCGACAACCTCTACCAGATCCCTTTCAAGTACGTGCTGCCGAAAGTGATGGCGATCCGCCTCTCTCTCGCCGGCATCGAGAAGCCGTCGGTCACCGTCGACATGCTGATCGCGTTCAAAAAGTTCGTCGATAACCGTCTCCTCTACATGACCGTGCTGCCCAGCCAGTTCAAAAAAACGATCATACCGCAATGCGAACTGTGGGACCCGGAGACGAAAACCAGCGCCCTGGACGTCATCAACAGGGCCGCGTTGCACTCGTATCCGGAGCCGTTGCAGCTGAGCCGCGGCTTCTCGCAACCCGTACGGGTCAGCTACGTGTTCAGCTGCAATCGGTTCTTCGTGCAGCTGACGAATCGAGGGGCGGAGCTGGCGAAGCTGATGACGGAGCTGCAGCGACAGGCCAGCGGCGAACCGCTCGATCCGGCCGACGTCAAAATTGGCCTGCCGTGCTGCGCCCTCTTCGTAGCCGATGGCCAATGGTACCGTAGCGAGATCGTAGACGTCGTAGACAGCGAGAGCGTCAAGGTTCGCTACATCGACTACGGCAACGAGGAGGCGGTCCCGGTCGCCTACCTCAGGTCGATCGAAGGCGAGTTGGTGAGTCCCGATACTGATACAAGGTGTTTCGAAACGAGTCGATCAAACCTGTGTCCGGTTTTACATTTTTTAGTTGGGGATTTTTTGGTGTTCGCGTTAGGGCTTGATGATTTTTCGATGTTCTGTTTGTGAAACTTTGGTTTTACATTTTTAAGATGAATATTTTTGGGTTCTCATATGCATTCTGACAGTAACAGTCCGCTTTTACATTTTTTTAGTTGAGGATTTTTCAGTTTCCACATTAAAAGTTTAGGATTTTTCGATTTTCACATGAACTTTGACAGTAAAAGTCCGGTTTTATATTTTTAAGTTAGGGATTTTTTGGTTTTCACGTGAAGAGTTAACGATTTTGACATGACTTTTGACACTGAAACTTTCGTTTTACATTTTTAAGTTGGGTATTTTTCGGTTCTCATATTAATTCTGATGGCGAAACTTTCGTCTTACATTTTCAAGTTGGGTATTTTTCAGTTCTCATTTGAATTCTGACAGAAAAAACTCGATTTAACATATTTTTAGTTGGGGATTTTTTAGTTTTCACATTAGAAGTTTAGGATTTTTCGATTTTCACATGTCCTTTGACACTAAAGTCCGGTCTTATATTTTTGAGTTGGGGATTTTTTGGTTTTCACATTAGAACTTGATGATTTTTCGATTTTCACATGAATTTTGACAGTGAACCTTTCATTTTACATTTTTAAGTTGCGTATTTTTCCGTTCTCATACGAATTCTGGCATTGAAACTTTCGTTTTAAATTTTTAAGTTAATTCTGACTGTAAAAATCCGGTTTAACAAATTTTTAGTTGGGGATTTCTCAGTTTTCACATTTGCAGTTTAGGACTTTTCGATTTTCATATGACCTTTGATAGTAAAAGTTCAGCCTTATATTTTTAAGTTGGAGATATTTAGGTTTCCACATTAGGATTTGATAATTTTTTGAGAGTAAAAGCCCGGTCTTATATTTTTAAGTTGGGGATTTTTTCATATTTCACACGAAGAGTTGATGATTTTTCGATTTTCACATGAATGTTGAAAGTGAAACGTTCGTTTTACATTTTTCGGTTCTCATATGAATTCTCATAGTGAAACTTTCATTTTACATTTTTAAGTTGGGTTGGAATTCTGACAGTTAAAATCCGGTTAACATGTTTTTAGTTAAGGATTTTTCAGTTTTCACATTAGCAGTTTTTTGATTTTCACGTGACCTTTGACTGTAAATGAATATGAATATAAATTCTGATAGTGAAATTTTCGTTTTACGTTTTTAAGTTGGATATTGTTTGGTTTTCATAGTAAAAGTCTGGTTTGAAATGTTTTTGCTGGGTATTTTTCAATTTTCACATGAACATTGACAGTAAATGTCCGGTCTTATATTTTTAAGTTGGGGATTTTAAAAAGTTGATGATTTTGCGGTTTTCGGAAGAACTTTGACAGTCAAAGTTCGTTCGGTTTTACATTTTTAAGTTGGATATTTTTCCTCATTTTACATTTTTAATTACTTTCAATTCAAACAGGAATAAATCCGTATATAAAGGGTTCCATGTGAAAAAACATGTTAACATGTCTCAGTTCATAAAAACAAATCGAAGTTTGAAGTTGATGGAACTTTCCATAAATTAACCACAAGGACAACAGTCCGTGACACAATCGTGAATATTTTCAAAATTACCAATTTTTGTTGGTCACCACAATCATCTTTCGCAGGAGTTAAAACGCCGTTAAATAAAAATATTTTCCTTCTCACAATTTGTGCTTACCATTTTTTTTTGAACATATGAAACGCCGACTTAACTATTGCCACACCCGGTATAAATTTTTCTATTTTTTTCTAAATTTCCAATGGTTGAATTTTATTTTTGCACACCCAGTTGACCGTGCTGAGGCCGCAGGCGATCGAGTGCTGCCTAAACGGATACCAAAACATGGAGCCTGAGAAAAAACGCGACAGCATCCTCGAGGACCTTGTGCTCGAGCAGACGTTCACGATGAAGGTGGTCGAGATGGTCGGCAAGAAGGCGCTCGTCGAGCTGAGCGACGCGTTGCAGTACAACGTGGCGTCGCTGCTGCTCGAGAGGCTCGCGACGGCAAGATCGCAGGCCAGCCCGTTGCTCGTCCAGACCGGAAGCCGGATCGAACATCACCGGAAAACGGACGACGTCGCGGCGCAGATGGAGCGACGGCCGCCGCCGAGGTATACGCGGGAAGGAGGGAGAGTTTATGTTTTCCAAAAATTTTATCGTTCTCAGGGATAACCAGGGCCGCAGGGAAAGGAACGCGGAGGACCAACCCTGGCGTCAGGATAAAAACGAACGGTGGGTAGTGTTCGCTTTTAACTTCCCCATCCCTGGAAAATATTTTTTTTTTGGCGTTAGTAGATAAGTTATGCCGTTTCCAAACCAATGTCAGCCATTTTTACCGCAGATGGCGCTAATGTCGTTTTTGCGACGAATGATGAGATTCTAGTGTAAACTTAACCGCAAGAGTAATACAATGGGACTATAAAAATAATCTATTTTGTGTTTTCAATTCAAGAAATGGTTTAACACAATGTGTATATCGCGGTACGGCGTTGCCAAACTGATGCATTTGTACAAAGCCTTCTCAGAGTTCCGAACTTTCTGATTTTAAACGGAAAGATACGTTTTTATTTAACTTTAAAATTTTCGTTTTGTTTAATTTCAAATAGAAGGTTCAAAACTCTACCAAAAAAATATAGACCATATATTAAATTTCAAAAGTTTTCACTCATTGTTTCCGTAAAAGACCAGTAAGAAACAGTATAATTTTTAAGTTGTGGATTTTTTGGTTTTCACATTAAAGCCGAGGATTTTTCTTTTTTCAGATGAATTTTGACAGTAAAAGTTCGGTTTCATATTTTTAAGTTGTGGGTTTTTTGGTTTCGACGTCAAGGTTGAGGATTTTTCGGTTTCCAGGTGAACTTTCTCAGTAAAAGTGTGGTTTTACATTTTCAAGTAACGGATTTTTCCATTCCCCATGAACTATGACAGTAAAATTTCGGTTTTACATTTCTAAGGAGGGTATTTTGTAGTTTTCACATTACTAGTTGATAGTTTTTCTGTTTTTACATGAAATCTGATAGCAAAAGTCCGGTATTACATTTTTAGTTCAGGATTTTTTCAGGTTTCACATTAAAAGTTTTGGGTTTCTCGGTTTTCACATGAACATTATTGTCAATTGTGTCCCTTATAGAGATCGCTTCTTGAAAAATAATATAACGTGTAAAACAAACCTATCGCCCGTTCTCCCCACGCCTCGTCCTCCCCTTCGCGACACTAACGCCGCTCGCGGTTTCAGTCGTAACAACAACAACGAGCGACGCGGCCCCAGGGACGGCGATAGGTTTAGCAGGGGGCGGCGAGACGATGGCAGCGAACAGGCGACGACCAACGGCGGAGGCGGCGACTGGGGACCGTCGCCGCCGCCTTTCAAACGGCCGAACGGCCGTTACGGACAGAGGGGCGGGGGGCGGCAGCCCGACAAACGTGACGGCTTCAAGAGGCGGGACCAGCGTCGCGACGTCAGTTCGAGCGGCTCGGAGCGGAGTTCCAATCGAGGACCGAGGACGAGCTCGCGCAACACCGACTACCGCGGGGGCGGCGGAAGGGGCGGCGGCGGCGGGCGATTCAAGGATTCGTCGTTCGGCGGCGGCGCCGCTGTCGCCTCCGCAGTCGAAGACTCCTGGAACGTCAGCTCGGTGAGCACGTCGATCGACGCCGCCCCCTGCGACGCCGTCTACACGACGCTCGACGTCGTCGGCACCGAGGCCGCCGTCACCGTTGCTTGGTTCCACAGCCCCGACCACTTTTACGTGCAGCTGAAAGACGCTCAGGTGATTCCTCCATGACCCTTTTTTTTGTATTACTTTATTTATTATTTATTCTAACTTCGTTTTTCATTTCATTTTTAAGTACTTATTAAGCCACTTGCATTGCGCAGCCTGCATGGTTGACAGATACCGTCCAGGCAGTGATAAGAATGAGAACCAAGGCGTCTCAAATTTCAGTAAGAAAAGGAAAAAACGACCAACCATTTTAATTTCTATGAGGAGTAATAACAATAATTCCAAGACCCTACTAAGAACTGCATTTGGATTCTTAACGACATATATCTCACTCAGTTTCAATGTAAATGAGGAAAAACCGTTTTTTTTTTGTTATTTCAAAGTAAAGCAATTGCGGACCTATATTGATATAATAAACTGTTTTTCATAAAATAGTCCAAGGAATCGATCTTTACGTATGTATTTTGCCAAATAACTGATTTGGGCGCCAAACAGTAATGGTCCGGTTTTACATTTTTAAGTGCCGGCTTTTTTGGTTTTCACATTGAAAGTTGAGGATTTTCCGGTTGTCGCATAAACTTCAACGGTAAAAGTCCGGTTTTTTATTTTTAAATGGTGGATTTTGCACTTTTCACATTAATAGTTGAGGATTTTTAGTTTTTCGCATGAATTCTGACGGTAAAAGTCCGGTTTTACATTTTTTAGTTTGGGATATTTAGGTTTTCACATTAAAGGTTGAGATTTTTTCGACTTTGAAATGAACTTTGACAGTATAATTTCGGTTCAATAATTTTAGTTAGGGGATTTTTCAGTCTTCACAATGAAAGTTGAGTTTGTGATTTTTTGATTTTCTCATTGAAAGCATTCTCACCTTAACTTTTCAGTAAAAATCCCGTTTTACATTTTTGAATGGAAGATTTTTTGCTTCTCAAATTCTGATAATAATAGTCATTTTTTAGTTTTCATAGTAAAAGTACAATTTTTTTTTCGGTTTCGACATACATAAACTTCGAGAGTAAACGTCCGGTTTTACATTTTTGAGTAGTAGATTTTTCAGTTTTCGCACTCAAAGTTGAAGATTTTTATGTTTTTACATGAACTTTGACAGTAAAAGACCTGTGTTACAGTATAAAGATAAGGATTTTTCGGTTTTCACACGAACTTTGACAATAAAAGTCCAGTTTTCCATTTTCACCTAGAGGAATTTTTGAGTTGAGTTGAGAATTTTTCGGTTCGCCCATGAATTCTGAGAGTAAAAGTTTGATTTCACATTTTTTAGTGCAAAGGTTTTTGGTTTTCACAATAAAAGTTGAGGATTTTTTGGTTTTCACATGAAATTTGACAGTCCGGTTTTATATTTTTAGGTAGTGGGTTTCTGAGTTTTCACACTAAAGGTTGAAAATTTTTTCTGGTTTCACATGAACTTTGACGACAGTGAGTGACCGGTTTTACGTTTTTAATTTTGGCAGTAAAAGTTTAAAAATATTAAAATTTTGTTTTTTTTTTTTTAGTTTTGCATTTGTAAAATTGAAATTCTGTCCGTTATCAGATTGAAAGATTCTCTTCCGGTTTTCCATTAAATATCGAAAATTTTTCAGATTTCTCGCGAAATTTCATGGTTGCAGATTTTTTTTCGTATTCATAGTGAAAGTTTGCATTTTTTTTTGCCGATTGGCATTTTTAAAGTTTGAGATTTTAACTTATTCGTATCCCATCCATATTTTTTGAACCACGTTACTGAGTTCCGTTTTGAAGTAAAGCAATATGGGGGCCACAATTGCAGGCCGAATTCCGCGCGCTCATGGACGAGATTCACCAGTTCTACCGGGGGCGGAGCCCGGAGGCGTGCCCTACCGGACCTGCGGTCGCCCTCTTTCCCGACGACAACGCGGCCTACCGCGTGCAAATCTTGGAGACCGCCGCCGGCGGCGGTCCACCTTACCACGTCCGCTACGTCGACTATGGGAACGAGTCGACCACCGCGAAAGCGTGGCCGATCGAGAGGCGGTTCATGGAGTCGCCGGCGTGCGCCGTGCGTTGCGCACTCGCCGGCGTCGTCCCCAACCCCGTATGGCCCGACGGCGTCGCCTTCCAACACTACTTTCGCGGCGACGATCGCCTCACGGCCACGTTCCTCTACAAAGACGATACCAAGTGAGTGATCGATTTTATTCAGGACGATTCTCCATTAACCGCGTTCAAGAACGTACATCCGGCTCCTAGACGGCGACGGCGTCGACGTCGCCGGTCGCCTCGTTGGCGACGGCCTAGCCGCCGCGCCCGCCGCCGTAGAAATACCGCTCCTGCTTGGCCAGCAGTTCCGCGTGGTGCTGAAGAGCGTTAACAACCTGGGGGACGTGATCATCGCGTTGGAGTGCGACCTCGCGCTCACCTGCAAGGCCCATAACCTGGAGACGGCGACGGAGACGCGCGAAGACGTTCTCCGCGCTTACGTCGGGCACAAGCTCATCGTTTACGTGGACGACGTCCTCGAGAACGGAACGTGAGTGTCGCGCGTGCGCCTCGTAGCCGTAGACGTTGGCCTGGGCCTGTTTTCAGCCTGGACGTCACCTTCTACGACAATGACGGCAACAAACTCACGATTCTCGAGCCGGACGAGGGCGCCGTCGACGTCGTCGAGCCGCTCTGCCCCGCCCCCGTACTCCGTTCCCGTCTCGCGGGCTACGTGTCGCACGCCGACGAGAAGCGCGTCTACCTGCAACCAGCCGAACACGCCGACCTGGTGACCTCCCTACTGGAGAAGATGTTCGAAACGTACGACGGCGCTCCGTCGGATCAGATCCTCCCCGAAGAGGACGCCATCTACGCGGTCCGTAGCCGAGACACCAATTGGTATAGGGGGCGGGTGGTCGCCTGCGACGACGACAGCGCTGACGTCTACTACTTGGACTACGGGAACGGCGAGCGCGTCGTCTTCGCCGACCTGCGCGTCCTGGACGCGCGGTTCCTCGTGCCTCATATGCTCTGCGTGCAGGTAACGCCCACTTCGCGCCCGCGACCCCAAGCTTCTCATTATCCGGCGTTGCCAGATCGGCCTCACCTCGGGCGATCCCCGAGCCTACTTGGAGAAAGACGTCGTCGTCGTCGACGTATCGTACGGAGAGTCCGGCTGGCGGGGCTCCGTAGAGCCGCCGGAAGAAGATCGACGTCCGGCCGAAGAAACGACGCCGCAGGAGCGGCCATCTATCGGCGCCCCCGTCGTAATCAGTCACGTGGATAGCCCCAGCGAGTTTTACATGCAGTTCGCCGACTCGGCCGCCTCCCTGGCGGAGCTGCAGGTCGCGCTCCAGGCGTGCGCGGAAGGGATGCCCGAGTTGACGAACGTCACCGTGGGCGCGTTGTGCGCCGCTCCGTACTCCGCCGACGGCAGTTGGTACCGGGCGGAGGTGCTCGACGCCGACGACGACATCACCACCGTGCGTTTCGTCGACTATGGCAACACCGACGTCATCGACAACGAGACGACGCGCATTAGGACTTTACCCGCGGACCTTCTCTCGACCGCGGTGTACGCGACCAGGTTAGTTTAATATTTTCGTATTTAAAGTTGAGGATTTTTCGGTTTTCACGTGAACCCCCCCACTCGTACTTTAAAAAATGCTGAGATTTTCTCGATTTTAAGGTTTTCACCATAAATTTATACAAATAAACTTGAGGGATTTTTCCGTTTTTATATAAAGAGTTTAGGATTAACAATAAAAGTCCAGTTTTACATTTTCAAGTTGAGGATTTTTCCGTTTTCATATGAACTGTGACAGTAAGCGTCCGGTTTTCACGTGAACTCATGCACTCGAGTTTTAAAAGTCTGAGATTTTTCCGATTCTAATTATTAAGGTCAGAGATTTCAGAGTTTTCACGTTAAATTTTAAAATGTACTTGCGGGATTTTTTCGTTTTCACATTAGCAGTTTACGATTTTTCGGTTTTCACACGGGCTGTGACAGTAAACGTCCAATTTTACATTTTTAAGTTGATGCTTTTTCGATTTTCATATGAACTGTGACAGTAAACTTCTAGTTTTCCTGTTTAAAGTTGGGGATTTTTCGTTTTTCACATTAAGGGTTGCAGATTTTTCGGTTTTCAGATGCACTTTGACAGTAATGATCCCGTTTTACATTTTCAATTGGGGGATTTTTCGGGTTTCACATGAACTGTGACAGTAAGCGTTCGGTTTTCCTATTTAAAGTTCGGAATTTTTCGATTTTCACGTGGACTCACTCACTCGTATTTTAAAAGTCTGATATTTGAGAGTTGAGAGTGAGAAGATTTTTCGGTTTTCGCACGAGTTTTCGTAATAAAAGTTCCCGATTTTACATTAAAACTATAGGATTTTCCGGTTTTCACATTAGGAGTTGAGGATTTCTCGACTTTAAGGCGAACTGTGGTAGTAAACGTCCGGTTTTACATTTTTAAGTTAAGGTTTTTTCGGATTTCACATGAACTCTGACAGTAAAAGTGTCGTCTTATATTATTAAGTTGAGAATTTTTCGGTTATCATATGAAATGACAGTTTTCCTATTTAAAGTTAGGGAATTTTAGTGAATTCTATCACTCGTACTAGTAAAAGTTCGGGATTGAGAAGCAACTTGGAAAAACGGCTAATGGAGATTTCGTGTTTAAAGAAACAGTTTTTTCTATTTAAATGGTCAACAAAACCAAACCGCCCCCACTTTAGTCACCGTTTCCGACTTTCCCCGGCCCGTTCGCAGGTGCAGCCTGAAATTGACACCGGTCGACGGTTCCGAATGGAGCCAGGCGGCGCTCGAACTCTTCGAGACGCTCGTCGACTCGGCGACGGCGACGTCGGCCGCGTTCCTCGTCCAAGACGAGCGCAACAACTACGTCGAACTGTATGCGGACGGACGCGACGTCGCCGGGACGCTCGTGGCGGCGGGCCACGCGTCGCCTTGCGACATCGTCGGCGCCGGTGACGGCAAGTCGCCGTCCACCTGCTTCGTCAGTCACCTGAACTCCCCGTCGGAGTTTTGGGTCCAGGTGGAGAACTGCGTCGACGAGCTCGAATGGATCGCCGAGCGGCTCTCGTTGGCCGAGAAATTTCCCGAACTCGAGGAAACGACACCCGGAACCCTCTGCGCCGCCCTCTTCCCCGACGACGAGATGTGGTACCGCGCGCGGATCTTGTCCAATACGGTCGCCGGTACGCCGCCTTATGTTTTTTTTTAATATGCCTCGGATACCGATTTTTCCAAACACTTGGTATAGCGCTAATACTAATTCCTACGTCTGTATAGAGACAAATTGCACGGAAAAACAAAATCACGTAATTCGATAAATCGTCTTTTTAAAATTTTATGATAACTAAATATTCTTTCTTCGATATTTCCGATGTTCACTTTAAAACGTTAATATTATTCATTTTTGTCGTTACATTTGCGATCTCACATTTGAAATATATTTTTTTTAAGTTGAGTATTTTTCGATTTTTACATTAAAAGTTAAGGATTTATGAGTTTTCACGAAAATTTATGTAGTGCAAGTTTCAGATTTTTCTGTTTTCACGTTACAAGTTTTTAATTTTTCTGCTTTTGCATTTATAAAATGGTCGTTTTTTTTTTTTCGGTTTTTACATTAAAAATTGAAGATTGTTTGGTTTTCACATTAAATGTTACAGTAAGAGTGAGGATTTTTCCATTTTCACACTAATAGTATGGGATGTTTATGAGATTTGTCTCAGTGGGCGTTAACATTATACTTTTTTATTGTTACAAGTTTAATATATTTGTGATCTTACATTTTAAAGATTTTTTTCGGTTGCTTTTTTAGTCGAGGATATTTCGATTTTGATGCGAATTTCCTTAGAGAAAGTTTGAGATTTTTCTGTTTTCACATTACAAGATTGTTCGGTTTTCATATTAAATATTACAGTGAGAGTCGAAGATTTTTCCATTTTTACATTAACATTTTCGGTTTTTTCAATTCTTAAAATAAAAGATTTTTCAATTATTCTTTAAATGTTGAAGATTTTTCAATTTTCATGTGAACCTTTATAGTGAAAGTTTCAATTTTTTTTGTTTTCACATTATAAGTTTGGGATTTTTCCCGTGTTGTATTTTTTGAGTTGGGAAATTTTCGACTTTCGCATTAAAAGTTTGACTTGACATTTTCCTCATTACAAGTTGAGGACTTCTCTGCGTTTATATTTTTAAAATTAGGCGAATTTTTAAGGTTTTCACATTTAAAGTTGAGAATGTTTCGAGTTTCACATTAAATTTCATGGAAGTTGAGGATTGGCCGGTTTTTCCAAAAAATTTGAGAATTTTTCGGTTTACACATGAACTTTTATAGTGAAAATTCCAGATTTTTCTGTTCGCATTATAAGTTTGGGATTTTTCTGCTTTTATATTTTTAAAATTAGGAGGATTTTTTCGATTTTTAACAATTAAAGTAGGGGATTTTTCGGGTTTCACATTAAATGTCACATTAAGAGCCGGGGATTTTTCTATTTTCACATTAATAATGTGGCATATTTTTCATTTTAACGTCTTTAAAAATAAGGATTTTTCAATTTTTACATTAAAGGTTAACGATTTTTTGATTTTCACGTGAACTTTTATAGTGAAAGTTTCAGATTTTTATTATAAATTCGGGATTTTTCCGGTGTTATATTTTTTAAGTTGAGGATTTTTCTATTTTCCCATTAAAAATTTGATTTTTTCAGTTTTCTCATTTCAAGTTTGGGAATTTTTTGCTTTTAAATTTTTAAAATTAAGCGAATATTTTCGGTTTTCACATTTACAATGTTACAGTAAGAGTCGGAGATTGTCATATTTTCATATTAAAATTATATGCTGTTTTTCGATTCTACAATTTTGAGTTGAGGATTTACCGGTTTTTCCAATAAAAATTGAAGATTTTTCGGTTTTCACATGAACTTTTTAGCGAAAGTCTCAGATTTTTCTGTTTTTGCATTATAAATTCGGGATTTATTGTTTTGGTTGTGGATTTTTTCGATTTTATCATTAAAAGTTTGATTTTTCCAGTTTTCTCGTTACAAGTTTGGGAATTTTCTGCCTCAAGCAGCATTATAAATCTTTTATAAATATCCGTTACGTTCTAATAAAACCTAAAACTTTAAAAATTAAAAAAAGGGGGATTTCGGAGAAAAATCGCGTTAAACGTCGTCGGGAATTCGAAGAAAATGTTTTCATGGGCCAGGTATCGAACTGCTGTTCGTCGACTACGGCAACTCGTGCATAAGCGCGAGCCTGCGGCAGCTGCCGGAGGACCTGGTGGCGACGGCGCCCCTCGCGCAGAAATGCCGCCTCGAACGACCCGACGGAGTGCCGTACTGGACCGCGCAGGCGCAGGAAAAGTTCGCCGAGCTCGCCGCCGACGGTCAGACCGTGTTCGAGATCAAAAAAATCGCGACAGGAGAAACGGCCGTTGTCAGGCTGACGCTCGACGGCGACGACATCGTGTCGAAGCTGCTGCCGGTCACGGAAGAGGGGCGGGTGCTCGATTTCGTCAGCCTGGACGAGTTCGTCGTCGAAGTGGGGGGGGTTAAGCGCTCGCGCGTTTCCCTCGAACCGATGCCTGGGTTCGCGTGGGACCGCACCGCCTCCGACAAGTTTAGGAGCCTCTATCTCGAACGTGAGCGTCTCCTACGACGAAGAGTCGGGCGTCCGAGCGTTTTGTACGATGTTTTCAGGCACCGTGTTTCAAATCGAGACGATCGGCGACGCGGCGGTCCGCCTGTACCGCGACGGGCACGACATCAGGCCCGACCTGGGGGGCGAGCGGAGCGGCCTGAACCTCGCGAACGCTGGCGACACTACACCAGATTCCGGCAACCATTCGGCGCCGAAGGCGGACGACGAAGAAGAAGAGCCGCAACGGCCCGAGGCTGAAAGGAAAGAGGAAGACGAAGGTCTCAAGTCGCCTAGGGTTGAAAGGAAGGAGGCACCTGAGGCATCGCACGGCGAGCGTTTGAAGTCGCCTAGAGCCGAAGAGGAACCTAAGGCGTTTGAAGACGAAGGTGTCGAGTCGCCTAGGGCTGAAGCGTCGGAAAGCGTGGGTTTGAAGTCGCCTTGGGCCGAAAAGGAGGAGGAACCTAAGGCGTTTAAGGGCGAGGGTCTCCAGTCGCCTAGGGCTGATATGAAGGAGACGTTGGAAAGCGAGGATCCGAAATCGAGCAGGACCAGAGAAGCGGTTGAAGAAAAGAACCCCAAAGCGGAGGAACTGTCAAAGACCAAGAAGAGAGAAGAAGAAGAGGCTAAGGCGCCGCTCGGTGCCGAAGAAACGGAAAGGTCGAGAAGAAAGGTCGAAGAAAAGCGACCCGAGTCGCCGAATAAGTTAGAAAGCGGGAAGAAGAATACGAGCGAAGAAGACGCGGACGACACTATGGAGGGCGAGAAAACGATCGTGGCCGCCGACGAAAACGAGGCGGCGAGGTCGGTGGAGGCGGCGCCTAGTCGTCCCGCCAGCAGGTTGAGTCACGACGAGAGGATCGTCCCGGCCGTGGTGTCGAGGCCCCACACCCCGATCGACGACTCCGATTGAGATAATTTTTATATTTGTGTTGTTTTTCCTTTTTCGGGTTTTGGATAATCGTCGGGAAAGGGGACAGCGTTGTGTCCTCCGGCGTCGACTTTTATCGTTTCTCCTCGTCGAGTTTGAGTTCCGTTTGTCTGTTGTTCCCTACGATACTCGCATGGTAATTGTTTTCTTATTATACTTATATTTGTATAATCATCTTGTTTTATTTTCCGATTTTCCTTTAAAAACGAATGCCTCGACAAAAAAGTAATGTCCAACGACCAATTTTACATTCCACCCTTCTTCCCTGATGACGTACGACAAATTTTACTTTCTACCCCCTTAACCTTAACCTCAACCTTAAGAGTTGGAGAAAAGTTTATTGGACAAAAAATAATGACCTACGACCAATTTTAAGAGTTATAAAAAAGTTTATTGGAAAAAAAATTATCGCTTACGACTATTTTTGATGTTTCGACTGTCCACACGCTTGCGAGGCTGAGAAAAGTTTATTAGACAAAAAGATGATCTGGCTTCTGTGCCGACATCATAACGGTCACCTCACAATCGATTGTGATACATATAAATATATATTTTTTTGTTTTAAACTTTTGAGCTTAGGAGCTGCTGTAAAATAAAAGGTAAGTTTTATCCTGTAATTTGATATGAGGCAGTAAATCTTCTATAAAATTACAAATCGGAGAAAGTTGCTACGAATTAAATATCAAAGTTTTGGATCAGCAACTTTCAACTTAACAGCTTAAAACTTAAAAAAGTGTGAAAGTAGAATTAAGTTTGTTCATTAGAAAAGTTTATTGGATACAAAAATGATTGCCTACCCTGCTGCCAAATTTCAATCCCGTACGACCATTTTTTACTCCTAATTTTTTCTCACAAGATTCCATAACCTCGACCGAGCAGTTTTATTCGTCGCTATCGGCAACGTCGCCCGTTCGTGGCGAGCCAGTGTGAAATGAAAAGAAACGTCTGCAACATCAAGCGCTGTTCGTCGCCGACGGCTCAAAACGGAGGTAATTCGATTCGAAGTACGATTTCGATACGTGTTTGCAAACAAGCGCATTCGCAGTGGGCCTGGCGAAAAAATCCCGCACGGAAAACGTCGTCCGAGAGCAACTCGGCCGATTCGTCTGTAACTTTGTCCAAAGACCGGGCAACACGTACCACCTGTACCAAAAAGACTCCGGACAGACGTATTTCAGCATGCTCTCGCCGCAGGTAACGGAAGGCCGGAAGTACAAAATTAAAGTTCGTAAAACCAAAACCATATTACACAAAATCGATTTGCATAACAAAAACGACTAAAAACAAACGTCAAACACCACTATGCGAAGCTCGACGGATCTTCTTCTTTTTATCTAGCTTTCCAGAGAAAACCCACTAAGATTATTCGCCGGTTACCGAAATTCGTCAAATCTGCGCTCCCCTGAATACAACGCGTGACTCTTCACAAAGTGAAAATGTTCGAATGATATATTTTAGTTAAATTAGCCGTACCCATGTAGCTATTATAAAGTGGAGTTTATAAAAACGCGCTGTAAGTCTCTGAAATCCGGATATTATTGGCAACGTCGACCCAAGTTGTTGCCACTGTCACAGAATACCACGGTTGTTTCCGTTTTTACTGTTTGGTGAGGGATCGTTTGGGTGATTATCTCAATTTTGTCTTTCATGGACTGAAGGTATTGAGAGATTTTTGGACAAGTGATAAATCTGGTTTTGACGTTAATTTCTTAACAACTGTTGATATGTGTTCAGTGATGTTTTGAGTATAAGGAAAGACAACAGTTGCTTGATCTTATTAGTAAACTAACCAAGAGGTAATTTTCAGGAGTGGATCGAGCCTCCCCACCTGTACGTAGGCAGTTGGCGGCTCGAGACGGATCGCACTTGGACCAGGACGCAACCGGAGTCCGAAAACGAAATGGAAAGCGAATAAAACATGCAATCAACTATAAAATTTAATAAATATCTTAACAAATCAGTCAGTACTCAACATGATGCCAAACTGAACACGGCGACTCGATTTCTAACGCTAGGCTACTAAGGGTCGGGGTTACGTTATCCTGTGCGCTGAAAAAGTAGAAAAGTTGGGGGGGGGGGCGCATTACGTCACTACCTCAAAAAAGTACTCCGTTCCTTAAATGAAAACGTTACGACCCTCCCGGTGCGCAAAATATAAGTAAAAATGCGATTTATACATAAATAATCGACAATTTATCAATATTTTCAAAAAATAATATTCCTTGTACCAAATTTACTCACAAGTCTTGGGGAGCCTCAGCGGCTCGTCGTCCTTGACGGTAACTTCGTGGGCTTGATCGTGGTAATTGTACACCACGTGCAACTGCTTCGGCTCGCCCAACGCCGGGTCGAAAAATCCGGGCAGCTCGCTCTGTTAAATTTTTAATTATACTCGGTCGTTAAGAGAGTTTTTTTTTTTGAGCACCTTGCAATTTTCGTGAATCACCAGCTTGCCGTCTTTGACGAGACATTGAACGGGCACCGTGACGTCGATGACATCGTTCACCATCTCGGTGTCTCCTCTCCCTGTTACGATGAAAAAGTAGATACTACTACTAGAGGTGCGGAAATTTGATTTTGTAGTGGTTTTTTTTTTTAAATCGCATACCTCTATTAGGTGGCATAGTACGGTGCTAAAAGTTTTTCCCCAATATTTTTCATTTGTCGGACAAAAACTAGGAGAAGGTGGTGTTAAAAACCCAAGATATGTATTAAATATTTTAATTTTAAAATAAAATTTAAAAACATTAGATTTCAATACGCATGATTGGTTGCAACGAATTAAGGCCGCAATAAAGGATTTTTTTTTACTAAAATGTTAAATCAAACCGAAGTTTGCTGTTGTGTAAGCAAAAATCTACTAAATAACACGAACTCAAAGGCTCTGAACATTTTTATATTTATATAAAATATTGACGTTTAAAACTTCTTCTTTCATTTGAAAAATTTTTTAAATTTTAAAATTTAAGTACTTAATAAAAAATGTTCAATTTTGTAATATGTAATCGTAAAAAATTGCTTCTTCAAAAGCCGTTATAAAATGTCTGCGTCCTTGGACTTTGTTAAACTTTAACGCAAGTGTTAATCCACAGTATCTTCATTTTAGGTACTTACAGGTACTTACTTACTGAACTATCCAGAGAAAACAGCCTCGCAGGTTCAAAGCTCGAGAATCAGCTAAATACGTACTTACTGGAAGGATCAAAGTCAAATACCTCCGTAATATAAGATGTTAAAATAAACGCTTTTACTTATTCGAAAATACTCCGCTTAATCAAATTTAAAAAGGTCCATTTACGTTTAAAAGAAAAATTTAAAGTTCATACAAATATTCGTTACGGTCCATCTCATTCAAGACCTACTTAATGCAGAATAAACATCTGTTGGGGTGGGTTTTACCACGGTCCTGCGAAGGTCTGCGGTTATGGTACTGTAAAATACTTAAAACGCCAAAGCAATAAATGCACTATATTTTTTGGTCGTATTATTCTTGAGTTTATTGACTTTTTCCATCGGCATTCCGCTGACAAGAATGCCGTTGTCCTGTGGTGAAATTTGCTTACTTATAATAATATATTTCGTTTTCCTAGTGTACATTTTCAGTCCTCTATATTGCTGGTCGTACAATATCGATTCAAACGATTTCGACGAATTCGAAAACACCCTGTATAATAAGAAAAACAAAAAGAAAGCTGGCGCTCGTACCTGCGTCGAGTTTCCCGTAGACGGCCTTGACTACGAGCAGACCCCTCCTGCTCGCCTCCTCCTCCCTGACGCGCGCGTACGCCGCCATCATCAACTCCTGCGCGGCCATCGCGTCCCGCCTCCTCTCCAGCAGTTTGCTAAAATTGTCCCGTCTCTGTCTCTCGACCTTCTTCGAGCGTTCCTCGCGCAGGAACGGTTCCACCAGGCCCCGCTTCACCACCACGTAGACGATGAGCGGCACTACCGTCGCGTAGAACACCGGAGCCGGCATCACTTCCTCGCAGAGGTCGATCGGCACAAGGTAGGTCTGACTTGCTCGCGTCAACCTGAAACTCGGTGTAGGTTTTTTTTTTTTTTTTTTTTTTAACAACCTTATTTTGAGCTTTACGCCCGCGGGGACCCCGCAGACCACCGAGAAGGCAAGACTGCTGTGCTTCGATACCTTCTTCTCCGCCCCGTACTCGACCACGCCCCCGAAAGTGCCCACCCTGCGACAATTTTTTTTATACTGTAAAAAACGATACCATACCGTATCAAACTTTACTTCAACAATTTCGTTATCAAAGGCTAGAATCAAGACGAAAGAAATCTGCATTAATGTTCTTTTTACCATTACGAAATTGATTGTTCTTGACTGCTAACTAGCGTGAGTTTCAATTGTAAGGTACTGTTTCACAAACAGAAGTAACGTAATTGACTTTTACTTTATTTTAATGACAGGGAAAAATACCACTTAATAATCATGATTCCTCAACCTACATAGTTATATTCTTTAATTAAATTACACAAACAGAATATGCCAATAAGGCCTGTAGTTTCTTTCAAAATTTACACCCGACAAACAGGTAGCACTTTTAATTTGTGAAAAAAATTGTATTAATAACCCACAGTATTGTATTTAGTGTAGCTTCGATGAGTGGATATTTCCTTAGTTTCTTTTTTTTTCTCTTTTTGCGATAACGTGCGGTGCGGATCTGGCTCCCAAAATTTCAGTATTTTTCGCATTTAATGGAAATATTTTTAAATTCGCTGACGATATGAAGTTAATTGACAATATAAGAGACAGTTTAACATTCTCCGATTAAAACCAAACGTATTTTTTAAATAATAGTCATAGCCAAGCGCTATTGTACAATGTATCCCAAACTAGCTTTATATATTTGAGGATCTATCTATAAGAGACCTAATATCAGCTAAATAAAAATACTATTTTGTGATGACGTCCTCTATAGCAATGCAAATATTCTGAAAACGTTATTTTTAATAGAATTGAATGTTTTTACTTACATCACTCTATATTGATTTTCAAAAATTAAAAAGTTGCCCTCTACTGGCGATAATACATAATATAATACACCCTGTATATAGACGAAAAGGGTACATGCAAAAATTGTAGCTCTAGACGCAGCCCAAAAGAGCGTTTGTCCATGGTTTATCAATTACGACCAATGAGTACTCAAAAAAATGGCAATGGGACGTCCTGCACATTTTTGGCTAAACTATATTGAAAATTATGGTATAAAATATGGAGATTTTCATCTCTGAAAACCCCCGAAAAAAAAAGCTAAAATTAATTTGACTACACCAACACAAATTAAAAACAAACCACACACATGAACTGTGCAAGAATATACATTAATCTGATGATGCCATTTTTAGCGCAACATCTCACCTGTTAAATTAAATTTATGTTTTGACAAATGATATGCGGGATTTTTTTGAAAGCGTAAGGGCACAAATTTTGCTACATTGCCGCATTTTATTTTACACTTTATCTGTCTTCTAATGATTTTCAGCCAACAGTTCCGGGACCTTACTTAATCGCCAGCTTGAGCTTGAGCTCCCGCGCGATCATTTTGCGAGTGTAGTGCAATTGGAACGACGAATGCGGGACGCCGACTTGCAACGAAACGTTGAAACGGTTATTCTCTTAAGAAAAGAAAAAAACAATAGCGTCATCGAGGAGTGGTGATGGCGTAATTTACCGGTGTCTCGGACGAGTTGCGTCGAGAAGAGGGAACGCAGGCCGCCGTGGTACGAAACGTACCCGACCGAGTGTTTGTCGATCTGCATCGCCAGGGCTGCCAACCGAAAACGTCAGTTTAAAACGATTTATGACCTATATACTCGCCGTATTACTCGACATTATTCCCGGACGCACGCCCTCTGGCGTGAACTGCAACACGGTGCCGCCGTTCCAGAAGAACCGCTTCGTCAGTGTCCTAAAGGCCTTGAAGGACACCGCGGGCCCGCTACCTGCGTAAAAGAAACTTACGCACCTCTAAACGGCCACATAGCCTATTTTTCCTGTTACTTGTATATTTTTTTAATTCTGTGCGTGGTCCGTGATCTACAACGTTAACTAACCTAATTTTAACCTAAGCTCAAATGACAGCTCCTAGTAATACCACACAATAGTAATTAAATATGGTTAGGTAACCGCTGCTTTCGCGCACTGTTTGTGAAACATGCCAAATAAGAAACTTTCCAGCGCATTTCTAACTAAAAAATGAATTTTGAAATTGAGCCAGAGATAGCAACGGTATGAACCAAAACTTCGGGCGACTTATGCGCCTTGTTTTTGAAAAGTTGGAGCAAGCGAGGTAAAGTACCAAATGTTGTGTTTTCTCTGTTAGTGGAAAGTGACAGCATTAGTTTTTATTGTTGCAGACGTGTAATATTGCAGTTAGAACTAAGTCAAATCAAGTAATAATTCTTTCTATCGCATCTATCGCGAAGCTGTGCGCTTTGGAAACTGGATCGCCGAGTAACGTCACCCAATAATACCAGCTGCGGCTGTGGTGAGAGGAAGCGTATCGTGTTTACGGATCTTGATAGTGTCCGATTGTACTTTCATATTTAATACATTTTTTCGAAAGTACCGTCGACTTAGACTCCCCAGTTTACGTAATTAGGGCACCTCTTGAAATTTCTGCTTTCGGTAACTTTATTCGTTTTTCTTTATTTCTATGGTTAAGATTACCAGGATCATTTAGTCAGACTTTATTGGTTGTTAAGCTTATTTCATGCTCGTCTTCAACTTGTCCAAAACGCGTTAAAATGTTAGGTTAACTTTCGTTTCCTTTAGTTTAGAAAAAAAAGTTTGTATAGCAAAGGAAATGGGCACTCTGCGTGACTCACACGCTCACAATTTGAGAGATAAGCGAATAAGGGGCATAGAAAAGATTTCCTTTAAATTAAAAAAATTTTCAACAAATACACATAGAAGATGATACTGTTTCCAGTACATAAAAGCAAATCATTTTATTTTTATATTCAAAATCTGAAATACTTAGTGTTTACTATATTAGAATTGGCAACAAACCCTACATTTTAAACTTTAAGAAAAACATATTCAGCCCCATTTTGAATTGAACTTTATGAATTAGTAAGGGATTCAATAAAAAATTACTGATACAATCTCCGCAAGTCAATATTATCCCTTATCCTTGCATTTTTGTTTTGTTTTGCGGTCTGTGAAGTGTAACAGACTAACGTAATCACGATCTAACTTAAAATGACAGATTCCAGTGCGAATGACAGAAGTGTAGGAGGCATTAAATATTTCAAATTTTAATTGTTTACAAATATGCAAGTATTTGATTAGTTTTAGTTTATATTATTGAATTGATAGAGAAAACAAGAAAAAAGGGCCATTATTTAAAAATATATAAATGCAATGCAACTTGGCAACAATGTATTAGAGTCAAAGCGGTCTCTTAAAATTGAATGCCATTATCATTGGACAATAGGCAAATCCTTTTTTCTAAAAAATTGTGAACCTACTTATGAGGTAGGAGGTATTTTGTTGTCTTTTTTTTTTGTTAATTTTGGTTTTGAAGTTAAAGTCCATAATTTTTCTGACCCACCTGAGGAAAAAATGGCACTTTCTCGAGATTTTGCGCTTACTTCTAATCTAAGCATCTAAGCTCTAACGAGGAGTCGAAGCACTAAGTAAGGAAACTCTCGGACTTACCGACCGCCATTTCCACTTCTGCCCAACTTTTATGGGAGAACAGGTGTCTCCAGCTCAGGTTGACTCCTCCGCCGCCGACGCCATTTTGCGCGTGGAGCTCCCCCGACAGCGTGCAAGTGTTACTGCGTGTAAGCGGAAAATCCACAGACTGCGTGAACTGCATTGAAGAAACCTCAATGTTGGGAAGACTGTAAACAAGACCAGCCGACTCGTATTCATCATCAAATAGGTCGCCGTCATATGGGTTAAACAGGTCCGCTGCGTTGATGGCTATCGTTACGTTCCCAGTGGGATTAGTCGCTTGTTTCTTCTTCCGTTCGGCCCTCTCCTCGGCCAACTGCTCATACTCGGCCCGGATCTCGGCCGGCGTTTTGGTTCTCTGCACTATCTCCCACCCTTCGATTTCGAGACCTTTGGTCCCCAAGGAATCATAGATGGCCCTATGGTGCGGGTCGGATAAAACTAAAACGTCCAATACAATTAAGGGAAAACGAACGTTTTGCCTCATAACCACCTTCGTAGGCACGTTTAGTTTTGTTGAACATGGTTTCCGCTTTCGCTTTGAGCGCGGGATCTAAATGCTTGTCCGGGTGGTACATACGACTTAACCTCCTATACGCGTTGCTTATTTCCTCCTTCGTGGCCTACACGAAAACGTGATCGTGTTAAATACGTTCTATCGCGGTCGTTATGGTTTTACCTCTTTTGGGACATTTAAGAAGGAATAATAATCCTCCTCGGCCACCGTTTCATCGTCCGAGTCTAAATCCATAGCTAGTTTTTAAAAGAACCGACCCACTCGCAAAATTCCACGCAGTCGACTACGAAAAACTTTGCATGTTTAAAAAGTTTTAATTAAAAAAAACCCGAACCGAAAACTTATTGAATAATTTTGATCTTCGTCAAATCTTTCTAAAAATCTGATCCAGGCACAGACCATAGAGCAACGTATAAATACGGCGCGGAGGAATTTCACATTAATTTGTAACCGGTAACGAAAATTTTGTTTGACAAGCTTGCGCGTGGACGCGAAACCAGAGACCCATAAAAATAAACGTAATAACCTAACCAAACTGTTAATTTAACGGTTTATTTACGCAAGGTGCACAAAGATAGGATATCTCAGTTTTAAAAATAGAATAACAATTCTCTTCAGTCCATTTTCATCCTCAGAGTCTAAACTAAACTTTACAAAACCACGTTTGACATAAAGAAACTGAGCCAAAAGTTATTTAATAACTTTGATCTTCCTCTAAGACAAAATGCGGACTTGAAAATTGAGCCACAAGCATCTACATTAAAAAAAAAATGCAACACCTTTATGGTTATTTAATTCAACAACGACAATTATTTTTATCAATTTAAAAACAAATAGTAAAATCAAAACACAGTGCGAAATTACGGGGCAGCGACTGGTTTGAATAGTCAAAACTACAAATATGACGTCATACGAATGAAGCGTCAAACCACTGACCTCCAAACATATCACGTACAATAAACTGACCAAATTCTATTGAAGGGTTTATTGGTCCATAGTTGTTCAAAAAGAAACCATCCCAAATTATAATAAAGTAATTGCGAAACTGCCATGGACTCCGTATATATCTAAATTTTAAAGTTTCGCATCACGGGCTAGAAATAATCACGGATCACTGTGTGCGCCACAACGGGGCTCAAGTTTGCATCAACTCGGAATCCTCTTCGCGTTTCCGCTTCAAGCTGTTCTCCATCATGTGGCCCGAGCCAGTGGGGGAGCCGGCAAGCTGAATGTTCTGGGTGATCTGAATCTTGGGTTTTAAAATAGTTTTCTGCTGCAAGGACGGGGCGCCGCTCACTTTCGTCACTGTCTGCTTGAGGGCCCCGGCGTTGGTCCTTTTCAAAAAGCTTATGTTCGATTTTTGCATCATTTTTGACATGGCCCCCGCGCCAGCATTGTAGTTTTTCTGTAGCCCCTTTTTTTGGACGCTCTTCAGGGTGTAATTGCACGAGGACAAACAATATCTGTCCGGCGGCAAGCGGAGCCCGCAGTGGGGTTTAACAGCGGGGAGTAACGTGTAGTTTTTGACCGAAGCGCACTCGAGCACCACTTCGCGCGGAGGTGGCATCGTGAAAGAGTTCTCCGTCGTAAGCTGCAGTGCTAGCTTTATGTCATCCACATCCAACACTTTCTGCTTCGGATTGGTGGCGTACATTTTGGCCTCCTCGAGAATCGATGTCGCGTATCTGTACACAAATTCTGTGAGCTGCACGATCGTCTTGGGCTCGTACTCCGTTATACCCATTTCTTTCATGATGGCGAGTATTACTTGCCCATCTTTCGGGATGTTTTTGGGTGGGTTATTCTTTTGCTTTTCTTTTTCCGACATGGCGCGAGTCGAATGCTCGAGGCTCCGTTCGAAATAACGGATTGAAACGGCTTGAAAATCAAACGACTTTAAAATCAGACCCCCGAATATTTTCTATACGTCCACGGTTCGCGTCACAGACCGACGACTGGCCTATATTACAGAACACGAATCAATAAGCAATACAGCTGGCTAATTTTAATACCTACTCCTTTTGGATTTATTTTTAATTCGATTTAAACGATGTTCAACAAAATGTCGCAAGGAGTTAATACGACGCAACGGGTTGTCCAATTTTATAAACGTTTTGGGAAGTAAAAAGGAGACCGTTCGAATTGAGGTATACGCTCAAAGTTATGTCAGAGGCAGGTGTGCATTTCAAAGAAAACAAATCGATAAGTCAAAAAGCACCACCACTAAGTCTAATAACGTCTTTTGATGAATATTTAACGACTACTTTAAGTTTTGTTTTATTAATGTTTTATTAATATTTCATCCAAAAATACCGATTAAATCAAAATTTTAATAAATCATTGTGATTTCGACATTTAGTTTTTGTGATACTATACGCTGTTCTTGCCCTCCGGAGAGAAAACGTCAAATGTTTGACCCCAATCCAATATTACCGGGTATATTTTCTATATTTGTAAGAGCCGGTCAGATTGGATTGGGACAGAATTGTTTTATAAGTTTGGTTGGGGGTATCAGACATAAAAAAGGCGATATTATCATAGTAGACTACTAAACATGTGTTCGACGTGCTTGAAAAAATAAACTTAGCTATGATGCTCATGACTTGATTTAACTTCGTCTTTTGTGATATGTTCTTGTAATGCGTCCACAATAAAGTCAGTTTGTTATTAAGTCCACGGTTAACGTCACTTGCCTATATCACAGACTACGAATGCGATTCGAATCAATTATTCGTACAACGACATTCCACAACATACATAACCTCTTCCGATGTTTTTTTTAATTCGATTTAAAGGATGTTTAACAAATTATCGCCTGCAAATTAATACGACGCAACGGATAGCCCAATTTTGTCAACGTATCGGGCAGCCGGTTCGCAGCAAAAAACCCACCTCTGCGGGCAATGCGGTATTCATTATGCGTTGGAATCGACGACCGTAAAACTGTTTTAACGCTACGCAGGTTCAAAATTTCGCGGACCTGAAACACGTACGGGTCGTGGGCGGCTCGGGCGGAAACGGTTGCATTTCGTTCTTGCAACTGTGGTGCAATGAAAACGCGGGCCCGGACGGCGGCGACGGTGGCAACGGAGGCCACGTCATCTTTGAGGCCTCTTCGCACGTTCGAGATTTAAACCAGATGCCGACCGTGATCGCGGGAGACAGCGGCGTAAAAGGTACCAACAAGGATTGCAATGGCAAAAACGCGCAGCACAAAGTCGTCAAGGTGCCGGTCGGTACTGTCGTAAAAAATGCTGAGGGCAAGGTGGTCTGTGACCTGTGCAAGGAGGGTCTGATGTTTATCGCCGCGAGGGGCGGAGCGGGCGGTAAAGGGAACAGTTTTTTCGTCACCGACGTGGAACAGGCGCCGAAAATCTGCGAATATGGGGCGGAGGGCGAGAACTTGCAGTACACAGTCGAAGTTAAAAGCATAGCGCACGTCGGTTTGGTAATTATCGTCGTTCGTAGACGTCGTTGTAGGTTATAATGATAATTTCCAGATAGGATTGCCCAACGCGGGCAAAAGCACCCTTCTGAGGGCCATTTCGCGGGCGAGGCCAAAGGTCGCCCCCTATCCTTTCACCACGTTGAAGCCCCACTTGGGGATGGTGCAATATGACGATTATGAACAAATCGCAGGTGATTATTCATTTTAGGGAAAAAAGTGGTAGGGTTTAATATGTAGAATTAATATTACACTCTGATTTATATACAAGGTGTTAAAAAAAGCATACTAATTTTTAAATTTTCAAAAACATATAACATTACAGTTATTTTTTACATTAAAGCGAGAATTGTTCAAAAACAAAATCGTCACTTAGTTGTCTGTGCATTGTCATGGAGTCTTTTGTTTCATTATGGCAGTTGTGAATATAACAAAACGTTTTCAATTAAAAAAAAAATCGAATTATTGTTGTATATAAAAAAAAAACATAAAAGCTATGTAGATACAACAGATATAGAAGAACTAATTTATCGAGTAGGAATTGTGCGTCAAATGTTGAAAATGTCCTGCAATTTCCTGAATTTGCAGTTGACGCCCTCTTTTGAACATGTCTAAAAGCTTTCATTATTCAGTTCCAAATCATCAATATTATGTATTTCATTTCTTTGACATGGCATCCAAAGTAAATTTTGTTTTTAAGTTTCTTTACAAAAAGGTGCCTGGAAGAGTAAAATCTGGGCTATTGGCTGGCAATAATATTTTATTTATATTATATAAAATTGTTATTTAAATGTTCTGGTTTATTTAAATAATAATATTTAAAAGGTGCCACAACTGTCAAAATTAAACAAAAGACGCCATGATGTTGCATGTGACGATTTTATTTTTGGAAAATTCTGGCCATAATGTAAAAAATAACTGTAGCATGTTTTTCTCGTATTGGAGGTTTTTTATAATAAAAGAGAACTCCACTACAAGTTATTTATTTAAATAGTGCCATGAGGTTCAGACATAAGCGCGCGAGGTGACTGGCTAAACTCTCTAGACCATAGAATAGGAACACCACAGACCAACCAACAAAACCCTGATGCAACAGTTTTGAAATCAGCATGAAAGGAACTTTTTTTTATGAAATAATATACTGGGCTTCCAATTTTAAGAATATATAATAATAATTAATAAATAAGGATGTAATATTAAGTCCGCACATCAAACCCTTCACCTTTCGCATTAAATTTTTTTTGAAAGTGTAAAATAAAAGTATCAGAGGAGGTAACATTTTATAATGGTCAACCCTTGTACGAGGTGTCCACGATTCGTTGGGTTCGGCGGGTTTCAAGGGAAGATGGAGAAAAATCGATTAATTTTTGACAGATTTTAAAATTTAATTCTGAAAATTCTGCATTACTGCAGAACCTAACCTAACTATTTTGTTTCTCAACATAAAATCATGAAAATTGACATATATATATATATATATATATATATATATATATATATATATATATATATATATATATATATATATATATATATATATATATATATATATATATATATATATATATATATATATATATATATATATATATATATATATATATATATATATATATATATATATATATATATATATATATATATATATATATATATATATATATATATATATATATATATATATATATATATATATATATATATATATATATATATATATATATATATATATATATATATATATATATATATATATATATATATATATATATATATATATATATATATATATATATATATATATATATATATATATATATATAGGCAGTTTCGTACCCTGATCTGAATAAATTAAAGAAAAATATTTATATTATTATATTATTTGTATACGTCAAAAAAGATATTTTAACATTTAGGTAATGTTTTTACAATGTTTGTATTTATCGCAGTATTCATAAAAGTTTTCCAAAATTCTGAACACCCATTAAATTTGGGTGTCTTTCCTGTTCTCCATTTCGATAAAATAAAATATTAATTGATAAATCAAATTTTATGCAAACATCATTAGTTTAATTATAATTATTCTCTCTTATTCTTGATGCATGGTCCGAGTTCTATTACTTCATATCAAAAACGCTATTTTTTATTTTCCCAGAAGTCAGTTAAGATATGTTGCTATAGCGTACATCTTGTAAAATCAAATACATTTAAAAAAGAAAAGCAACGACCTTTGCCTAGTTAATTGGCGCAGTCAGTACGATACTATAATGGTAGTCTAACCAAAACTAACGAAAACTATAATAAACTTTTAAATAGCCTGTAAAACGAGTTAGCTGAAAGCATTTTGAAACAAAATTCTTTATCTCCATCCAGACCTTAATTCGAACGTGTCGAAATGATAAAAAAAAATGTTTGCAAATGTTCTGTCGCAGTGGCCGATTTGCCGGGCCTGGTGCGCGACTCTCACAAAAATCGGGGCCTCGGCATACAGTTTTTGAAGCACACGGAAAGGTGCGCCGCCTTGCTCTACGTGATCGACGTGTCTCTACCGGAGCCGTGGCGCCACCTGGAAATTTTGAGGTTTGAACTGGCCCAGTTTAACGAGAGTTTTGCGAGGAAACCGCAGGTCGTCGTCGCGAACAAGATGGACCTCGCGGACGCCGAAGAAAACTTGCCGGAGCTGAGGTCGCGCATCGACCTGCCGGTGGTACCAATCAGCGCGAAATTCGGTACTAACGTGAGGAAGTTGTTGGAGAAGATGAGGGCGATTTACGACGATAACGTTGGACAGAGTGTAGAATAATTATAACATCGAATACAACATGTTTTAAGTTCGCTTTTGTTGTTATTCCGGGATGTGCGTAGAGAAAATTGATTAAAAAAAAAGAGTTTGAGGTTTCCTGTAAGTTCTGAAAACAGCTGTTATTGTGATGCAAATATAACACACCAGAGTAGCCTTAGCCCATAGCTCGCGCACCCTGTACGATAGACGAAAACGGTAAATGCAAAAATTGTAGCTCTCGACGCGGCCTAAAAATCTAAAAAACCCAAAATCGGCGCCATTTCTAGCGCTTTGTCAGGTACAGCCTACAATTTAATCGGAAAAACAGCAATTTTCAGTTTTTTGGCCATAGCCGGGACAGCCTGTACAGTCTGAACTATTGGGTTGTTCGGAAAGTCATTTCGTTTTTTTTTTGGGAATATGAAAGACAGTTTTCGTATAATGAATAAATATTTTATTAAATTATATATTGGCCATTCTGGTCCAACACCTTTGGCCATCTTTCTGGCAGTAACATAATTCCTTTCTCATAAAAGTTTTGGTCCTTGCTGGCAAAAAACTGGTTCAGGTGGTTTTTGACATCTTCATTTGAGGTAAAGGTTTTGCTATCCAAAAAATTTTGCAGGGACTGGAACAAATAGTAGTCGGAAGGCGCCAGATCTGGAGAATATGGTGGATGTTGCGGTACGTCCCATTCAAGCTGTAAAAGTTTTTGGCGAGTGACCAAACGTGTGTGAGGTCTCGCATTATCCTGGTGGAACACTACACCCTTCCTGTTGATTAATTCGGGCCTCTTCTCTTTAAGTGAATCATTCAATTTGTCCAGTTGATGACAATAGACTTCTGAATTAATCGTTGTATTGTCCGGCAAAAGCTCAAAAAAAACGATTCCTTTGACATCCCACCAAATGGAGAGCATCACCTTTTTTTGGTGAATGTTGGCTTTTGACACGCTTTGAGCCGGTTCATCTTTTCTGCTCCATGACCTCTTGCGTTTAACATTGTTGTATACAACCCATTTTTCGTCCCCAGTAATAATCCGCTTCAAAAATGGATCATTTTCTTGACGTTTGAGGAGCGAATCACACACGTCAACGCGACGACACAAATTTCGCTCCGTAAGGACATGGGGCACCCACACATCGAGCTTCGAGGTTAAGCCCATGCCTTTCAAATGGCCATAAATAGTCGAATTCGACAAATTTAATCTCTCACCAATCTCTCGTGTGGTTATTCGCCGATTTGCATCAACTAATGCCTTTATCGCATCTTTGTCAGCTTCGACCGGCCTTCCACACCGTGGTGCATCTTCGACATCAAAATTGCCGGATCGAAATTTTGCAAACCAGTTCTGGCACTGGCGTACTGTTAACACGCCTTCTCCATACACATCCGTCAATTTTTCTCTCGCTTGGACAGCATTTTTACCTTTTCTGAAGTAAAAAAGTAAAATATGACGAAAATGCTGCTTATTGCTCTCCATATTTAAAAGGGCACCAACCAAAAACTACTGCGTAGAATTAATAGAACTTTTTCACACACAAGCCTTGCAATATCAGCTCTCAAGACATATAATGGTTATGCGGCTTAAGTGTGAAGTTGGTTTCGAAAAAACGTAATTAAGTCCCCTGACGGGAAAAAACGAAATGACTTTCCGAACAACCTTATATATTTTTGGAGTCGTTGCCCTGCGCCTTCCGGCTCAAGAAAACGAGTGTTTCCAATGTAATCAGGCACGAAAAACTTCCTGCAGGTCCGTAACGAAGATCAGAGAACAGACAAAAAAATTAAACTGAATCGATCTGTACCAAACGGCGTAAAAATTATGGCATAAAATAGGGAGATTCTCATCTCTGAAAACCCCCGCATTCAAGTAAATATTTGGAGAAGTAAACTTTAACGCTCTGCGTCTTATGAGCGACATTTTATTAAGACGTATATTATGCTCTTTACCATTACGCCACCTTACGCGGCGAAACAATCACAAAACACGTAAAATATATGTTATAGGTAAAACGAAAAACACAAAAAATCTAAAATTAATTCGACCAGACCAACACAAATTAAAAAGAAACCACACACACATGAACTGGTCAAGAATATACATCAATCTGATGATGACCGTTCGAATGATATCATCTTCAAAAACCTACCGATAGTCCGTTACGGAGAACAGAGAATGGGAAACTCTTTCGAAATAAATATATCAAGTTCAATATCCAGAGTTTTCCTAAACTGGAAGAGTTGCAATGGTAAAACATTCTGAATTTTCACTTTAACATTTCCGGTGCTGACTTTCGTTATTATATTGTTTTTTTTTTCCTCTTTCATTTTCGAGATAGTTTATCAAATTTAAAACCCTTGTTTTTGCTTGAGCTTTTTAAAACCCTTTAATCTTATAGGTTGTTTTTTTCACGCAATGATAATATACGTTTGTCTCATTCGTCTTACGAATTTTATTGGGAGATTACAATTAAACAAACGTGAGATTTATCATTGATAAAGTGTAAAATTATAAAGTAATAAAATGCAATGCTTGCCACTTATTCAGTTTTATTTAAAAATATAATACGAGCAGGAATAAAACTTATATATGGATTAAACAATATTTTCTTATACGGCTTAAATAGTGCTTTTATTAGGCGAATTCGTTGGGCTCGAATTTAATGAGAAAAGGGACAGCATAACGAGTTAATCTTTGTTTGTCTGGACTGTGAAAATATTTATTTTCGAAATGATCTTCGCACAAATACATTCTCGTGTTCGACTCATCCGGGTGCATTATTTTAAACCAACGTTTTCATCTTTCTGGGTCTTTCTCGGGAAACCGAAAAAAGCTCTTATTTTTATATTCCGCCGTTGTGATTTGCCTGTAGTATGGATTATTACATCCTAACGCGACGCAATTGTAAGTTAACCTCCCTATGGACATTGTGACACTGGATTAAAAACACTAGGCATTTTATTTCACTATACCATAACTTCACTTTGGATTTACCTTTGTTTTTGTTTTACTAAGCACGAGGCACAATAAAAACCAAGAGTAGCAAACAAAACGAGTGTTCTGTTTTAAAAAACAAATACGGAGACCACTTGTCTGGAATTTAAATTAATCAAACAAGGTTTCTTCCGCGTATTAACAAGACGACTTCCCTAGTCGCCCCTTTCCAGCAGCCCAGGTGATGCCATATCTTCTTCCTTAAAATCCGTTGGGTAACCATTCAAGCACGTTCGCCCACTCTGATGGCATATAGCGTTGGGTAATTCGAATCAAAGCACAATAGTACAACGCATCAAAGAATCCGCGTAATCTAACATCAGGGGTCAATATTTTAAATCAAAAGTCAAAAAAATTCAAAAGCATTATCAATTTTCTATAATTATAGATCTGGCAAACCGAAGAATGTAACAATGTTTTACCATCGGTCAAAGCTGAAAATTATGCTAGTGTTGGAATCAAAGAATCGTAGTGGATCTGATCAAAGAATCTGTTTAATCCGATTATGAATTCGAATCGTTAAACGGTAGGAATCCAATATCGGCACTCGCACCAAACAAAAGAAAGGCTCCGCTACTTATTCATAAAACCAGTCAATATTTTAAATTAAAATCAATTTTCTCAGAACTGGAACTAATAATTATACATCTTATAAACGGAAGAACAGAACTCCTCTAGGCACTTAAAGAAATATATCTGTGCTCTAAGTTGAAAATAGCGCAAAGAATCGTGCTTCATCGCGATCCCATTATTAATTCGAACCATTAATTGTAGGAACCCAATATCGATGATTCGTCTAGCACTCACAAAAGTAAAAAAAAAAAAATCCCGGAAATGGAATTACTAATGATAGAACTGGCAAACGTACAAAAGCGTCCTTTTGAAAATTTATGAAATCATATTTCATCGGATCAAAAAATCCGCGTAATCCGAATCTAGTATCGGTGTTTCGTCGAGCAATAGGACTATATAAAACATCGCTACCCATGCAAAAAAAGTAAAAAGTTTCTTGAAGCTGTTAGAATGAAGGCCGGATTTTGAACTCTAACAAAAATAAACAAGCGTCCTGTAATCAGCGGTTGAAAATTGAGATAGTGTTGGGTCATTCGAATCAAAAAATTCGAATCATCAAATGAAAACGCTTTATTGAACATAAAAATGTGAACTTACAAAAATAAGGCCTCAGACCGACACTCTGGCGCGCGCGAACTCCTCCGCCAACCGTAAGACCACGCCCACGTCTACGGCGTAGTCGCCGCTAGCCTGCGCAGAGTCGGCTTTGCCGCCGCCCCGCCCTCCTATCTTCTCTGACACCGTTTGCACCCACTCGTTGGCGCGCAGGCCTTTGGCGATGGCGTCGTCCGACGCCCACGCCAAACAGAACATCTTCTTCGCGTCCGTATCGACCGAGACGAAGAGAGCGGCCGAGGTCGACCGCCCCGCCCCCTTGACGTGCTTCAGGGCAGCGCTCAGCGCTTTCGTATTGTTCGAAGCCTTCAGCTCTTCGACGAGGTAAAGCGGATTCGCTTCGAGCAGCTCCTTGACGCGGTCCAGCACTCTGGTGGCGACTTCCGCCTTGTCGGAGCGCTCGCGCTGGTCCAAGTTGAGTTTGAGTTTTTTGAGGGCGGAACACATCTCCTCCCTCTTCCAATAGGAGATGATGGCGTGCGAGATCTCGTCGCTCAGCTCGACGATTTTTTTTACGTGGTCCTTCGAGTCTGCGCCGTTAGGGTCGCAAGCGATTTGAAGGCGGAGGCTCTCTACCCTTGAGTGTTGCGGAGGAGGAAAAGTTATAGGGGCATCTATAGAGTGTCTCAAACTATATCGTCTTGGCTTTTGACGGTAACAAAAAGTAATTACAACAACTAATAATATAATAATAATAATAAATAATAATAATGGTGAACAAGATATGATATGATTGGGTACTCTGAAAAGGAAGCTAGAAGCAGCAGTTGCAAGTTTCAGTAACATCTATCCCTCTTTTAAGTGGAAACGCAAAAGAAATCAAATCCGAAAAAACACTTCATTGTAGTCCAGTGCAGTTGAAGCTTGATTATGTTACCGTATCTTTTTAAAATCATTATCAATGATGCAAAATTGAATTCGCTATACTTCTTAAGTGTCTCGACTAAAAAAGCACATTTAAAATGTTACATGAACTTTAACAAAATAAAATAAACATATTGAGTAATACAAAAGCATTATTTGCAAAACTACTGCACAATTTGTTCCGGAACGTTACCCATGCAATCGAATAATTTGCTCTTTCTGATTGAGTAAATTTTTAGGCGTACTGCGAGTAGTTGTAGTTAAGTTTTAAGGCAATTATAACTTGTTATTGTGTCTTGAGCCTGTAAGTTTAATTAATAATAAAGAAATAAAAAAATACCGTAATTAACGTTAGATCAGAAGTGGGATTAAGGACTCTAGCTCGGACTAACATGACGATGCGATACGGAATTTTCAAAGTTGTCTTTTGAAAATATTCCGGATAACAGTGTCATTGTAATGGACAACGCGAGCTTAGGCACTTGAAAGGTTGCTCGTTTAAAACGAATGTGACAAAAATAAAAGTTCATGTATAGTTAAATTACTTATATTTATATTTTTGTTGGTAGTTTCCATCTCGTTTACTGACTTAGGATTTGTTACTTTCAAGAAACCGATAAAATCGATTTTTAAATTTTTGTCTGTTCTCTGTTCTCCGAAACGGACCTTCGGGAACTTTTTGAAGCCGGATAACATACGAATGGTTGAAACTACCAGCTTTAAATTTTCCATCCTATTAATACTAGACGATGCGCAGCCCGATGCAAAATATTGAGCCGATCAGACGCAGGCGGCCATTTTGTCGGCTATTAGTGGGAAACTCGCTACGAAACAAAGTAAGTGTTCGAAATTTCGAACTATCGAGTTCAAATTCGGCAGGAATTTGGAATTATGTCTCCATATTAAACCAATCTTTTTATTTACTATTTTTGTCAATCATACAGGGTTCGCGATATACGGGTTCGAAATCGATTGCTTGGATTTAATATTACCTCGTAACTCGACTACCTATTACACTGGGTGCTCGCAAAATATTAATGTTTGTGATAGTGATAACTATGATCAAAAGCCGCGACGATATACTTAGAGACAAAGTATACAACGTGACGTCGTCGACCAAAAATATAGTGCATTTATTGCTTTGACGTTTTAAGTATTTTTTATAGTAACCTTAACCACAGACCTTGGCAGGACCGTGGTAAAACCCATCCCCACAGATGTTTGTTCTGCATTAAGTAGGTCTGCTTCATATAAAATTGTGTTGTGACGCTACTGATCCAGGTATATAAATGAGCCTCAGCTTATACAGGGTGTCCCAAATAGGTACTGCCGTTTTGGCGAATTCAATTAACAAAATCTTTTCAAATGGAACATAATTTTATGCAAAATTTGAATAGGAATTTCCTATTTTAACCAAGAATTCCAAAAATGTCAAAATACACAGGGTGTTCCATTTAAAATAACAAAGTGGATGCCGGGGGGGGGGGGTATTTTTGGGACACCCTGTATCAACATAATTATAATATTTTAAATCTAATTTAAATTTAAGGAGAGTCCAAGAAACTTTATTTCGTATCTCCTATGGAGTTCCGGATTGTTACCGTAGTTAGATAAATTCCTAGAACGGTCCTTGAATGGTCATGGGTAAGGGTCTGCTCAATAGGGTGTTCTATAAGGGGCTACGGTTTTGGTGTAATAAACAGTAGGCAAACTTAATCACGGGGTCGGTTGTAAAAGCACTATATTTCTGGTCGAAGTATACCTTTTCTCGAACTGTTCGGTGGTCGCGAGGGCTTGGGTCGCCTCCGCACCCGTCACTGCCACAATCCTGCGGATGCCCTTCGCTACCGCTTCCTCGCTAGTGATGACGAAGTCGCCGATGTGTGCGGTACGGTGCACGTGGGTGCCGCCGCAGAACTCTATCGAGTACTCGTCCCACGCGAGATTGAACGGATCTTTTTGCAGGTCTTCGACGGGCACGCCTACGTGGAAAAACCAAGTATCACCTACGTGGTACGTGCGACAACGGGCGGCAAAATTCAAAAAAGTGAGGTTAATAGTTGTTTTTATTACAGTATTATATTTTGTCATTTCATTGGGAAATTAATTTAACGAGGAAAAACGTTATTTTCCATCGAGTGCGCACGCTTCAACTAAAGGATTCTGCAAAATAACGTCAACAAAAAGAGGTACGAAAAGTTCCTATTAAATACATTGACAACACCGAGTAGGAAGTACCCATTATAAAATGCAGATAGTCTACATTACTCTTTATACACTAGCCTTTATCAAGTGAAGACAGTTTACAATATTCGTTATTAACTGTAGTCAGTCTACACTACTATGAAGTAGAGACAGGCTACACTACTCTTAATTATGTGTAGAGAGTCTACACTACCCGTTTTCAAGTATAGACAGTCTACACTACCCGTTATCCAGTATAGACTTGGAAACGGATAGTGCTGGAGCTTTCCAAAACGTTGTGTGTCAAAATAAAATAAAGTCAACGGAAGTTTGACAATCTATTAGTATTTTAACTGAACTACTGTCTGCTACCAAATTGAAGCAAAAGTAATGTCAGCGTGGGTAAACTTGGAGTCAACGCAAGCGCTCAATAATAAGCCGTTTGTGGTGTTGGAAAATATGGAAAGAATGTGAAGTTAGGAAGTAGTACTCACCAACCGACACTACCCTCACGGGATCGGGGTAAGTTTCGCCGAAAACCGCGCGTAGCCCCGTTATGAGCGTCGCCTCGCCCAAGTTGACGTCCTTGGTGTACACCTGGTGGTCCTGGGCGATCACCTGCCGCGACGCCAGCTCCACCCCCTTGACTTGGTCGACTTGCATCGCGCCCTTGTTGGTAAAATCGAACCTGAATCGTTCGGGGGCGACGAGGGAGCCCCGTTGGTCGACGTCGGGGCCGAGCACCTTCCTCAGCGCGAAGTTGAGCACGTGCGTGCCGGTGTGGTTGCTCATGATCGAGCGCCGCCTCGCGGTGTCCACGTGCAAACTGACCCTGTCGCCGGTTTTCAGTACGCCGAAGACGTTTCCCACGTGGACGACGTAGCCGCCGCGCACCTGGACGTTCTTGACGGCGAACTCGGTGCCAGGGTCGTTGACCTTGACCATATACCCTATATGGACGCGAAACGACTTTGAACGAAAGAGGGAACTGGGCGGTTTTTTTAAACCCTCTTCCAGTAGAAACGTTTATGCGATGCGAGAAAAAAAAATGATCGCTTTTCCGGCATTTCCGTAGAATATAGACAAAAGGTTATATTATGTTACTTTAAATTTCTCATGATTTTCTGACTTTTCGCTTATTTTCCGGCTTCCCGTTACGGGACGGAGGAAAAATTTACTGGGGGAAATTGATAGTTTTAACAGACTTTAACCGGCTGCAAAAGTTCAAACCGCTACGACCGCTTTTAAAGTTGGGATTTTCCACCGCATTTCAGGCTTGCTCTGTAATAGTTACAGAAAAGTTTATTTGGTAAAAAATGATGGTTTGCCACGTTTTACTTACTCCCATACAAAACTGAAACCGCTAAAATAACTTAAATATATAAATAAATATATGTTCTGCTGTGGCATGTTCTGCCTGCAAAATTTGGAACCGGAATTGTTCGACTTCTCCATCCACTTCCCGATTTCCCTAACGAGACAGAGAAAACTTTGTTTCACAAAAAAATGATCGTTTTGGTATGTTATACCTGCCTGCAAGATTTGAAACCGCTAAAATAATTTAATAACTTTTCCACCAATTTTCCGATTTCCCTTACGAGATATAGAAAACTTTTATTGACAAAAAATCATCGTTTTGGCACGTTCTAACTACCTGCGAAATTTGAAACTGCTTGAAATCCCTTTGACTTTTCCGCCCATTTTCCGGCTTTCCCTTACGAGTTGGGGAACAATTTATTGACCAAATAATAATTCTTTTGACGCGTTCCAACTGCCCGGAAAATTCGAACTTGTTACAACCATTTTTAATTTTTCAACTTTTTCACCACTTTCCCGGCCCTTCCGACCAAAGAACTCACCCGTATCGTAGATCTGACCGCCCTGCTCCGCGTAAAAGTTGGTCCGGTTCAATAACACGCCGCAATCGTCGTTTACCATCGCCGCCTGGACGAACACGCCGTCTTGACGCAAGGCTATGACCGTCGCGACGCACTCCTTGAAGTTGTATCCGGCGTCGTTCGCCTCGTACGCGTATTTGGGCGAGTCGTCGGTGGGCGGGATGTCGTCATTTTTAAGCTTGTTTATCGCGTAGACGTCGAGGTCAGTCGTGTCGGGCACGCCCACGCCTCTCGCCTGCGAATACGCGCATTACCGAATGGGCGGAGCTTATTTTTCTTTTTGCGAATTAAACGAAGATTAACGCGTCTATCGGACGTCAATCTACCGTTAAAGCGAGTTATTGCGACAAATGATACGAAAACGCTTGTAGTTTTGTTTTATCCCGCCCCTATACATTATTTTTGCAACTACAGACCCATACTTAACCTAAGCCGTATTCCCAAACTCTTCGATACGACAGTTGCTGAATATTTCAAGTCTATTTTTTCAGCTCAATAATAATTGGTCCACAGCATCGAATCTGGTTACTTATATTGACCATCTGTAGCGTGTCTTGGATGGGGAGGTGTCTACACCGACAATTACATTTGACAGGGTCTATTGTTTAATAAATTGAAAGCAGCTGGTATTCGGGGAATTCGTCTAGAGTGAATAACTACCTGAATAATACATTTCCAGTTGTCAACAGAAATAACGACTGGTGTACCACAGGGATCCCACCTGGGTCCCTTATGTTTTGGTTAGTTTGGGTGACCTCGACAGATTTACAATGTGGTGTGAACTCAATGCGATGGATCTAAAGGTAGCGAGGTTCTCCAGAATGCTAAATATGCAAGACTTCATTACAAGAACAACATGAGACTTCACAAGTATATCTAGATTAGATTAGGACCGAGCTAGTACAAAGAAAATTTCTGAGGTTTGGCTTATAAATCAAACATTTCCCTAATAGGAGATTTGAACTTGACATTTTACACTTTGTATTTGTATTGTATTTTATTAAAAAAATAAAAATCATTGTTTTTTTTTAACTTTTGATTTTTTTTATTTTAATTATTTTTTTTAATTTCATAAGAATATGTATCCTTTTTTTAGCAATTACAAAATATTTTTATGCCATTATAAACAATATAGTACAATAAACACACGAAGAGCATTAGGTGAAAATATTTAAATTACGTTAAAATAACAGATCGAAATATATCTGAGCGTAGAGCGATTTGAAAAATCTGCAAGAAAGAAATACAGATAGATAGTTCAAAGATAAAGCACGCCATGATGTTGTTTTATAATTACTTATTTCATTTTAAATTAACTTTCCATCTCATAAAAGGTAGAAGTATGTCTTGTCCTTTTTGCCTTTTCTTGCCAAAATTAATTTCCTTGGTTAAAACAAAGGTCACTTAAGTATAAAATTTTTCTTTAAATATGAATTCTAGAGATTTATTCAATTTGTTAAAGTGTGTAGTATAGAGTCGACTTTTTTCAAAATTTCCAAGTATTAGTGCCTTGGCTTTTTAAAAAATACCTAATGCTACCAACAAGTGACTTAAATTCAACAACTTAATATATTTTTTGCCCTAAAATTTATATCTGAATAAATATATAGGGTGTTCCATTTGAAAATCTTGAGATTTTGTTTTTGGGACAGCCTGTATAAGCTGAGGCGCATCTGTCAAACTGATTGAGTAGTGTATCATCTCCTTAGTCTGTGGTTAAATTTTCGTTGAAATACCTGGATCAGTAGTGTAACAATAAAAATTTATATGGGGCAATTATGAAAAAAAAAAAAAAAAAAAAAAAAAAACACACACACACACACACAAGCCCAATTTCTGCCTAAACTATGCAAAATTCGGATAGGAACTTCTTAATGGACCTTTATTTTAACCAAAGATTTCAAAAAAGTCGAAATATACAGGGTGTCCCAATTAAAATGACAAAGATCATGTCGTGGAAGTCTGTATGAACGTGTATGTTTTAATTCTTTAGGAAAGTCCAAAAGACTTTTGGATCGTTTAATTTGGTTTAATTTATTTTTTAAATAAAGTTTGCCGTATTAATTTAATAAAATCCAATAAATATTTTACTAATTTTTTAAAGCAAAATTGCTCGCGTATTTGATATTGCTACTACATCGTCTACTACAAGAAAAAAACTAAAAAGTAGCCTAAGCCGAGTAGTTTCGTAATGCGAACATCAACCGATGAAAAAGAAAAGATTGACAAACAAATAGCAAAGGCAATTTTTGCTACTAATTCGAACTTCGATGCATTGAAGACCTGGTTATATGGTTATATATCAAGAAAAACGTTACCAACAAGCCTTTTAGATGACATCTACGAGGAGGAAGAGGCAAAATGTTTTTCTTCTTTGTCAAGACAATGTGTGAATATGCCTATTGACGAAACTACGCACAAACGACTCGGGCAGAAGAAAAAAAAAAAAAACGCGAACCTTACCCGCGAGCGTTGCTGCGCCATCTTCTGCTCCTCCGCGAACGCCGCCATGTCGACGCGACAGCCCTTCTCCTGCGCCATGAGCTGCACCAGGTCGACGGGGAAGCCGTAGGTGTCGTAGAGGCGCCACGCGAGCTGACCGGACACTCTGCAGTTAGGCTTCTTGATGACCGCGTTGAGCAACCTACGCCCCCTGGACAGCGTCTTCAAGAACTGCCGTTCCTCCTCGTCGATGATGTCCATGACGCGTTGCGGATCTTTCTTTAGCTCGGGGAAGGTGTCGCCCAAAATTTCGATCACCGTACAAACGAGGCTACTGAAGAAGCCCGGTTTCGCGTCGAGTTTTTCGATGGCGTAGCGCACGCCCCGCCTCAATATACGTCTCAGGACGTAACTAAAATGGAAGGTATTAAAGGGGCTGTATTTTTGGGGGGTTTTAAGCGCGTACCCCCTTCCGGTGTTGTCCGGATAACCGCCGTCCGATAAGGCGATGGTTAGTGTCCTCGCGTGGTCGGCCAACACCCTGTACGCCATGTCGATTTTGTCCGGGTCGTGGTAGCCGACGCGTCCGCGGTAGGGCGGCGCCCCCGTGCCCTTTTCGATCGCCTCGAAAATCGGTACGAACAAGTCCGTGTCGTAATTAGACCTGAGAGAATATCAGTAACCGCCATCATGTATATTCCGTAAACTAACCAGAATTGTCGGACTTAGCAGTGTAGGTAATGAAGAGAAATAAATGTTTCATTTAAATTGGAGAAGAACAAATTTATCAATTTTTCAAAGAAACTTCCACGTTTCAGAAGGTTTGATAACACGCAAGAACTTTAGTTTTATCGAATACATGTAAGAAAATTGGCGCAGATTCATATTTTGGAGATAAAAATTTGTTCAAGCTCCAATTTTGCAGGCAGCACAGTACAAGAGAAAGAGAGAGAGCTTAGCTGGGCAGTACAGTACAAACAATTTGTTGCTATTGCAGTTGACCATCTGTTTACACCTTTTATTTACCCTTAGTGTTCCAAGTAGTCGGCAAAGTTCGTTCTTGAAAATGGCTGCTGTTCATGAATTTGTTGGGAAAAAAAAGACATCATTCATTGGCTTATGGCATCAGAAATATGTGAATTTGTGTGTTTGTATGCTTCAACTATTTCATTTTGGTTGGATTCCTTGCGGAAAGGGGTCCATTGTCATGTTCAATCAAAATTAATTCACTGTGTGGACGACTTGTATAATTGTTATATTGAAAACACACCACAAAAAAATATCGAAGAAAATATCCACAAAGAAAAATTCCTGATAAAGCAATTGTTTGGTTATTTATTATCTACCTTTTTCCACATTTTATGCACTTTTTTTTATTATTTCACTGACTGACTAACCCAGAATGTTATAACAAGCACAATAGGAAAAGTGAGTTTATAGAGTTACAAGTCCTAAAGAGACGTTTTTACCGTTTGTTTTGCACGACAGACACCAACCGCTCCAGGCCCAGACCGCAATCGATGTGCTTTTTGGGTAGCGGTTTCAATGTTTTGTCCGGTTCCCTGTTGTACTGGATGAACACAAGGTTCCATATTTCAAGCACGTCTGGATTGTCCCTGTTGACCAGATCCGGCACCTCTCTTCCGCCTATCCTGTCATAATGTAATTCTGAACAGGGACCGCAAGGTCCCGTCTCGCCCATCTCCCAAAAATTGACTCTCATAGCTCCCGGCAACACGTGCGTTGGTTTCACTCCCAGGCTTAACCATATCTGAAGATTGTTTTTATGAGGATCAGGCTTCGGCTAAGAACCCAGCATTTACCTGTTTGCATTCCTCGTCAGGTTCGAGCTTGGCCCACGGGTCCCCTCTAAAATATGTAACATACAACCTGTCTGCGGGTAACTTCAGCTTTTCCGTTAGAAATTCCCACGCCCACGCGCACATCTCCTTCTTAAAGTAGTCGCCGAACGACCAGTTGCCCAACATCTCAAAAAATGTGTGATGGTACACGTCCTTGCCGACATCGTCCAAGTCGTTGTGTTTGCCCCCGGCCCGGATGCACTTCTGGGTGTTGACGGCGCGCACCAATTTAGCCAAATCACTATTCGGAAGAGCGGTGTCGAGGAAAATAGGCTTGAACTGGTTCATGCCCGCGTTGGTGAAAAGCAACGTCGGATCGTCCAGAGGGATCGTCGAAGATGAATGAACGTACGTGTGACCTTTTTCCTTGAAGAAGTCGATGTAGAGATTCCGTATCTCCTTCGAAGTTAGATTGGTGTTCATTGCGGTGTAGGTTTCACAGTCTGCAAGTACATATGGTAAAAGGGGCGACTTTAAACGGTGGTCCGAACGTATAAGGGATAAGGGCGAGTGCGGTTTCCAACTCTTACGTACCTGCAGTTTTTTTCAAAAATTAACTAATAATACGCCAATTTTAAACTATGACCTCAAATAAAAAGCTCTTAGCGTGAATCAGAAAAAGGAATTTCTCTTGACACGTTGCGCGCCCGCTCGCCTTGCGTCTCACGCTACCGTTAAACGGCCTGCGTATTTTTCTAGTCTGTGACCGTTTTTGACATCGGTAGTGATGAAAATATTATACATCTTTTTCAATATACGATTCAGACAATAGGTGAAACGTTAAATTCATTTAACAAACATTCGAGGCCCACAGAAGATAAATCGGTTCAAACATAACGCCAATTGACAGTACGCTACATAACCTAACTTTTGAGATTGTTAATGTAAACTAAATATTTATCTAATGTCCCTCTACGACGATTACGACGTTAAAACCACGGTTCCCGACAAAGTCCAGGGATGGTCCTCGGGCATCAAACTGTTGCAGTCGCAGCTGCAGTTGAAAAAAGCGACGGTGACGCAGCCAAAGCGCGACGCCGCCAGGAAAGTCAGTTTGGCGCCGGTGATCGACTTGAAATCGAAACGAGACGACGACGACGTCCACCAACCGTTCCCCAAACCGAAGCCGGAGTCCAGGTTGCCAATAATCAGCAGCGGCGGCACATACGGGTTGGAGTACGACTGGAAAGTGGTCGACGAATATGACCCGACGTGGCCCAACGAATACGAAAAGGTTGTCAAGGAAATGCGCGATCAGAGGGACAAGGAGAGCGAGAAGGAGGAGAAACGGAAGGAGAAGAAACGAAAGAGCAGGTTTAGCGATCCGGACGATAGTCCGCCTCGATCTTCGGCACCTCCGGTCCCGCAGATGGCGCAGCCGCCCGTCGCTAGCGGTTTCGCGGGTCGCTGGGCGGACGACGAAGAGGAGCCCGCTCCTAAAACACCCAGACCTTCGGGCGGGGTCGCCATAGCGCCCCCGCCCAGCCTTCAAGAAGCTTCCGCTGATTCTGTACCTATCGTGCCAAGCAAACCGCAACCTCCTAGCTATGGTGGATCAGTGGCGGCGAAAATTATGGCGAGGTACGGGTTTAAAGAGGGCCAGGGCTTGGGAAGAATGGAACAGGGAATGTCGAGCGCCCTGCTGGTGGAGAAAACTTCGAAAAGGGGTGGTCGGATAGTCCACGAGAAGGACATAATGCCGCCTCCGCCGCCGATCGAGCCCGCCCAGAATGTGAATAATCCGCCGATAACGGAGATTATGAAGAATCCGAGCAAGGTGGTGCTTTTGAAGAACATGGTGGGGCCCGGCGAAGTGGACGACGATCTGGAGCCCGAAGTGAAGGACGAGTGCAATACGAAATATGGGCCGGTCGCTAGCTGTATCATTCACGAAATCCCGCACACGGACCCCGAGGAGGCCGTCAGGATATTTGTTGAATTTCAGAGGATCGAGAGCGCGATAAAAGCAGTGGTCGACTTGAACGGCAGGTTCTTCGGCGGCCGACAAGTCAAAGCTAATTTTTACGATACCGAAAAGTTCGACAACTTACAGCTCGTAGATTAGATTACTCGTTTTCTATTTATTACCTGTGCCCAATAAAGGTTATGTTATGTAAATGAAAATTTGGTCTCGCATGGCAATAAATTATGCGCGATGTTTTAAAGCGAATGCGGAAAACATTAGGGTATTTTATTATATAAACGTTTGGTTAGTTAAAACGTTACCTTCATTAAAAACATTTTATTTAAGTGATATTACGTGCTGAGTATGGTAATGTAGAGAAATCGTTTTAGACATCCCCAGATAAAATAAACCAAAGGATATAGGTAAATCTGCCGATCGAGGCGGCGCATGATAAAACCCACTATTAATATCGAGCAGTTTTCATACGCACAATTTAATATTAGTGTAATAAGAAATGTAAAGTGACAGCGGCCCACTAGATTGTTTTTATCTCCTTATGGACTACTTTAGATTTTATTTGGAAACCGCATTATGAAAAAAGTAGTTTCCAAACAAGACATTCAATTTTAACCCTATCTTTTAACATGTTTTGAAAAATCCTGTACACAGTAATATAAATAATTGAATTAAGTATAAACTTACAGCTACTAGATTAAAAAATTACTGTTTTTTTTATTTATCAATTACTTATCCAATGCATTAAAATGAGAAACCACCATTTTAGGACAAATTTTTATTTAAAACTTGGTCTCGCAAGGTATAAATTATTTTACAAAAATATAGAGAGATACGAGGAAAAATTATATACAGTAAATATCATGGTCGTATAAATTTGGTTGAGAACACAGAGTTATGCACAGAATGTTTCTGTTAATTATTGGTGTCAAAAATTAAAACAAATTTTATTAATATCTGTGCATGACATTAACCTCAAATCACAAACGACAGAGGGCGTGTATTTCCATGAAAGACCAGACATAGAGCAATGCATCTTTCAAATAACATGGAAGATATCTGCTAAATAGGAAAGTAGATTGACATTTTGTGGCAAGAATTTACCGGTAAAGTTTGTAAAAAAATACAAGACAAAGGAATGTGTGAATACTTATAAGTTTTAAGATCACAAGAGTAAAAACCATAGGTTTTGGTCATTGCTATAATTGACCGATATGTTTTCTTGGGCAAGATGGGAATGGCAGATGACCTAAAGACGACTAGTGATTTTTCGGAAGCGTCTTTACAGGCGACTGAGGGGCGGATCTAAAAAAAAAAACAAAGCAGCTAGTCCAGGCTCCAGGTGTGATAATTTTTACTTACTGACTATCTAAGTCATGTTCAACCTTGTACTGTTCGATAAATTTGTTGATGTCAATATGAGTGATCAACTGCAACAAATAGCGATAAACGCCCACAAAAGCAAAGTTAAAAGTTAAAAACCTTCGATGGTTGCAAGAACCGACTCGGTATCCGAGAAATAAAACTCGAATCGTGTTTTGGACCGAAGCCGAGCCCCAACAGCACGGCCTCGGGATCGGGTTTGCGTAACTCCAAAACTGACTCGACGCTGCTGCAGTGACTGTCGTCCGACTGCACGGAACTGTCTCTCTGCAGATACTTCTGCCTGTTGATTAAGGTCTGCTGCGTGGCGTAAATGTTTTGCAACGACGACCTCTGATTTTGCATGGATTCCAACCACTGCTGCGTCAATTGAGACGTCTGCATCAGCATCGTTTCGGGCGAGGTTGTTTTCCTAAAAAAAAAAAATTGCAGGAGACCAATTTAAATCCGTGCCGACGTTTGCCGTCCCACTTATCCATAAGACGATCCTGAGTCGCGATAAATCCTTTTTTATCGGAAAATATTTCAACTCGCTCTCGAACGAACATTACACATCTCCACCGACTGGACTAACACTCAATCATTTGTAACCCTTAAAATCAGTTGACGCAATTGTTAACGTCAACAAAATTTATAGCAATATATTCAGTGGTCTGTGACTGGCCCGCTGGTGAACTTAGCATCTGAAGTCTAATCGTTAATCAGTAATTACCAACATATATCTTTAGCAGGCCCGTCAAAAGCAACAGCAATTAAGCATCACTTACCAAGAAAATTTGAGAATATAAATTTTAAATCAACGTCATCCGCAAAAATTCGGGAGCCAAGTTGACTACTTCCAGTGGTCCGTGTCGACCGATCGTTTGTGATCTGTGAGTACGGGAGGTGAAAGCTGGTAGTGGTCGGTGGCTTCTTGTATTGTCACGGAGTTTTTTAAAGAATTAGATATTTCGTGTTGTGAAACGTTTATTATTTAACATATTTAAACCGCGTCGCCCTTTCGAAACGTTCCTCCGAGAACGATGCGCGATACCATCGGAAATAAGTGCCTGCCAACCTACACTTTTACTTCTTAAAGAATCTCCTTGGTTTGCCAATAAGGACATTCGAGATGTGCGCGCGTGCCGATCAGACGCGTCCGGTTTGTGCACTTCGCTAGGAAATACCGTAAACACCCCTTCAAAATGCCGAGAAAAAAATGAACGATGCTGATAGCTTGGTCAGTATAAGCTGATGGAGGTGTGGGATTACTAATAACTAACTGAGGCTGCTGTAGATACTACAAAACTGTCTTGGTGGCGGGCTCTTCGGCACTTGTGTTTTTTTTTATATATATAACTTTCTCCTGTGGAATAGTGAACCAGCACTACGTCATTGTTCTCGTGAAAAATGAGGTTAGAATGATTATGAAATGCTTTCCCGTGCCCCCGCAGCGCGCGGCTCTCGTCGAGTTTTGATAAGCTCCCGTTTAACAACGCAAAACACCAATCGTTCTGGGAAAGACCGAAACCTCGCAATCATTCGAGTGTGGCTTCAAAATGTCAAAATTAACAACGTATTCGGCATTTTCCATCAAAAACATACGATTTAAATCTCATTTTGACACCGATAGATAAAAAGATAAGTTACCCTAAAAGCCACACTTCCAACGCCTCTGGTATCTCGTAAACGGTGATGCTCTGCCTGTCCGATTTATCATTCGGGGGAGACGTTGGATGACGTCGAACGCGTTCGTCTGTCGTCCGGCTCCTCAGTCGTTCGTTGTCTGTGGTCGTTGTGGAACGGCCGATCGATTTCGGGGTTGCTTCGGTCAGCTTTTCTTTTCGACGGCCGATGTTGTTGCCGGCGGGTTCCTCGAACGTCGTCCCGCGCGAAAAGTCCAAGTTTTTCACCGTGAAGTGCGCGAAGACGAGGCCGAAAAGCGGTGATGACAAATTTCGGTTTTGCGCGTGCACGGGACCACGGAAAAGTAAAAAATCGGCCAAGTGGTACGTCAAGGTAAGAAGAAAAGCGGACTGGTCGCATTTCGGGCGTTTTTTGGTAAAGCACCACGCGATTGAGCAAAAAAAATTGGCGTTGTTTATTTGGCTTGTCGGACGCGTAAGGCGCGCATTAATCGAGGGTGGCGTTGGAGTTACGTTAAACTGCGGCCCGGAGGGATCAAACTGACCGCCGAGTGGGGTTAGAAAATGGGACCGCAGCAATAACTAAGATCGGATTGCTCCGCGTATATGCGTTGAATTATATTTCCTCGACAAATAAATCGAATGAACACAGGATTAGAACCGCCAACCGGCGACCGTTGACTGCGATTTAAACATAAAATTCAACAGGAAGGTTAATTTTGCTTACCCCAAGCTCGTTGGTGTACCTTAGGTACAATAGGCGCAAAAATATAGTGCATTTATTGCTTTGAGGTTTTATGTATTTCACACTACCTTAACCGCAGACTTTCGCAGGTAGAACGTGGTAAAACCCATCCCAACAGGTATTTATTCTGCATTAAGTAGGTCTTACCTGAGATGGACCATAACGAATATTTGTACAAACTTGAAATTGGTATTTTCGAATAAGTAGAAGCGTTTATTTTAACATCAGGTGATGCGTATCATTCTTAAGAGTTTAATCTAAATTGCAATATGTTCGTATATATTACGGAGGTATTTGACCGAGATCCTTTCAGTAAGTACGTATTTGTGTACCTGATTCTCGAACTTTGACCCTGCGAGGGTGTTTTTAATGTTCAAGGGTACTGTACTCTATGCGTTCACATAGAAAACGCATTATAATTCTTCATTCTGGGTCGAAAAATTGTTTGGGCGGAAGATGCTATATTTTTCTCTGCCAAAAAAGTCAAAGATTCAAGTATGCATTACCGTAAAACATGACAGCGGAAATATCGCCTATCGCCAAATACTGTTATTGTGTTGGATAGTGCCTCGTATCATTCACCTCAAATTAGAAAAAATAAAGAAGAGATCAAAGAATTTCTGTACAAAAATATTTTGAAGAAGGCTACAGGAAAAAACAACTTCTGAAATATTAAAAATAAAACATTTAAATAAAGACTACAAATCAATTCGATAGCACAATAAAACGGACATGTTTGAAGAATTGCTCTGCAAAAAAGATTGAAAACATACTTACAGCCCTCTTGTTAGTGTAGGTAGATAAATTCCTAGGACGGTCTTGGAATAAGGGGCTGCGGTTATGGAGTAATAAACAGCAGGCGAAGTTAATGACGGAGTCGGTTGTAGAAGCACTATATTGGGTTGTTCGGAAAGTCATTTCGTTTTTTTTGGGGAACATGAAAGACAGTTTTCGTATAATGAATAAATATTTTATTAAATTATATATTGGCCGTTCTGGTCCAACACCTTTTGCCATCTTTCTGGCAGTAACATAATTCCCCTCTCATAAAAGTTTTGGTCCTTGCTGGCAAAAAACTGGTTCAGGTGGTTTTTGACATCTTCATTTGAGGTAAAGGTTTTGCCATCCAAAAAATTTTGCAGGGACCGGAACAAATAGTAGTCGGAAGGCGCCAGATCTGGAGAATATGGTGGATGTTGCGGTACGTCCCATTCAAGCTGTAAAAGTTTTTGGCGAGTGACCAAACTTGTGTGAGGTCTCGCATTATCCTGGCGGAACACTACACCCTTCCTGTTGATTAATTCGGGCCTCTTCTCTTTAAGTGAATCATTCAATTTGTCCAGTTGATGACAATAGACTTCTGAATTAATCGTTGTATTGTCCCGCAAAAGCTCAAAAAAAAAACGATTCCTTTGACATCCCACCAAACGGAGAGCATCACCTTTTTTTGGTGAATGTTGGTTTTTGACACGCTTTGAGCCGGTTCATCTTTTCTGCTCCATGACCTCTTGCGTTTAACATTGTTGTATACAACCCATTTTTCGTCCCCAGTAATAATCCGCTTCAAAAATGGATCATTTTCTTGACGTTTGAGGAGCAAATCACACACGTCAACGCGACGACACAAATTTCGCTCCGTAAGGACATGGGGCACCCACACATCGAGCTTCGAGGTTAAGCCCATGCCTTTCAAATGGCCATAAACAGTCGAATTCGACAAATTTAATCTCTCACCGATCTCTCGTGTGGTTATTCGCCGATTTGCATCAACTAATGCCTTTATCGCATCTTTGTCAGCTTCGACCGGCCTTCCAGACCGTGGTGCATCTTCGACATCAAAATTGCCGGATCGAAATTTTGCAAACCAGTTCTGGCACTGGCGTACTGTTAACACGCCTTCTCCATACACATCCGTCAATTTTTTTCTCGCTTGGACAGCATTTTTACCTTTTCTGAAGTAAAAAAGTAAAATATGACGAAAATGCTGCTTATTGCTCTCCATATTTAAAAGGGCACCAACCAAAAACTACTGCGTAGAATTAATAGAACTTTTTCACACACAAGCCTTGCAATATCAGCTCTCAAGACATATAATGGTTATGCGGCTTAAGTGTGAAGTTGGTTTCGAAAAAACGTAATTAAGTCCTCTGACGGGAAAAAACGAAATGACTTTCCGAACAACCTTATATTTCCGGTCTAAGTAAACCTGTTAATTTTATTTTTAAAGTGTTAATTTAAACCCTCTCGCAATTTCGTTTTCAAATTAACAGAAGAAGCAACTTTAATAAATTTCTCTACATCCCGTAAAGTAATTTTCGTATAATAAGCCGTTAAGCGAAATGTTTAAAAACCCCTTGAAAAATAAATAAAAACGTTATTACCTGATATGACGTCTACGCTATTAAGCGTATCCGAGAAAAGTTCATATGAGTGTTCCTAATGAATGAATGGAAGAAAAAAACTTTGCGAACAAAATATGGCAAGAAGGAACGTATGCCCCCCTCATCAAAACCAGATTGTTCCTACTTCGGATAGACTGGAACGAAAGCTAGAAGATGAAACCAATGTGGTAGATAAAAAATAAATGGACAAAAAATAAGTGTTGATGGAATCATGCAGATTAAACATTTGTAGATTTAATTGCTTTTGTTTAATGCAGTATTCAAAATAGCGAATAAAGGCAAACGTATCACCGTAATTCAGGCTGGACCGAAAGAGGGATTTATACTGCGTGGAATGTTAAGGATTCAGCAACGCAAGTGCAGAACATGTTGAAAACTGATTTCAAAATTACTTTCTAAAAAACAGTGTGAAAGTGCCAGCGTAATAAATGTAATTAAAATCGGAATTAATAATATAGCTGTTGGGGGCTAGAAAATGTCAGCACGGCACATTTGAAAAATTGAAAATTGTTACATTCGCATGCAAAATAACGTAGGGCCCACTGTGAAAATCGCAACAAAGTTCACAGGTCGCGCGTTTCTGTAATTATTTTTAGCGTTAAAATACGCAATAACACATGACGGATAATACTAACGTTCCGAAGTCGTCGCATCTGTTTTAGGAAGTAACGCCAAAAGTACGGATAGAAACAAACTGTTATAAAAAAGTCGTAATGTGTAAAGTATTAACGTTTAAACGGCAATGTTGTCAAAAGGCACATCGTACAATTTATAAATACGTTTCTTCAGTGAAAAGATCAACTGCAAAAATATTATTAAAGAAAGAAGAATGTATTTGTGCTTTTTAAAAGCCAACGAAGCATTGAAACTGCTAATGGCGTCAGTTTTAAAAGTCTTTAAGTGTATCTATTGTTTATTGTACTGAAAAGTTTGAGATTTATCTAAGAGGCCACCACCCCAATAAAACTTGGAAACTAATTAAAACTTGAAATTATTAGTAGAAAAATGTATTAGTAAAGTCTGTTCATAGATATAAGAAAGTGACTAACTGATACGAATTAAGGAAAGACCCGGGCAAGCTATAAGAATAAAATATGACCGAACTTTGCTTAGAATTTAATTATTTGGGGTTTTGTTCGGAAAGATACTAAACAATATTTATTTATGCATGTATTTATGTTCAACAAGTCTACGTCCAACATCGGAGATGGAAGGACCTCTGAAGAAGCTCGCCACTCGTGCTAGCGAAACGTTAGGAAGTAATTCCAATCGACGACGGCCTTTAAACCCGAATCAAGATAATAGCTTACAAGTAGGTATAAAATTATTTTCTATTACGGACGACATTTTTACCTGAATTTATATTCCGGAACTTCAGGTAATAATCTTGTTGCATTGTATGTTAATGACCACCCTTGGATAATCCTATTCAAAAGCAATTGGTCACTTTCTTATATCTATGAACAGACCATACCACAGAATTCGGAAAGAATCTACAAATTATATTTATGCACTTTGGGAATGCCACAAAGTGTAAACTGCAACTCTGAATATAAACCATTTTTTGAACGATCGAAATCAAGGAATTTTTTTTCCATATTTAACAATATAGACATAACCTTTAAAGCTTACAATGGTGTTTTCTAAAGAGAAAAATATGTTTACACTACAACAATGTAAAATTTGCTTTTGCATGCATGGTATATTTAAAAAGTAAACCTACACTTTGTAATTTTAAATTTTCCATAACTTACGACATAAAATATTAATACGGCTTTGCATTCTATCCTTACCAAACGGAATCTAGACTCGTGCCAAAACTATTGCATTGTCAAAAACGCTCGAAAAGCGGACACGCCCTGTATGCAGTCGAGATAATCGCTTAAAACGAAAATTGATCGTAATGGGAGGGATCGACGTGTCTTTCGCCGAAGTCAACCTAAATTAAAATTAATTGGACGTTTAAAAATTGATGTCTTTCCGCCCGCGCTGCGGTCGACTTTGTTTATAAATCGATGCGATAAACTTTGCCCTTCCGTCGGCGTCGAAAGATGCCGTGTTTATTTTTTTTTATTCCGCCGCAAAGGACGAAGCGCTTCGTGCGTATGGTGTGCCTCGAACTGAACTTGAAACTATTCATCTGCACCCAAAAAATAAACATGCTATTTGGAAAACAGTTTAATATGCTTTAGTATTAGGTTAAATTTTTAATTTGTTATAGTGATATCGACAAACTTGTTAATCGAAAGTGAACTTCGCCGATAACTGCATATGACACGCGCAGCAGTTCGGACAATATGCCAACGATATGAAGAGACTCGATCCTTTGCTAGGCCCCCTGGAACAGGCAGAAAGCGAATTACAACTGCATGTGTTAACAATAATAAAAAATCGTCACCTTAATGCGGTTCAAGTGCTAGAACAGCTCCATGAAGTTCGAAAAGTGACTGTTAGTCAGTGGACAGTGAGAAGAAGACCGAATGAAAATAACCTTACCACAAAAACAACTGCAATTGGTCCAAAACTTACTCCAGCTCATCGACAAGTAACGCTTGGAGATTGGATCAGTTCAGACGAGACCAGAATATGCCTTTTGGTAATGACCGACCAAAAGAAGTGTAGCGAAGACCAGGAGAATGATTTGCAATGAAGAACGGAGCCCTTATAGAGGTGGTTACTGCATGATATCTGATGCAATTTCTAGGGATGCACGAACCGACCCTGTTTTCATCCGTAGAGGCGGCCGTGGTCCAGGAGCAGGAGGTTTAACACTCTTAACAATGATATTTTATCAGAGCACGTGGTGCCATATGCCGACCATATTGGAGTAGAATTCATTTTTATGCATGAAAATGATAGGCCGCACACCGCAAAGGTCGTGCAAGATTACATTACAGAAGTCGGTTTTCGAGTAATAGAGTGGCCAGCAGGCAGTCCCGACCTCAATCCGATCGAACATTTATGGGATGAGCTAAAACGGAGAATTCGAGCTAGACTCAACTTCGATCCCAGAGCTTATTGTTGCAGTAGAGGAATAGTGGCTAATTGTCAATAAGCCTATTTATTTTTAGTAATAAAAAAAGTTTAAACTCATATTAAAGCATATAAAATTGTTGGTCAAGCCGCACATTTTTTTATCGGATCAGTAGTTTCTAAAAAAAAAAGAATTTGAAGTCAAAAGTTCACGATGGGCTGATTTCTATGCACTCAAGTTTATATCGTCTCGGACTTGTGACGACAGTAAAAGACGAATTCGAGAGATGGGGCCCAGGTGCAAAAATAGAGTGCCCAAACGGTTGGAGATGTACAAGAAATGGACTTTAAAAATTGAGTGGATATTAACGGATAGCTACTCTGGGTAAAGAAAGTGAAACCGAAATGGTAATCTACACAATTAACATATTAACATATGAAAAGGTATTATTATTAACAAATTAGAAACGAGGATATAAGCAGAAAGACTAGAATCTAGACAGCTACTACGGTATGACACGTAATGAGATATGATGGAGACACAGTGACCAAAAGAGCTCTTACGTATAGACCACAGGGGACAACGAAGACTTTAAAGATAGTATTAAGTACGTTTTCATTGAAGTTTTATAAGGTTGTTCGGAAAGTCATTTCGTTTTTTCCCGTCAGAGGACTTAATTACGTTTTTTCGAAACCAACTTCACACTTAAGCCGCATAACCATTATATGTCTTGAGAGCTGATATTGCAAGGCTTGTGTGTGAAAAAGTTCTATTAATTCTACGCAGTAGTTTTTGGTTGGTGCCCTTTTAAATATGGAGAGCAATAAGCAGCATTTTCGTCATATTTTACTTTTTTACTTCAGAAAAGGTAAGAATGCTGTCCAAGCGAGAAAAAAATTGACGGATGTGTATGGAGAAGGCGTGTTAACAGTACGCCAGTGCCAGAACTGGTTTGCAAAATTTCGATCCGGCAATTTTGATGTCGAAGATGCACCACGGTCTGGAAGGCCGGTCGAAGCTGACAAAGATGCGATAAAGGCATAAGTTGATGCAAATCGGCGAATAACCACACGAGAGATCGGTGAGAGATTAAATTTGTCGAATTCGACTGTTTATGGCCATTTCAAAGGCATGGGCTTAACCTCGAAGCTCGATGGTGCCCCATGTCCTTACGGAGCGAAATTTGTGTCGTCGCGTTGACGTGTGTGATTCGCTCCTCAAACGTCAAGAAAATTATCCATTTTTGAAGCGGATTATTACTGGGGACGAAAAATGGGTTGTATACAACAATGTTAAACGCAAGAGGTCATGGAGCAGAAAAGATGAACCGGCTCAAAGCGTGTCAAAAGCCAACATTCACCAAAAAAAGGTGATGCTCTCCGTTTGGTGGGATGTCAAAGGAATCGTTTTTTTTTGAGCTTTTGCCGGACAATACAACGATTAATTCAGAAGTCTATTGTCATCAACTGGACAAATTGAATGATTCACTTAAAGAGAAGAGGCCCGAATTAATCAACAGGAAGGGTGTAGTGTTCCACCAGGATAATGCGAGACCTCACACAAGTTTGGTTATTCGCCAAAAACTTTTACAGCTTGAATGGGACGTACTGCAACATCCACCATATTCTCCAGATCTGGCGCCTTCCGATTACTATTTGTTCCGGTCCCTGCAAAATTTTTTGGATGGCAAAACCTTTACCTCAAATGAAGATGTCAAAAACCACCTGAACCAGTTTTTTGCCAGCAAGGACCAAAACTTTTATGAGAGGGGAATTATGTTACTGCCAGAAAGATGGCAAAAGGTGTTGGACCAGAACGGCCAATATATAATTTAATAAAATATTTATTCATTATACGAAAACTGTCTTTCATGTTCCCCAAAAAAAACGAAATGACTTTCCGAACAACCCAATACTTCTAGTTTGCTCCTAGAGTCATTAATAATAATAATAATAATCATCATCATCGTCATGAACTTTATTAACCAACAGTTCACACCAACAACAGGACAATAAGTAACAAAACAAACGCAATAGAGGCTTAGAATATAAAATCTCACTGCATTTCTAATTGCGTTACATCTGGGCAAAGTAGAATTATTTAGTTTGAAGATTTCGGGTCTATGAACGGACCTTACAGTTTCAAATGTTGAGGGTAACATTATTTTGCTCGCATCACTTAAAAACATAAACATGACGCTGAACCGTGGTATCTTTGTAGGAACAATATCTGCAAATCGAAGAAAGTCACATTTAATTTTATCAGACAGGTCGTCGATAAATATCGAAAACAAAATTAGAGCCCCGAGGCATGCCCGGGTGTTGCGACAAACTGAGAGCAGTTTATGGTGTAGATAAGACGCAAAGAGATATAAAAGTCCTATAAAATAAATAACAAATGTTTATTTCTCTTAAGAAATTAGTTGGTGGTTAAGCGCTTTTTTTTTTAAACAGATCCGATTAATATAATCGTAAATGTTCATTCAATTTATCTTCCGAAAATATCTTACTATTTACTATTTACTTCTAATTGCCTCGACTACTAAAGGTAATTCGGTCAGCTTACATATATTGGTAACTATAATTCAAAATTCCTAAAGGATGCCTTCGTAAAGAAATGCTCTGGACTATTCTACAACACAATATCGTGGGTAGGTTTTCTACCCATTTTTCTTCCTGTTCTACTGTTCACGATTTCGAAAAATGTGAATATTGAAAGCTGGTGCGATTCTCCAGCATGTAATTTTTAATATAAGATTTATCACCGTTCTCAGAAATCGGGTCCACATTTGATGTTTTCCAAGAACGCCGAGATCAATTCTTGGCCTAAAGCTATATTACTTGTCAGGTTTATTCAATGATAATACTTTGAGACACACCAGAGATATTGTACTTGACGTCATAGACGACCACACGTCGCATACGCGACCAACTTGATCGACGGACGGCGTAGAAAAGTGTACAAAAAAAATTGTAAACAACAGTTTCGTAGCAACCCGGACCGCCTAATGAAGTGTTCGTCGTTTTGTTTTTGTTCGCCTACCGTGACGTGGGATATCACGGAAAGTCTCGTGTGCGCGTAGTCCCATCGTTTCGTATTGGCACCCTTATCGCAATTTGTGGTATATTTTAAATGAATCTTCCCAGTGACTCAGTCGTCGGGTTGCGTTCGCGATGGTTTCTTCAAAGTGCGGTTTGTTTTAACTAGCCTCGTTGCACCGAAACGATGGGCTGTTTGACAGGACGGACATTTACTTGTTACTGCTACGATCTCGTAAGTGCTCGATTGAATTGAATACAAATTATTTGGTTCGTTAGAACACATCTACCTTGTCTGCTATGTGTAATTCTCACACGCCAGGAAAGAAGACCTCGCATGTTTTTAGCGGTTCTGTTTTTACATTGACCACATTCAGCGGACGTAGCAAAGCGCTCCCGATACCTAGCGGTAGCGATTGGGAACGTATATGTAGAGGTGATGATGTCTTATTTTTGTTTGGATGTTGTTGATTTTGAGATTTAGATTTTATGCCTTATTCAGTATTTGTGTGTACTGCTGCTCATTTAACATGTGATAATAAAGTGGTATCTTTGTAATCTAGTACCTACTACATCAGAAATTAGTAGAAATGGACGTTACGAAGACCGTAAGGAGTTATGAAGGGAACTTATTCTTAGAATATTTTCAAGGCCTACATTTGTAAGCTTATTAAAAGACGTCTATTTTAGAATTTATCATATCCTCGTTTCTTTCTTTTTTCTTTCTCCAAAAAATTTTTTTTTGTAAAATTTGTAATTACTAATTATATAAATAATACTAAATAAAATATATTTGTTATGTTGGAATTTCGTATTCACCATGCTAGATAGCGGTAGCACAAAATAAGCTCGCTACTAAAAATGGCGTCCACCCCACAACATGTTTGATTTGTAGCGCATGTGCCACCGGACGTTTCCGCCACGGCTTTGTAAATTCAAATGTCCCAACACGCTCTCAATCGCAATCGCTAGCGCTGTGTTACGTCCGCTGAATGCGACCATTGTTATGGCCTCATACACAAAATCGTACTCGTAAATAATGGTTATGGTTATTCAGCCTGTCTATTCAAACAAAAGAAGAAGTTTTCGTGTATGCTTCTAACCTTAAAATTTTGTGGTATTGAAATAGCCGAAGAAAACGAATATAGGGAAACGTACAATTACTTCTGTAATAATTCTACTTGCTGCAGGTTGACTGAATAGGGATGCACTCACCCGATATGATACGTGATCATAAAGATCTAGAAGGATACGCTGTCCAAAATACCTGATTTTTCTCGACTAACCCGTAAATGGAGAGGAAGTTTGTGTCTTCGTTGTTGTTGCAGTGGAATCTCGGCTTCTAGTACTTTTATATATTTTAATGAGCTTTGTGGGATGACTGATGTAGAATTAACGAATACCAGACGCGGTAATGAATTTTTGGATTGTGATTGTGATCAATGCGCAAATTTTAATTCTGCATTTTAACTGTAAGCGTTCGTCAGACTTCGGTGGAATAAAAGGAAAACAGTACATTCTGTTATATCTTTTTAAATGCGGATATTGTAATGTCACATACATATTATATTATCAAGATTTCAAGTGAAAGTCTCTTTGTGGTGGTAGAAAAAAAACTAATTCATAACCATAAATTTTGATTCGTGTCAGTGTTGCTTTCAGCAGCCCACATGGCGTCTTTGGGGCGAGGAAAGGACAGATGGTGCCCTTTACACGGTCTACCTCAAGAAAGTGCGTTACCACCGACCTACCAGAAGCCTGTCGTCTTCCCATTCGGTAAGCGTGAGAGCTATTTAAACTGTCATGTCAGTTGCTAGGTATAGTTTTTTGACGGTTTCTGGGGCATATTTTCTAATATCTAGGTTTGATGATGAATATTTCGCAGCAAAAAGTAATATTTTGGTATGTTAAGTCATATCTCGCAATATAAGGATTTTTCTAATGAATACAACAATATCAAACTCGTATTTGGCGACATTATTCAAAAACTTCATGTTATCATCAATATATAGCCTCCGTTTTGTCGGCAATTTCGAAAATGTTCCATTAAATACGAATAAAACTGGACCATTGGGCTTTGTTTAGGACTCTGACGACGAAATCTCACACCTCGAATGGGAAACGATAAGGGTGCGTTTCGTAAAAGCGGCGACGTTGAAGAAACTGGTCGAGGCCCTGTCGACCGACGACGGGGAGCTCGAGACGACCTACATTAACGTCTTTCTAGCGACGTACCGCAGTTTTTCTACTCCCAAAGAGGTGCTCAGGCTGCTGCTCGAGCGGTACGAGGAGCTGTGCGACGAATCTCCACTCGGACAACCCGAACAGCATGAGCAGCATAAAAAGTAAGCAATTTTTACTACATTCCAGTGCGGACACCACAGAATATGAACGTTCGGAGGCGAAAAGTCAGTAAAAAAACTTGGAATCGTGAAAGCAGCGCCGCCCTACCGTGACCCGGGGAACTACTTCAAGATGGGAGGCGTGGCCACACACATGGTCTTGTGTAATTGTGTAAAATGCGGAAAACTGTGTTTTCTGTGCATTTTTTTACGCGCACCCGTGTATCCGAATTAGATCCCACTTCTGATGTTTACGCTCTAAATGATAAATTATAAATAATGCAATATAGTTTCAACGTTTGTTCTCATGTTAATTAAAATGAAGTTGGCAAATTATAACCTTATATATAACCTTTAAATTATATAAAGTAACGTATAACGTTATCAGTATGTATTAAAATAGTGTAACACCTGTGTTAGGGAATTCTCGTTTGGGATGGAGTTGCCGAATGGAGTTGCCTTAAACCACCTAGAGATACTACAAGATTTTATTAAATTCAGTATAATACGACATGTTTAAAGACAACATTAAAATAATAAAAATCATTTGCTACCCAACAAAAATGGTATTCAGAAAAAAAACAACAACTTGAAGATTGTCTAATGAACGTGTGGCAGCATATCACAAATATATGGAGGAAAAACACCAATTTTTAACAAGTGGCTGCATCTCCAGACAGATTAGCGCTTTTACACACTGTCTATCAAGAGCTAAGAAACCCAAAATATACTTTAAAACCAAAGGTTTTGATAGTTTAAAAAACACGAGACGTTATTGACTTTCTATGGTTGCCCTGGGACGCCATATTGAATTTCACTTGACAGGCCGTTGGTTTGGTCTGATAAGTATTTTGCGAAGAGGAAAGGCGACATTTTCGAAATTCCCGCAGGACTCTCGTGTCGGCGCTGCACGTGTGGCTCGACACTTATCCGGAGGACTTTAAGGAGGCGCCCGAGTACGCCACTCTGCGCGTCCTGCTCGACTTCTGTGACGAGCACCTGCCCAATACGGAGCTGGACGCAAAGGTCAGGCATCGCCTCGACCGGTACTGCAGGGAGGCGTACGCCGATCCCCTGCTCGCCCCGCCCCCTGCGTTCGCGATGCGCACCCTGGTGGCGGGTTGGCGAGTCTTCAAATTGCCCGACGTCCCCGTTCGCCATTTCGCCGAGCAACTCACCAGGATGGACGTGGTAAGTTTCGTCGTATACCTATACCCGAGACTTGGCAAAATCGTAACTAAATATGAAAATTTTTTTGTGATGCACACAATGAGTTTCCACCACCAACAATGAAATTATGCAATTTTTCGAAAAATAAATCAGAATTTTCGAGAAATAAGTCACAAATTATGGCTTCTGACTTCTGAAATTCTTACTTTTCCGGGAAATTGTGTCATATTTCTCAGAAATTCTAACTTGTTTCTCGGAAATTGTGACATGTTTATCCGAAATTCTGATATGTTTCTCGCGAATTTTGACTTGCTTCTCGGAACTTCTGGCTTGTTTCTTAGAACTGGTGACTTGTTTCTCGGAAATTGTGGCATATTTCTCACAAATTCTGACTTGTTTTTCGGAAATTGTGACATGTTTCTCCGAAATTCTGATGTTTCTCAGAAAATCTCACTTGTTTCTCGGAAATTCTAACTTGTTTCTCAGAAATTCTGACTTGTTTGCGGGAAATTGTCATGTTTCTCAGACATTCTGATTTGTTTTCCGGAAACAGTGACGTGTTTCTCCGAAATTCTGACCTATTGCTCGGCCCTTTTGTAAAGAATAACCGTTATTGACGGAAACGTTTGGGGCAAATTAAAACATTCGTGGACTGGAACCAAGTTATGATTCGGAGCGTGTGATTCGGAAACAAGAAAACAGAAATACTCCGTAAGGATTGTCTCAAAAGGATTGTAAGTTTCCACAAGGCTTGTGTCGGGAACTGTACCGACAACCAAATAGTATTGAACCTGTTCCTTGGCAAGTGCAGCACAAAAATGCGTGGGAGAACTTGACATTAACGTATCTCAATCCAATACACTTCGGCACTATACGAAACATCGCCGAAGAAATGATCCTCAGTGTACTTTACCACAGTTTCATACTAAATTGCAAGGATGGGATAGATAGTCGGTACAATGCCTAGTAGAGTTCAGACTGTTAGTCGAGCTATGACAAAGTGCATTACCGAGAAAAACAAAATCGGGAATAAAAATCTTTTTTTAGTGAAGGACCGATATTAATAATGCTTGTTGGGGTTTTTACAACACCAATATTTAGTTCTCCGCGTTTTTCGATGTTATGGGAAAAACCCCATCCGAAATTAGTGAAATTTCAGTACGTTATGATTCATTTTCTAGTTGTTAAGATATTGTAAAGATGATTGATGATAACCTACAAGTTGCTGACGATAGACGATAGATGGCTTGCTTCTATAGTATATTGGATTTAAAATATAGGCGCTCTACCAGTGTTTAGTAAAATAGTTTGGTGCATTTGGTGCATGGAATAGCCAGAATGCCGCCCCTTCTATAGGAGGGGCGGCATTCTGGACTCCCTCTAGAGAGCAAACCCCAAAGTCCGGGGTGGTTTTGTTTTCAAGGATCTCTTTAAAAAACTGGTGCCGCACCAGTGCTTGGGAGCGGTGTGGTCGCGCCGCGACAAGAGCCGCTCCCACGAGGCGGCGACGGTGCTCGCGACGGTCAACCAGTTCAACGCGGTCTCGTTCCGCGTGATCTCATCGATCCTGGTCGAGCCGGGCCTGAGAACCGGCGACCGGGCCGCCATTATCGCCTGCTGGATCGACATTGCGCAGGAGCTGCGCCTCATCAAGAACTTTTCGAGCCTCAAGGCGATTATCAGCGGCCTTCAGAGCAACCCGATATACAGGTACGTTGAACCGTAAAAAAAACCGCTCCTATAAGATCTCTGACTCTGACTGTCCATATAATTCCCGCAGGATCTGGAACCAGACAGGATCTTCTAACTAGACCACGTTTACTGCCAATTTTTCCCTGTATTCGAAGTTCTTAATTTCTCCCAAACACCTAAACTTCAGCAAATGAACAGCAAGGCTTCTGTTGATCTTCATACCACAGAGAAGAACAGGGAAGCATATTATCCTCTTCATTCTAACCGATAATATTCCATGTTTTTTTTTTTATTGATTTGACTATGTCATCGTTTCCTATCTTTTCACGTCTACAGTTCAAATGACTGGATTCCGTTAGAGACTTCTGTTAGTATTCAAATCTCTTCTTACCATGGATGGCCTAGCATTTTACCACCTTCATTGTGCGCATCTTCGCTGTCTGCCTTGAAAGGGAGTACCTTTTGCATGGCGAGTTTGGATAATTCCTCGAGCTCAACGGTACTCTTAATCGGCTCTTATGGCGCGCAGCTGGTTAGCAAATGAATTGAAGAGTCCTCTTCTTCTAAACACAGATTGCGTTTGCTGTCGTCCACCTCCATGCCTTCTCGGATGGCAGTGCCCTGTTACTGACACTGAGGGTTCAGTTTTGGTCCTCTATCAGCATTTTGATTCGCCTAGTGTTGATTGGTGGTTCTGTCTAAATATGACAGTTTACTAACTTCCTCTAGAACTGTACCACTAACGGCTGTGCTGCTGTTTTCTTGGTTTCTGTGGTATTGCAGATTAATATTTTTTTGTAAATTTCAGTTTTAGTCCCAATTTCTATCCAGCTGATCTTCAGCAGCCGTCCAAACCTCTGCATACCATGGAGAAAAACATTCTGTGTTGGGATCTTAGATCGAGTCAGTGTGTCTAAAATTGTTATCTGTTATTCCGTTAGGAAAGGGGATCCTTGAAAATATTTCCTCTGAATATAGGTTGAAATTATGTCACGGACGAGATCTCAGGGTCCGAAGACGCTCAACCAAAATATTATATTTACGATTATTCCTTCTTCTTGCAGAACCATAACCGATGGTTCTACCTGGATCACTTGTAATTTTGGAGAGTCCTTGTTCTCGCTGGTAATTACATTAGTTCCTCTTCGTTAGTTTAGGTTCATTAGGGCTTGGAGATTCGCCCTACTGTTTGTCAGTATTAACGTGTCATCAACATATCTAGATTGATTGTGACACTTTTTATAGCTATATAGAGCTTTATCTGGAATCCACAGCTTCGATAGGGGCTCCTCAGTGAACCTCATTGTTTCTGGATTGATTACGCCCAACAGGTGGATAAGCATTCACATTGGCGTATGGCTTGAGTAGTTGTTTCCTCCATTTCTTGGCAGAATCTGCACTCACTGTTTCGTACCACCATTAGGCTTAGGTGCCTCTTGACTCTTTCCTTTGCGGTTTAGCGGGTCTACTGTTAATGTGGCCAGTCCAGATTAGCAATGATTCGCACATGCTGATAATATATAATTCTCTATCAGATTTTTCGAAAGTATACGCTCTTGGTAACGAAACGTATATCTTGGTACAGAAATGGTTAGGTTCGGATATTTTTTTTGCCTGTTCGTTCTTCGTACAAGTTCATACCTACATCTTAACTGTATAAATTGGGAGTAATCAATTCTCGCCAAGTATTTTTTAAAAATTTTCAAAAAAAAATTGTGTTCGGCAAAATTATTTAACCAGGAGACGCGCAAGATTCGGTACTATAATTTTTATTTCAAGCATTTTTTCGATTATATATATATGCATATATGCATATATATATATATATATATATATATATATATATATATATATATATATATATATATATATATATATATATATATATATATATATATTCAGGATTTGTCAGTTGTGGACGAAAATCTAAAAGAACCTGAAAATTGGTAAGAAAGAGGGGATTTCAAGTTTATATCCACACTTTCGGATCAAATACTTGCCGATTTCGATTAGATTCTGGTCAAAATCTGCTTTTGGGTCACTTATTTTATCGACATCTACACTGAACCTGCAGATTTTATTTTAAAACTCTTCCGTCTATTGTCGGAACCTTTTCTTTTGCCTTCTCTTTTTTTTTTTTTTTTGTATTGTTATTAACTAAGCTTTGCACTAATATTATGCACTTATATTTGGGAAGTAAATAAAAAAATGAATAAATGGACGCGAAGCCGGGCTGCGCAGTGGCTTCGCGCAGCCACAAGATTGCGGCGCTTGCCGCATCTCTCGCTCAAAAACCAGCGTTCGCAGGTTGCAGAAAACGTGGACCACGGTACCGAAGGAGAAGATCGAGCTGTTCGACGAGCTCGCGCGTATCTTCAGCGAGGAGAATAACCAGTGGACGCAGCGCGAGCTGCTGATGAAAGAGGGTACCGCCAAGTTCGCCAATACCGTCGGACAGCACGACCGTCAACTACAGAAACTGTTCCAGCGTCAGAAGAACCATCATCACACCGCCAACATATCGTTCGGCACTGTACCGTACCTCGGCACCTTCCTCACCGACTTGACGATGATCGATACCGCCATACCGGACCACGTGGCAGACGGTCTCATCAATTTCGACAAGAAACGCAAAGAGTTCGAGGTGCTCGCGCAGATCAAACTGCTGCAGGGGGCGGCGAACGCGTACCACTTCCGCGACGACCCCGCCTTCGACCGATGGTTCGACTCGATCCTGGTGCTCGACGATCGCGAAGCGTACCGTCTGAGTTGCCAGATCGAACCGGCAGCGACGGCGACGACGTCCACTACGTCCGGGAAAAAAGGCGCCGCCGGCGGTCACAGGAAAAACGACTCGATAGCGAGCACGTCGAGCAGCAGCAACGGTTCGCAGTTTTACTGCGACGCGGAGTCGTCGTCGCCGAGCACCACGTCGTCCCGGATGTCGGACTCGTCTAGCAGCAGCTCGTCGTTGCCGTCGCTCGACGCCTCGTTGGCGGGCTCGTCGTTATCGGGAGGCGGAGGCGGTCGGAAGAGCAACGCGGGCCCGGACTTTTACATCATCAAAGTCACGTACGAGACGGGCGTCGCGGAAACCGAAGGCGTCGTCCTCTACAAAAGCATAATGCTGAGCAACAACGAGCGCACGCCCCAGGTGGTGCGGAACGCGATGTACAAGCTGGGACTGGAGGGGAACCCGGAGAGCTATACGCTCGCCCAGGTGCTGCCCGATAAGGGTGAGTGGGTTTTATATATATATATATATATATATATATATATATATATATATATATATATATATATATATATATATATATATATATATATATATATATATATATATATATATATATATATATATATATATATATATATATATATATATATATATATATATATATATATATATATATATATATATATATATATATATATATATATATATATTTATTTATTTATTTATTTATTTATTTATTGTTTTTTAAAAATTTTCCTATTGTGTTGTTAGTTCTGAAAACTATTTTTAAACCACATTGTGACAAATGTTTTGAAACTTTTTCACTAGATTCTCCTATGTATGCAGAAAAACACATTTTAAATTCTCACAACAACATTAATTAAGGTTTTATGGTCATTTTTCGGTATATATAGTAGCAGGTAGTTTGTAAATATTACATTTGATAAAGACACGGTGTGGTCGAAACAATTGTCATGTCAAAATATATAATTTCGTGAAAATCTAAACTTTTAGTTCTTATTTATTTTGATATTTTTTGTGACATCAACAGAGAGTGAGGTGAACATCGGAGTGCCCCAAGGATCAATTTTGAGCCCCATATTATTTTTAATATATATAAATGTTTACACACTTTTTGCCGATGACACCGCTGTGTCATTTTTCTGGGGATTTATTAAACGACACGTTGACTGGTTTAGTGCAAATAAATTAGTTTTAAATAACGATAAAACAGAGTGTTTTTTTGGTACTTTTTTTTTTAATTTTCACTATTATTTATTATTAAAGAACAACAGGTTTCTTAAATTAAAGCCGTTACTAAATTTATTTTTATTTTATTTATTTATTTTACAATCTTTTTAGTTGCCAATAATGGTGGATGCCCGACTATTTCAATATTCACGCGCACAAATAAACGAGTATTTTCCAATATACTTGATTATTCAGAAATCAACAACATTCTCGTTGTTCCAATTTTTTTTTTAATTAAATTTATATAGGAATAAGTTTATTAAGATTTATTTTTTAGTTTCCGACTTGCATTTTGTAGCTTCAATTTATTTTCATTTTACTTTAATTTTTTTTTAGTAGCAAAACCTTGTTTTTTTCAATAAGTTTTATTAATAAATGTTTTTTTTTTTTCGTTAAATAAACATCTTTCGTTTATTAGGGATTATTTTTCTTTAAAAATTATAGTTCTAAGCGGCTTCAATTTAACCCGAAGTAATTTTTTTTCTTTCTTTAAATTTTAATTTCCTTGTTCTTCAGTGAAATTGCAGGTTTTTTTTTTAATCAACATGAAGTGACTTTTTTTAGGTTTTTTCGTTTTCAATTTTAATTTTCTTTTCTTCGCACGTGAAATAGCGTTTTTTTTTTATCAAAATGAATTCTTTTTTTTATAGATTTTTTTGTTTTCAATTTTAATTTTCCTTTCGCCTTACCAGTTTGACTAGTAAAATTTGTTTTTTATCAACATGAAGTGATATTTCTATATTTTTTTTGTTTTCAATTTTAATATTTTTCTTACCCGAAATTGTTACTTTTTATGTACACGACGTGTTCCTATCGTCTCACATTTTTAATCTGCTTTGTTTCCGAAATTTTAAATATTTTGTTCGTCAGGCGATAGGCGAAGTGTTAATGTTTTTTTTTTCCCACAGAAATGGTCCTGCCGCCCAACGCTAACGTTTACTACGCGGTGAACACCGCCCATAACCTAAATTTCGTGCTGCGCCCCAAAAAGGAGGAGGGCACCGGCACCATGGTAAAAAACACGAAAAAAAACAAGTCGTAACCACCCCCGTCCGACCGCCATTCTCTCTCTCTCTCTCTCTCTCTACGAAAATACGCCGGTGCTCATTCGCCGGCATTCGAATATAAAAATATTATGTACGGGGCCATTCGAAAGAATCTTCACGCACGTCACTTTTTGCCTAAAATATATCACGATATAGGCCGTTTTGAATCACCCCGTATATATACCGTACCGTAGGATATTTTTTGTACTCTTTTTTTCGTTTTAACGAAGCAATCGAATTTACATATACACATAATTAATATTCGACCAGTATATTCGTTAATTGAAGCGTAATTATTTAAATAAATCGACAAAATAACTACTGTGATAAAAAGCACGCAGAATACTCCCCCAAGCATCACCACCCGCCCCCTCCAGTTCTATTATTTAATTTATTTGTAGCGATGCGGCGCCCAACGGTTCTACAGTTGTTATTTTTCCGCGAGGTTGCCAGTTTTGTATAGTTATTAAATTAATATATAGCAATTATACCATAACGGCGATATTTATTGATAATAATTCTAGCTATTCGGGTGCTAAATGTCACTTTATTTGTACTAAACTCAAGACTGAAATCGATTTTTCAAGAAATAAAAGTTTTTCCCCATTTTAAAAGAAAAAATATCGCCCGCAATCGACCAACCCTTATTAAATTTTTTTCTGTGCATATATACGTACGGTATAGGTTGTTTCTTAACTTTGCGAAGCTTTAACACACGGAATTTCAGTCAACTAAATCAGATCTATTTTTGATACGATCGAAGTGCATTTTCTAATAATAGTAATAATAATAATTCGTTACCAATGGGTAACCACCAGTAGTTACATAGTTTTTACGATGCGAGGGACAAAGCCAAAGAAAAGACCCGACAGGTATTTTTCTTTGCTCTCGGGATCCCCCATTAGTCTCGTGGTAACCAGAAACCGAACCAAATACTTTTTTGTAATCGGGTCTCTCTCTTTCTCAATGGTACTTAATTTTAGCGCGTAGAACTGAACATTTCTTTCTCGAAACAGAATCTCTTGTATATCTTTTTGTTGTACATTATTTCTAATAAAAGAATTATATTTTCGTGTCGTTTTGTTTTTAAACCCTTTGTTCCAGTCCGATGCCTCTAGGTAAGTTTTCCGTCGAAATAGCTGGGTTTGAATTTGAAAAAATCTTTAGATTTCGAAATATATCCAAAATAGGAAATTTTGAATTAATTTTTGTTTCTACTAAACCTGATCATTACAAAGGACATTCATATACCTATCACGGCAAAACAATGCCAAAAACCAGACATAAATTGGAAAATTGTAGGGTCAATAATTATTTCCCAATATATTCCAACATAAGGGGAAATCATTGTTATTATTAACTGTTTAAAATGAAAATTGATGCCCTAAAATTGTAAAAATATACTTTGGAATTGGACAAATAATTTTTTGTTAACAAAATTTGGAGAAATTATAACCAATCACAGTAACCGTTTAGGGCTTTTAGAACATGGAACTCAAAGAATAGATAAAGAATTTCTGGCAGTTTTTTGTTTGTAGCTTAATTTGTTATAATACCGACCTAGAAGATGCTAATTATTATTGTTATATGTACAGTAGCTTAATTAAGCTACTACATAGCTTCTTTATTATTTAAAAAAAATGTTACGTAACTGACTGAAAACAAAGTTTGATAAGTTAAAAAAATGTATTTCCATGCATAGCTATTAGATAATATAAATTTAATGCACTAACCTGCCATTTGCATCATTTTCGTTCTAAACGGGGATTTCCGCATATCTGCAACCTGTTTTTACATAACATTCAACGAGATCGAGAGTATTTTGGGAAAATGTTAAAACGAAACCTGTCGAATTTACGAACTGTCAGCAGCCATGTTGCTTGTCGAACGTCGCCAGGCCTTATTGATTGGCTAAGAATGAGATGTGAAATGGCGCGCATGCGCATATAGCATGAACTTTACCTTTTTTTTTCACTAGTTGGCAATGGCGGCGGTTTAAAAGTAAACTGAATCTTGGGAAACATTTTTTAGTTTTATTTCATATACGATTATCAATGGACGTTGCAATAAATTTATGACCTTCGATACCGAGTTTTCATAGCGTTCGCCGCAATTCTCGAAGAAAATTTAACGGAAACGCTGGCGGATCGGCACACGGTATCGCGTCCACGGTATCGCGTCCACGGAACACCGAAAGCAACGACCCGCTGATTTGACAGCCGAGTCCGTGCCGTCAAACGTCCAGGCAGTTTCTCGGAAAGTGGACGTGTTACGTCAAAAACCATTGCGATTTGTTTATTTGACTCGAAAATAAAGTCGCAAGTGGACGCGAATTGTTCGTGACGGTTTACTGACGACGCGATCGATCGAGCAAAAGTAGTACGTCGCGAGTACCGTCCGCCGGAAGTGTAAAATCCGCCGTCGGGAATGACCTCTGTGCCCAACCCCTCCGATAATTTTCGCGTGTTCTTTGTATTCCGATTATTTGCTAGGATGAAGTTTCGGGTATGAAAAACGGGCGGTAAAGTGGCAACTTATACATCGAACCGCCTCGAAGCAGCTCGCGTTTCGGAGCCCTCGCTTAATTTTAGGTGCCCTGAACCGAGAGCCGCGGTTTAAGCAAAATGAACAAAGATGAATTCGATTTGTTTCCCCACCTGAGGCAATACCGGAACAATAGCGCGCTGGACTTGCTCAGGGGCCTCGAAGACAGGGAGTACGGCACTTACAAAAGGAACGCCAAGTCCAGGGAGAATGTCGAGCTCTATGCCGAAGAGCGGCTCGTCCAAAAACAAAATCTCGACGAGATGGTAAATTGTAGGCTGTCTCATGGTCGCGGCGAATGCGAAAACGATTTTTCAGCGGTGCGAGATGCCCGGGATGCCGAGGTCCACTTTTCTTATGGTGTTTAGTCCGGACGGGCAGAGGGCCGCCTCCACCCACGGCAACCACAACATCTACGTGACCGATTTGAGGAATGGGAAGAACATCAAAACCCTTGTGGGCCATCCCCGCACCCCCTGGTGCATAGCTTTCCATCCCACGTCCGACCAGATCGTCGCGTCCGGGTGTCTCGGGGGCCAAGTCAGGATTTGGGATTTAAGCGTGAGTAGTTTTTACGTCTATTGTTGGAGTGTGATTGGTTAACTATCGGATGACGCATATGTCGGTAAAAAAATTACTCGAGGGTGTTTACTGTGAATAGGCTTTTTAATTTGTTTATTTTGATGAGGTTAAACTATGGGGTTACACCACAGAACAAAATTGTGCAAACACAGTGTGTATTTAAAAACAATAATAATAGTAATAATAACAAAAATAAATAAAGTGTACAAGGGAAAGCCAACGGAGTCAAAAATTGATAAAATCAATTTAATATGTTCTTTGCACTGTGTACTATCAAACTACATATCAACAAATAGTTTGCTGGAAAAGCGTGGGCTCATCATTAATTTTGTTTTTTTCCTGAAAATTATCACTTTTTTACTTGGTTCACTTTTCTCTGATATCTTTCAAAAGGTCTTGTGAGTAAAATTAATAAGTAAATGCAGAGAGAAAAAATTATTATAATTATTATTATTCTGTGATACATTAGAGGTTATTTTGAGGGTCACGCGTGAGGTCTTCATAACCTAAGCATAATGTCCTGATAACGTTATAATACAGAGCGTATTTTTAGTTTGTTTTTTCATATAATGTGTTTTGTTTTCAACATACAGAGTGTAGGTTATATAAAAAATGGTTATTTTAGTTAATTAATAGATTTAATATAGATAAAAGAGTTGCTACGTTTGAACTACTCAGTGTGCGTGAAATATTCTAGTCGCATTTTTATTGATATCGCGCTGCACTTTATAATTTTAATTTCATTGAGCCTCTGGTCACAACAAACAACACTGTCAAATCAAGGATATTTAAGATAGGGAAGAATAGGAGACACCCACTCGGACAAGCGAATAATTTTATTTTCATTACACAAAATAACAACGACCCTTCCGACTTTAAACGATTTTCCCTATAAACTAACGACATCTGGGATTTTGAAACAACCCTGTACAACGAAAATTTCACGCTCGCCAGGAAAATTGTGGAAAATCGCAAAAATATAGATAAGAGTAAATCAAAAACAGAATTACTTACCCTATTGGATTTATAAAATTCAATCAACCCAGTATCCGCGCTGGTTTTTGTATTAAACCCTTCCAGATCGTACCAGCATCTTCAGAGGTATGGTCTGTTCATAGATATAAGAAAGTGACCAATTGCTTTTGAATAGGATTATCCAAGGGTGGTCATTAACATACAATGGAACAATATTATTACCTAAAATTTCGGAATTTAAATTCAAGTAAAATTGATATCTTAATTAGGACGCTCGAAAAAGATGAAATCGGTGTTAAATGTGGCAGAACTACCTTATGGAACTGTATTCAACACATGGGTTTTAGATTTAAAAAAATTGACAAATATGAATGAAAAATATCTAGAAAAAAATAGGATGAAACCTGGTTCGACACTTATGATACCCCGGAAAAGGGTTGGGTTTTAACCGTTTTAACTGTGGCGTGAATGTAAAAATCGGAAAACCCCGGGCCGAAAAAGGTCGCAGAATTCCAAAAAAAAAAAAAGAAAATCATACGGGGACGCATCTTTTTTTTTTCTCTCCGCAGGGGGGCAGCGAGGTGTGGACGTCGTCGGGCCAATCGGTCATCGCTTCGATCGCTTTCCACCCGAACGATCGTATCCTGGTCATAGCGACGTTCAACGAGGTGTATTTCTGGGACTGGAGCCAGCCGGAACCTTTCGTCAGTACCGCGACGAATAACCCCAAAGAGAAGGTACTGGAAAAAGGGGCGGTACCGCCTTAGACGTGACGAGCTTGGCCGTTTTTTTTTAGGTTAGGTACGTCGCGTTCGATAAACTCGGCCACAAACTAATCACGGGTATTGCCAACGGACCGCAGACCAGATGGGAAAGGGTGAGGGCCCCCGTCCCAGTACCGAGACAGGAACGGTGCGCCAGCACCTACAGGAGGCGGATCATCCAGAGGCTGGTGACCTCCGTCAACCCGCCGAGTCCGGTAAGTCGAACATTTCAGTAGATAAGCGGAGGGAGTTCTGGAGAAAAACAAAACAAAGATAAAAAGGTCACTCGCTCACTTCTAGCTCCTATGAGCGTTACTCATCTAATAAACTCTTAAAGAGCTATCGATGGGGTTAGATCGGGTGTGTGTGTGTGTGTGGTGTTCCGCAAAACTTAATTTGTAATTTGTTTATTTTTTATTCGTACAAAATATTTACAATTTTCAATCTAAAACTTGATTCAGCCGTCGAATACATTTTTGGTTATGTTGTTTGACATCCAGCTAGATTTGTGTGGTTGGTGTTTGTAATGGATAGTTATCAGCAGGCAAAGTAAAACAAAGGGGTTAGGTCAGTCACTGGTGTGTAACTAACCACGGTTTAATGGATTAATATCCGCGGTGTGACAATCTAACCTATGATGGGTAAGTTTCATATTGACCTTCACAAAATTTGAAACTAGATTGCTACAAGTTTGCAAGTTGGAGTCGATAAATCGACTCGATAAGTCTAGTAATTATTTAAAAAAGTACCTGATTTGGTTTACTTGTCTGAGATAACTACAATAATAAAAATGCCGACTTCTCGAGTATTAAAAGTTTTGGATCGGCGTTGGGTCTACTAATTTTGTTTTCTGTCTCTGTGGATCTTATTTTTCCAGCTTTCTAGCTATCTGGGAACCTTACATGTATGCTGATGATAGTCATTAATCACGATCTTGTGAATGAGCTTGTGAATCCGTTACAAGAACTATTGGTAAAGTTTATTAATTATATTACAACCGTCTTATCCTTGATGCAAATTTAAAAGTAAGATTGTATGATGCAATTGTATGGCAACGATTGCGTCGCTTCTTTTTCATGTAATGTCCATCGTTACATATAATATTCGTCGTACTGTTTCTTTTCGCTTACTTTAGTTTTGTTAAGCCCTCCTTTGGTTTTGTGTTTGGTAGGTGTCGTGAGTAGTGTAATTTCGTCACTTCTGGTCCCTCCGTTCACCGGTGAAGATTTGATACCTCAAGATCTAACCCAGAGGTTTCATTTCTGCACCAATCCGAATTTAGTTTCACCAAATTGTAATCTCAACTTTAGCGTCTCTACTGTAGTGTACTCACGAGACTCTTGCTTATGGATTTAATTGGCAATTAGTTTAAAACAGACGTTACATTTGCTCGTCTAGCAGCAGGCCTCCAGCCAGGAGATTAACCCGCCCGAAAGGGAAGCTTCATCTGGCGTGCCTGAACGGGAACGTCGCATAATGCTCTCCTACAGGAACCTGGTCAGGGAGTACGAGCAGCTAGTGCATCGATACCTCCAGCTGTACAGGCCGCCCACCATGGTAAAAACGCCTACGCACCCCTTCCCCTTCAGTTTTCATCCCGTCGCGTACAATTTTCGTAACAAAAAAAGGTGCATTTAATAAGAAAACTGCGACTATATGACGCAATGAAACAAATTGAAAAGGTATTACCAGGGCTTAAGAAAATGGGACTAGTGATATATTTTTAATTTTAAACAGCACCTATTCGGAGGTGGAATGATTAAGGTTCAACCTAGCCGCCGTCAGCAGGAGGAAATGTCAAGTTATTGAAAAATCAGTAACTGTAAATATTCGTCCCAGAAATGTTTGAAAAACAAAAGTGACTTTGTAAAATGACACTTTCCGCATGCTATATCGGTTTACATTAGGTATCTGTTTGGAAAATCCCAGTAATAAACTAATGAAAGGATCAAAAACATTTGATTTTATGCTCGAAAAATAGAAAATGTTCACTTTATGTACAACAACTAAAAATATATTACTATTATGTTACTAAAGCTTCATTTTATTCGAAATATGTATTTTTTTTAGATCGTTAATCTAATTATTTCATTCTAAAGCGGGTATTTCCAATATTTTTTGGTTGATATTCCTAATAATAAAAAGATGTTTTTTATATAAAATCCTGACTATACTCATCATACAATCGAGAACGTCGTCTTCTTCCTCCTTCCCCTTGCGCCTACTCCTCGGGTCGAGAGAAAAAAAAATGCCGTTTCGCCAGATCGACCGTGGTACCGACCCGATGGAACCCAACCCGTCGAGCAGCAGCGGTACCCAGACCCCGGAGCCGGGCCCTAGCGGCGTCGGACGTGTCTCGGTCGACGTCGACGACGCCGCTCCCGGGCCGTCGACGTCGCAAGGCGTCATCACGCCGAGCCGCATGCTGCACGTCATCAAGAAACCGACGACGCTGATCCGCGGTACCCAAACCGCCTCCGAGTCGCGGAAACACAAAGCCGACGGGGGCGAGGAGGGTGAGAACGAGAAGAGGTTCAAGAGGGGCGACGACCAATCGTCGCAGACGTGTCCCGAGCCCGAGGGGCGGGGCCTCGAACACGCGGACGCGGCCGAGAACCGGGTGCTCGTCGTCAATCTGGAGAGGTTAAGCCCGCCTCCGGCGCCCGCCCCCGGCTACACCAACGACGACGACCGGTTCGTGCCGGGTACGAACCTCAATCTTTTGAAAATTTTCGATTTTGCCCTATTGTCGACGTTCGCAGTACCGGCGAGTCTCCTGGACCACCCGCTAGAGGACTGGGACGGAACGTCGCGAGGTGAAGGGCCTCTCGATGTGGCCCCGCCCACTAGGGAGGGGACGCCGCAGCAGCAGGCCAACCGTTACAGGCAGCGGTTCAGCGAGTACGTGCGCAGGAGTCGGCAGCGTATCGCCTATATCCGGAGGCGGTACCAGAACATCATCGACAACGATGACGCCTCGAGGGAGGAGGACGTCAGCGAAGGGGGCGGCCCCGCGTCGTCCGCCGTCGAGAGGAACGACGCGTCGTCGTCGGTGTCGTCCACGTCGGCGTCGAACCAGAACCATCATCAGCAGAACGTAGACGATCTGCTCTCGACCATCAGGAGGACGGCGGAGGAGGAGGTGCGCAGCCGCATATTGCCCATCATCAGGTCGGTGCCGGTGCACGACAGGCCCGAACTGATCAGGTAGGGGGCGGAGACTGTTTTTGTTTTAATTTTTACGAAAGCCAAATAGTGGAATCGATATAAGGAATTAACCTTCCCAAAATTGATGGCGTTCGCTTTTCGAATAAATATTATCGATTTTGAGAACGTTTCGTATGTGTATTACCCGAAAACATCGTTATTTGGTAACATAGGTTTTTTCTGATTATTTTATTATTTCGAAAACGTTTTTTATTGACTGATTATCGATTTTTTGTGAGGTTGTCTACGGTTTTTCAAGAGGTCGACGTTATCGATTTTGAGGACGATTATCGATATATTGGCCGGTCGTCAACGATTTTAAAAACGTATTTTTTTATCGTTTTTCCTTTTCATTTAGTATCGATTTATAAAGAGGTCGCCGACGTTATCGGTTTTCAGAGTGTAACATTTTATTTCCCATCTTTACCGTTTTTACGGAATAATTAACTTTAAAATTAATTAATTCATTAACAAGTCGCCAAAGTTATCGATTTAAAAATTTCTGGCGTTTTTTGCTTATTTTCTGAAAATGTGCTCATCGTTTCATTAAGATGCCGCTGATGTCGTTGATTTTAAGATGAAAAGTTTTTATTTTTTCTGTATCATCGATTTATTCAGAGCCCGTCCACGTTATCGATTTTGGGAACGTATTTATGAAAAGGTCGTAAACGTTATCGATTTTGAGTAATTTTTGGTTCTAGAATGCTTGTATCGATTTATTAGCAGCTTTCCAACGATTTTGAAAGCATATATTTTTTCCTTTATTACCGACTTTATCGATTTTGAGAATGTAACAATTTGTTTCTTGTCTTTTTTTAATGTTTTCATTAATTGTTCTATCAATTTATTTAGGTGTCACCGACGTCGTTGATTTTGCTATGAAAAGTTTTTATTTTTTCTGTATCATCGATTTGAGAGGTCGTCCACGTTATCGATTTTGAGAACGTAGTTTTTTTTGTGGAATGTTTTTATTTTTTCTTGTCATTTTTGTTTTTTTTTATATTGAGAACGTCATTTTTGTTTCTAGATTGCATTTATGGATTTATTAGCAGCTCTCCAACGATTTTGAAAACATATTTTTTCTGACTTTTCTTTTTCCTTTATTTTGAGAATTTTATTTATTATTTTTTTTATTTATTATTATTTATTTTAAGAATGTAACACTTTGTTTCTTGCCTTTTTTTAATGTTTTTAGTAATTGTTCTATCAATTTATTAAGATGTCGCCAATGTCGTTAATTTTGAGATGAAAGTTTTTTCTGGCGTTTATCTTTAAAAGTTTTGTTTATTCATTAAGAGGCAGTCAACTTTATCGATTTTGGGAACGTTTTTTTTTTAGTTTTTTCGGAAACTGCTCAATTAGCCGAGTATCGATTAATTTAGGATTCCCTAACGTTATCGATTTCGAAAACCTAAAATTTGTTTTCTGACGTTTTTATTCTTATTTTTTTCGATAACCGTTTTGTCGACCGATTATGGATTTCCTAAGTTGATTTTGACGTTCCTTCTTTTTCCGCAAACAATTTTCAAAACGAAAATTTCGTTTCCCGACGATTTTCTCCTTTTCGGAAAACTTTTTTATCGACCAATTATGGATTTATTTAGAGATCCCGAACGTTAACGCTTTTTGGAACGGTCGTATCGACCTTAAAAATTTCGTTCACGCGGTCCACTTAAAGCCCCGCCCCTCTCGCAGATTGTTCGAGACGAGTCGCGAACACGTGCGCATGAGGTTCCGTCAGATGTGTCCCGTGTACCTCAAACGTAACGGGGGGCGGCGCCACCCGCGCGTCGACACCTCCACCGATACGAGCAGCTCCGACGACGACGACGACGCTCGGCGTCCAAATGCGACGTCGTCGCCCGCCAGAACGACGGCGCGACGCAATTCCGACCCTTCGGTGCCGAGCTCGGCCGGAACCGTCCCTGCTGCCGCCTCCACGTCGAACGTCAGAAATTTCAACACGGAACTAGAACAGCTGGTGACGTCGTTGCTGACGGAGATCGAGAGGAACGACGACGACGCCGAGACGACGACCAACGACGTCGCCCCCGCGATCCCCCCGTCGTCATCGGCGAGGACGAGGCCTTCGCATTTCCCGTCGTACGCGGACGATGGCGGGGCACCACCCCCGCCTCCGGCATTCATCAACACCAACACCAGGACGACAAATTCGACGATCTACACCACGCCGAGCGCGAATCCTGCACGGAGGCGGTTCTTTTTGCACCGCGTGTCCGCCTTCATGCCCACGCGCGTCAATTACACCGGAGGGGGCGGTTCGGCGAGGAGTCTCGCCTCCAGGTACCGGAGGACGCCGCACTATCCGTGGACCGGCGCCAGATCCGGTGAGATCGGTCTTTCGTTTTTAGTTACGAAAAAATGCGGATAATTTGCCGTTTTACCATTCGATTTATTTCTAAAACGCTTTGTTAAGAGTTTTCCTCCAATGTTGTGGATTTTGCGAGAATATTTTTTTTACGTTTTTCTCTTCTTCGGAAAAGTTTTTTTAAAAAGTTGAGAACGTTTTTTTTTTTTTTAGAAGACTCTTATCGATTTATTAGCGGGTCTCCAAACGATTTTGAAAACATTTCTGACGTTTTCTTTTTTTTTAATTATCCATTTGTTAAGAGGTCGTCAACGTTATCGATTTTTGGAAAGTAATTTATAGATATCTATATTTTCTAGAACGCCTTTATCGGTTATCGATTTGTTAAGAGTTTTTCACCAATGTTATCGATTTTGCGAAAGTGTTTTTGTTTACGTTTTTCCCTTCTTCGGAAAAGTTTTTTTAAAAACTTGGGAACGTTTTTTTTAGAAGGCTTTTATCTATTTATTAGCGGGTCTCTAAACGATTTTGAAAACATTTCGGACGTTTTCTTTTTTCTTAATTATCCATTTGTTAAGAGGTCGTCAACGTTATCGATTTTTGGAAAGTAATTTATAGATATCTATATTTTCTAGAACGCCTTTATCGGTTATCGATTTGTTAAGAGTTTTCCACCAATGTTATCGATTTTGCGAAAGTGTTTTCGTTTACGTTTTTCTCTTCTTCGGAAAAGTTTTTTTAAAAACTTGGGAGCGTTTTTTTTTTTAGAAGGCTTTTATCTATTTATTAGCGGGTCTCCAAACGATTTTGAAAACATTTCGGACGTTTTCTTTTTTCTTAATTATCCATTTGTTAAGAGGTCGTCAACGTTATCGATTTTTGGAAAGTAATATATAGATATCTATATTTTCTAGAACGCCTTTATCGGTTATCGATTTGTTAAGAGTTTTCCACCAATGTTATCGATTTTGCGAAAGTGTTTTCGTTTACGTTTTTCCCTTCTTCTTCGGAAAAGTTTTTTTAAAAACTTGGGAACGTTTTTTTTTTAGAAGGCTTTTATCTATTTATTAGCGGGTCTCTAAACGATTTTGAAAACATTTCTGACGTTTTCTTTTTTCTTAATTATCTATTTGTTAAGAGGTCGTCAACGTTATCGATTTTTGGAAAGTAATATATAGATATTTATATTTTCTAGAACGCCTTTATCGGTTATCGATTTGTTAAGAGTTTTCCACCAATGTTATCGATTTTGCGAAAGTGTTTTCGTTTACGTTTTTCCCTTCTTCTTCGGAAAAGTTTTTTTAAAAACTTGGGAACGTTTTTTTTTTAGAAGGCTTTTATCTATTTATTAGCGGGTCTCTAAACGATTTGGAAAACATTTCTGACGTTTTCTTTTTTCTTAATTATCTATTTGTTAAGAGGTCGTCAACGTTATCGATTTTTGGAAAGTAATATATAGATATCTATATTTCCTGCACGCCTTTATCGATTATCGATTTGTTAACAGTTTTTCTCCAATGTTATCGATTTTGAGAACGTGTTACGAGCAGTTATGGGAGGCGAGCCATTAGAAGAGTTTACATTTGTTACTCTCGAAAAATCATATTATTATTATATCAAGAAATTCGTGAACCGCAGGGGCGGCACAGGGTTTCGGGCTGCCGCCGCGCGGCGCTCTCGATCCCGCCTCCACGTTCTCCCTCGACGAGCTGATCAATTACGCGGAACGCGAGAACTCGGAGGACGACCCGCCGCCTCCTCCTCTCCCGCCGCCGCCGCCCGCTCCCCTTCTGCTCGATCAGCCGTTCGACGCGCCCGTCGCCGACAACTTCGGCATCGGCACCATGTACTCGAACATCATTCGGGACCTGCAGTCGAGCCTCATCGACGTCCGCCACATCGGCGTCCAACCGGACCGCACGTCGGACGTGCTGAGCAGTTTCTCCGAACGCCTCGAGAACGTCATGAACCAGTCGGACACGATCCTGCAGAACCTGCGCAGCTTCATGGAGATGCTGCCGGCGGCGGCGGCGACGACGACCCCCGACGAACCCCGATGGAACCTCAACGACGCGGCGGGATTTTATGTGCGCGACTTGCGCGCCGCCGGCGCCGACGCCCCCCACCCTCCTCCCGGGCTGTTCGCGACGCTGAACGCCGTCACCGCCGACCACACTTACCCGCGCAGCGCGTCCGGCGACGCGTCCGAGATGTCGCCGCTGATGACGTCCCTACACCTGACCATATCGTACATCCAGAGGCAGGCGAGGCTGCTGCGACGCCAAGTGGAGAGCATCGAGAGGATCGATCGCGCCATGGTGGAGGTGGCGCAGCTGCAGCTGATGCGGCAGCTGATAATCGACCTGGTACGTCATATCCGGAACCTGTGCGGCGACAATCGGAGTCCGGGCGTGAGCAGCGTCAGACAGATGATGGCGGGCACGAGGATCAGTGACTCGAGCCCCTACGACTCGCCGAGCGAGGAGGGGGCGGGGCCGAGCTCGGACGCCGTCGCGGGCCCGAGCGAGGAGCGGCCGCAGCAGCCGCCGCCGCCCCCGCCTCCCCCGCCGAGGACGTCGAACCGCAAGACGTACCCGCCGTCGCGCCTGTCCAGGCCGACGCATTACCAGCTTCGGCCGTCGATGGTCCATTGGTTCTCGAGACGCTACTCGAACAGGTGAGCGGGCGGGGCCCGGCGGTGGAATTGATATACTTCGACCAGAAACATAGCGCGTTTACGACCGGTCCCGTGATTAATTTTACCTACCGTTTATTACTCCAAAACCGCGGTAACCACAACCATTCCAGTACCCTCTTAGAAATTTATCTGCCTACACTAGCAATTTATTACCTACTATTTCATTAATATACAAAATATGAAATATAATAATAATAATAATAATAATAAAAATAAATAAGAATTAAAAGTTCAGATTTTTACGAAAACGCAAAACAAATTAGATTTTTTTCATTTATCATAAACCTTCACACACGGACACAGTCATACATAACATCTCCAATCACCCTTATACACACAAAATGGCTTCAATTTCACTCTTTTATACACAGACTTCTTAATACGCCACTCTCAAGAGAAAATTACAACAAACAACTTAATATCATTAAACAAATTGCACTGAACAACGGCTACAATCCGTGTATTTTCTCACAACAACATTAATTAAGGTTTTATGGTCATTTTTCAATATATATAGTAGCAGGTAGTTTGTAAATATTACATTTGATAAAGACACGGTTTTTTAATTTCGTAAAAATCTGAACTTTTAGTTCATATTTATTTTGATAAATGGATTTTCATCAAGTAAAAGCCACCTACCTCAGTTCAATATTAACAATAATAATACAGTACCAGTCATTAAAAAAATCGTCACTAACGTTACTGTTATCACGTAGTGCAATGCAGATGTCGGGGTGGCTTTTACCACGGTCCTGCGAAGGTCTACGGTTAAAATACTTAAAACTTCAAAGCAATAAATGCACTATATTTTTGGTTATGTTATTAACACGACGACCGAGAGCGGTATTATTGTAGAATTCTCAATTCTCTCTGTTAAATTGTGTTTTTTGGTAAGTGGAGACACATTCCCAATACTTCCGAGGATGTTCCAAAAAACCCGAGATTTTCAATTTTGGTTTCTATTGTTTATTTTTTAAAAAGCACATTTTCGTAACCACTTCTTCTATCCTATATCTCAGTATGATTACATATTGAAACTGACGTTTCGGCTTCCGGCGACCGTCATCAATTTCAATTTTTTAAAATCTGATTTTTTTTTCTGTGTAATTAAATCCTTTCGTCACTCTTAAAACACTGTATATTGTCACTTCTGTATTATTGACCGACGTTTAGTACAGAAAATTCCATCACCAGAATATTTTATATTTTTGGTGATTAGGTAAAAAAAAGAATAAACTTACAACATTTTCGTGATGTTTTTATTGCAACTATTTGATATTTAACAGCGGAAATTACTTTCATGAAATTAAACAAACCTAAGATACACCAAACTAACCAAAACTAATCAAACGGTAAGCCAACCAACCTTTTAAAGACAACCCCCCACGTTTCACTGTTGCTCTTTCTTACATTCAAAATATCACTGATCACATATCAGAAGTTCTTAAAAAATATAAGACTCGTCAATACAATCACGCAAGTGCGATTCATCAACAATCGAAGCAGGAAGAATCTAGAACATTTATAGATAGTACTAAATATAAATATAAAAAGGGCTTCCGTTGGAACAACATGTTCAAAATATTCATTTGCACATCCGTCTATATTCAAAACTTTGGATATTATAAAACAAAACTATCTAAATTGATAACTAGTAAAATAAATAACGCGTTTTCAATTTTGTGGCTTTTCGACATATACACTACAAAAACGTTTACTTTTAAGCTCTTATGTTCGTTTTCTTACTTAAAAATGAGCATTGCACCAATAAGAACTTTACGTCAATCGTATTACAGTGGTCTGTGGAAGTTTATTTGGAAAAATAGTTATCATTCTTGCAATTCCAAAATCTTAATGAAGGAACCAGACGCCATAGTCATCCGAGACAATGCACATGCCCTTCATTTAGCCACGCCCCCAGTTTCAGTTAAACTTTCTGTGAAAAGTTATTCTTTGATTGTATCTTAATAAAGGCAATTTATTATTAAAATTATTAATTTTTGTTATTAATCTATTCAAAACCTAACCTTAAACCTTAAATTTGTAAATTTGCACATAAAATAACATAACTGGAGACCAAAATAGTAACACCTTTGTGTCTGTAAATAAGTGTTTTGAGGTTAAAAAGTCGTAAACGGAATTTTCGGCGCAGGCTGACGCGCCAGAACGCGCACGCGCGCCTCAACGGCAGCGGGGGCAGGCGCGGGGCGCAGCCCCAGGCCCACTACGCCAACGTCAACCCGTCTTCGCTCGCGCTCATGACGATCCGCCTCGAGCGGCTGATGAGCGAGCAGGTGCGAGCGTTCACGCGACCTCGCGACGCCCCGCCCATCGCCCGTTCGACGACCGCCGTCGACCTCGGCGAGCACATCCTTTCGCTGCGCCTCCACGGTTGCCTGTTCCGCATGAACCGCGTGTTGGGCGTCGACACTGACCCCCTGCGTTCGGACGCGACGGCCGCCGTGACGCAGGACGGCGCCTCGCGCTACGACGTCCGCCACTCGCTCAGCCTCGTCCTCGACAGCATGAGCCGTCACGTCGAGGAGATCGGCAACGTCGCTATTCCGCAAAACATGCGTCACCGGATCCACGGCGTCCTCGCGATGTCGCTCCTGCTCACCGAACTCCTGCTGCTGCAGGTGGCCGACTCGATACCGCCGGCGCCTGCGCGCGTTAACCTCGAACCTGAATCGCTCACCGACCGCATCAATCAGATGTGCACGCGGATCCTGCACCGTCTGAGGGGCAACAGGCCCCGCCTCACGCGGAACTGGCGCCTGATGATGGTCAGGATGAGGCACGCGTACCGCGCCCTCGACGAGACGTACAACGAGAGGCGGAGCGCGATGCTGCCGCGTCAGGACACGGACAGGAGACAGTTGCTCGGCTCGATCAACCTCTGCCTGAGGACGATCCGACGTCGTTACATCTTCGACGGATCGAACGACGACGCGGACGAAGACGAGGAGGCGGAGCCCGCGGGCGACAGGGACGCGTGGTTCGGCGCGATCAACGACCTCATCGCGCGCTACTCGGACGAAGACCAGAACGGCAGACCGTCGACGTCGTCTACGGCGGAGAGGCCGCCACCGGGCGCCCCCGATCACCAAGCGTCGAGCAACAACGACAACAGGTGAGCGGTGGGGGCGGGGCCGACACGGGTGGAGCCCAAGCGCGGGTTTCTATCGCGATTGCGCGATCCTTATCGATGAAATAACTCCAATAACCGATTTTAATTCTGAGGCGGCGGGGCTTATACGGGGTGTTCGGAAATTGAGTTTGGAAAATTCGTAAAATAATGGAAGTCCTTTAACAAAAATTTGAAATCGTGATATTCCCCGAGTTATAGCTTGTTGAAACGGTTAAGGTTGTGTCGCTTATAGATTTTGTATAGAATTTTAGTTTTATCGAATATAATTTTATGGCGGGTTTCGTGTTTGTGTTCCGCAACTGCTGATGAGTTTATTTCCCTTAGTCATGTTGATGTTCTTTGAGCTTAGTTGATATTTTTCGTTCGATCTCTCCAATGTGTGCCCCAATAACAATAACAAAGCAAGTTCGACACAACAAAAACGGACGCAAGAAGAATCCAGAAGTTTTGTAAAAATACATAATCTTGTTTTTTTTTTTTAAATATCTACCGATTTCATTTTTAATTTTAGCTTGGTCACAGCGAAATTTCGTACATTAGGTTTTTTTTTAGCCGAGGTGTCGCAAGTTTGCTTCTCCACCGGTTTATTTTAATAAGATATCAAAGCAGCAATTTTAGATCGGGTCTGTAGTTTGTTCTATAGACGAGATAATGCTAGCTTCTTTTGATGTTCAAAATCCACCTATTCTTGTACCAAATTATTCATAGTCGGGTTGTTGATCCGGGCCTCTTATCAAAATTTAACTTTGGTGTTTCCAGGGTTACTTGACGAGTAGATCAAAACTTTTACCTTTCTATGCCGCGTACGAATATTTTAAAATTTTCTCCTTTCCACAGAACGCGCGATCTGTGCAACTCGGCAAGTTTCCAGCTTGTTATATTTTCTTCTTCTGCACGTCACGTACGTTTTTTAAGTAATGGCATATAATTATTTTTTGTTTTATTTTACGTTGTATTAGCACTTTGCTGTCCTTTTGTATTTTTTGTTAATTTGTCACTTATGTCCCTGTTCTATAGTTGGCTTTAACTTGTTTAACAGTGCATCTAAATAAATAATACGTCGTATAACTCCTTCACTGCATTAATTAATAATGCTATTTACAAAACTTCTGGATGCCTCCCGAGTCGTTTGTTATGGAATGGGAACTAGTATTACGGTAACTGTTCAAGTTTCTTTGTAAAAAAAAACAGAACGTTGGTTCGTGGGGTCGGACGGGGCACTAAACGTCGACATATCCTTATTTAAACGCAGCGACGGCGACGACGCCACCGATTCGGAATGGTGGTACAGGAACAGTGGCAGCCCGTACAGCAGCGCAGGCCTCTACCGCACGAACAACGTGAACCTGGTGCAGGCGAACGAAACGGCTTCGACGTCGTCGTCGTCATCGTCGAGTCAGGCGCGTCCGTGGAACGTCCCTACCGTCCAGGTCAACGACGTACCGGTTCCGGAACCTTCTCTCTCGTTTCCGTCGCAACACCAGCAGAGATCGTCCGCGTTCAGCCGTCAGAGGTTCGCCGAACGCGTTTCGGAACTGAGATCGAACGCACGTCTCGGCCTCTTCAGGCCTCGCTTCCTGCACCCTCTCTACGCGAGCGTGAACCCGTTCGACGCTGATCTCGATGACCCGCAACGTGAGGCGATCTACGACAGCGACATGATCACCACCGTCACCCCCAATCACAGGATCCAGGCGTGGGACATTTCGAATTGGTCCGTCCCCGCCATCGGCAACTGTGAGTCCTCTACACCGTCGTCGTCGTTTCGTTTTGATTTTTTTTTTACTTTTCAGCCCTTAAGAACGTCATCGTCAGCGAGTGCAAGATCCACAACGACGCGAGCGTAGACATCGCTCGCGACGGCACCATCTTGGTGACGTTGCTGCCTTCGGGCGGTTACCTGAACGTCACCAACCGATTGGGTGAGTGTAACGTGTACGCCATCTTGCGGACGGCTAATTTTACGGTAAAAAAGGACTCATAACCGTTTCCGAACAAGGACGTCGAGTGTGCGGTGCGGGTTTTAGATTTTTAAAACAAACCTCTGGATATCTCCTGCTTCGCTGGTTGATAAATCCAGCTTTGTACCGTTTGAAGGAGGCGGAGCTATAGGAGGGGCATCAACATTGTATCATATTATTGATTTCCATATTGTCGCAGCAACCTTAACTGCGACTCAGTCATCCGAGACAATGTTCTTGCCCCTCAATTAGCTCCGCCCCCCTCAACCCGTATATAAGCGGGTACAGAGACTAGAATTCGAGCCAGTTTCAGTTAAGCTCGGAAGAAGCCAACAGGATGATTGGCGAAACGTTAGCTTGTTCGATTCAACAAAATTGACGAAGCAGGAATCTAGAAGTTTTGTAAACAGTAAATGGTTTACTTCAATTTTTTAGCCCAACGAGACCAGGGATAAAGAATCAAAATTTTTCCGTACTCATTCGTCATGGTAATTAGAAAATGGTCTTTTTTTGGCCCGGTATAGTAAATACTCTGGCGAGCAAATTATTTTTTCCACTCCCGTATGTAAAATAACGAATTACACACCGATCTAGCGTCTTCCGACATTTCCGGGATTTTACCGCACAGGTTTGTGTGCAATCGGATGTGTCCGGAGATTTTACCGCACGCTTTGAATTTTGACGTTTGTCAATTCTGGCGGTCATGTCAGTGAATGTATTGGTGTTTTTTAGCAAAAATGTACCGAAAAACTAATACACAGAAAAGTGTTATGCAATATATCAGACAATTTAAGTACTATGTACTATAAAATACAATTAAAGTCTAGTTTCCCACAGAAATGTTACATACCGTTTCGCCTAGTGGTTTTTTACAGTTTTTATATTAATATCTTGCCAAAACCAACTGCACCATTGGAAAATATCCATGTTTCATCAGTACAAACAAAACAAAATTGAAGGTTAGGACCTACTTTTTCTTGCTTATACGATATTATAAATTTAATCCTCTTAAAAGCTCTATCCTTGGATGGTGTTTCTTCCAATTACAGTCTTTTTCTTTAAATAATCTGCTTAATGTTCAATTGTGGAAGTTAAATAAACAAGATAACGTTTTAAAATTGGATTTACCCCGTTGTAACGTACACAATTAAAAAGAGACTACAATAGTATAACCGATCGGAACGATAAACGGTTACGTTTAATGGCAACTAGTAAATATTTTGTTTGATTGGTACGAAATTTAGTAGTCCGATAATCTGTTATTATTTTTAATTTGCTAAATTGTGATTTTTTTGTGACGGTCGTAGAAAAAGTATAGTATGCAACACGTTTGGTAAACTCTTTACTCAAATCAACGAATCGTCGATCTAGTGGGTGGTAAATTATCTATTTTGCTCTATTTGGTTAGTTTGAATTTGACATTTAATTGGAAAATCTGATGTTGGTTTCCATGATGTTGTCGGAAAACAGAAAATGTCTATTATAAAAAAAGCCCAATTAATTTTTGTTTGTAATTAAAGAAACGAGTATCAATGAACAATATTAAGAAAACCTGAAAATTAATAACCCTACTGTTTGTAGTCGACTAGGCATGCGTTAGCAACTCTCTCAGCTCTTGGGTACTTCTTCGAGCTGGTGTTGCATACGTCGTCCCATCCCATCCCGCACATGTTCAATGGGATTCATATCTGGCCTAAGTGCTGGCCAATCAAACCGCAAAATTCCCACTTCATTCAGATATTGACTGACAATTCCATCTCTAAAGTCATAGCATGATCATCCAGGATTTCCGTAGTGTATCTGTGAGATGTCACTTCTGAACTGATTCCCGCTCAGACCATAACCATGTGGAAGTCGTCATCAATTCAACCAATACATATCTCTTTCCGGGTCTCCTAGATCTGACCCAGCATGACAAAAACGACATTTATCGGAAAACAGCACCTTGCTCCATTTATAATCATCCTAGTCTAAGTTACGTCGGGCAAAAGCTAATCTTGCCATTCCGTGCAATGGCGGCCCTGTGGGCTTCTAACAGTCCATTCCATTAACATTAACATTTCTAACCTGTTGAAGTTGATTTGAGAGCCAAACAACCAAAAATGGTGAACCTCCTTCTACCGGATCCGCATTAAGCCAGACTCCCCGTAGCGTGGGCATACGTTTTGTTCAGCATTTAGACTCCTACCAACAAGTTTCCCGTTTTTTCCAACCATCTTGTATTAACGCTTCAATTATAGCCACATCGATAGCATCTAAAGACACCTTTGATCTAAAAGACACCAATCATAAGTTTAATGGCGATTAATGAATAAATTTCTTGCGCGACCAAAATTTTTTGCTCTTCAGTGTAATAATAATAATAATAATAATAACACGAGACCCGCTGAGTGTTATGGGACTGCGACCACGCCTACCGTTTCGTAGGCGTCTACAGTCTGAGGTGGGAGACTCTGGGCCAGTGCTTGTACACCACGAGTTTCGAACAGAACGCGGTCTCGGTATCGCTGTCGCCGCTCAGCAGGCACCTGGTGGTGGGGTTCGCATCTCGACGCGTCGCTATCGTGCCCAGCGACCGGTGGGTGATGGCGCGCGTCTACAAGATCGAACAGAAGGACGTGCCTGGCGATCGTTTGCCCTCGCTGAGGGAGCTCGAGCAGAGCCGCGAGAGCCGCATCAACTGCATAAGATGGCTGCCGACCTCCGGTCAGGGCCTGATCTACGCGACCAACACCGGCCAGCTGGTCATACTCTCTTAAAAAGGGGGGGCGGGGCCTTCGCGGACACTTCGCGATCCGTTTGCCGCCATTATTTATTACCGCTACTACTAATATTGTCTTTATTATTATTATTATTATGATTTTATCGGTCGCAATAACCGAATATTTTATGGGCGGCCGCCGCCGGTTAAATATACGAGGTGTTTTGGAAATACGTCAAGGAAAAATGGCGACACTGATATATACCTCGTTTGAGAAGCTTCGAACACCGGAAAACTTTTCCGAACACTCGAAAACGCGAGAAAAACTGAGAAATTTGACGGCTTATTCACACAACACCCCGTATATTTTTAACGTTATTTTCGAGTAAGCATGGTGATATTTTTCTAGTGATATTAAGTATAATAGCGACGTGAGTTTCTTTTTTAATTTTTCGCGCGACGTCGGGCCGAAACTCCCTGTGGCGAAATTACCTTCCCCCCCCACACCACAAAAAAAAGTAAACTTTGTATTCGACACGTTTATTTAAATAAAGCGAGGTTTATATTTTTCCCGACGTTTTATTTTGCGGCGTCACGCGCGGATCGCAAGTCTGGCGACGAGGACGGCGACCTCGACGACGTGCACGATGCTGACGCCCATAATCAGCGACAGCAGTCCGCCGAAATTGCCTGCAACGTGGACGCGCTGACGTAAATGTTCAAAATGTTAAACGGCGCAGTTGATACGGCAGTGGGCCGGGCGACGTCACCGTGGAGCTGACGCGACTATTTCAATTCAACGGTCTGTGATCGGCTTTTACCGTCCGCGATCTGTGCTAGCTTAGGAGTTGTCTTACAGGGGATTTTAATAAACCGATAGTACCAATTCCTTAATCGGCAGGCCACAAAAGAAAATTTCACTATCTGCTCTGTGATCCAAACTCCTACTCCTAATTGGAAGTCATGCCAAAAATAATCACCTCAACAGGAGGATTTAAACTGCACAAAACAACATAAATATGCCGATGGACAAATTCCACATTGGAAAATTTAAGATTTCCAACTGCGCCTTATTGACAAAACTCCCTGTTATCGTCAGGCAAAGACAACATCAAAGTCGAAAAGTGAATGATATTTGCGATAGGTTAGATGCAAAATTAGTTTGTATCAGACCATGGAAAATTAGCAGTGTGATAAAACCCAACTCTTAGTAACCCGATAGTTAAACCGTGGTTACACCAAGAACCAACTCAACCCCTTTGTTTCACTTGCCAGTACATTCGGGTAAGTCAATAGTAAAAAACTTCCTCTCTAAAAATAATTGTTCTAGGCCATAGTTAATGTATCTTCCGTGCAGTTGGAAACATGCAGTAGATGATATCACCATCATTCCTGAAGTTTTGCGTTGCATTAATGTAATATATGTCAACAATTGGTCAACCTTTGATTGACTACCGATTTTTGGTGTGAAAAGACATCTCGCGTTAGCAGGTGTGCTTTATAAGAAATATAGTTAAAACTAAAAGAAAAAAGAACCATAATAACGTATGATAAGGCAATAATAAATTAATTGAATTAAAATTTAAGTACGTATTTTTCAAACCAAATAACGCTCGAGTGGATGTGGTGACGTCACCGCGGCCGAGCTAAACGTGACCTTTCTGATTCATCGGTCTGTGACCGAACCACGACCAATCGCGATCTATAGTAACGTCGATCACCCCGTTTGCAGTCTGACAGTCGTTCTTCCGCGTAAAAAATATAAAACCGGGGTTGTTCGGCCGCGCACAACTGTTCAGTAAAGCATGGCGACAGATTTAGGTCAATCGCAGCCAAGAAGTTATGTTGAAATATGACGACTGCAGGATTAGGTATTTATTTTCCGACCATTTTAACAGGAGGTAAAATAGCAATTATTTGCTATTTTTGGCGGCTTCCGTTAAGAAATAACAAAGCCATTATGAAGAATTGTGCACGGCTGACCAAGCCCGATATCAGTTCCTTACTTAGACCTTCGTACCAAGTGACGGTCACGACTCTTCTGTACAAGTTCGCGTATGCGTTGTTGGCAAAGACTGTCACCTTGGAGACGCCCCTGGAAACGCAACTATTTAGTGGCTACGATGCACAGTGGAACGAATGCGTGTTAAATGTTGGATATGAGACTTAATTTCTTTTTCTAAAATGGAATATCGAATGAGACACTATTTCGCCGTTTTTACAGAGGTTTAAACTTTACTGTTTTCAAACAGATAAAATCGTGTTGAAAATATAAAAATTCGAGTTTTTTTTTGCCCAAGTTACGGTAGGTTATTTTAAAGTCATTATTTGTTTAATGAGTTGCGACATTCTCGTAATTTTTCCGGAAAATTGATTTACCTGAAATGTAAAATGAGGTCAGTGCCACTGTTGTTTCGATTTGTGATGTTTCATGATTATCCTATTACTTTTTGCGTGTTTTTATGACAAAAATACCTACCCACGGGAACAAAAGTGCCTTTACAATGGTAAGTTAGTTTAAAAGATTTAAATGTAGCTCCTCAAAATTTGTTTTTCGTCTTGCTTCATAAGTTCCTGTATTTTTAGTATTTGTAACTATGCAGCTTGAACAAATCTGGCTCATACAGAGTAAAATACGAGCCAGTTTCAGTCAAGCTCTGAAGAAGCCAACAGGATGATTGGCGAAACGTCAGCAATTTCGACTAAGCAAAAACCGACGCAGGAGGAATCCAGAAGTTTTATAAACAGCAAAATTTTAATAATAATAATAATTTGAAGATTTATATCGATAGTAGGTTAATAGGAAATGTTTCAGAAATGAAGTATCTGGGACTAGTTCTAGATTCTCAATTAAATTTCTCACAACTAGATTTTATTTGTACAAAAGATAGGTTTTTTTGCGTAGACTTTCGCCTGAGCTTAGCCACTGGAGCAGCCCTCATTTTTGGTATTGTAATTCGCTTCTAATTCCCTGTAGAAACAGTGATGTTCATAGAATACAAGTGCTACAAAATAAAGCCATTCTGGGTTGTACACGTTACATTCCGATTCGTGTAATGATTATTTAGCGTGGTTGTCAGTGTCTAAGAGTATTGAGTTCTTTAATGTTTTACTGATATATAAAATGAAAAATTAATTACTTCCATGCTACTTACAGGATTATTTAGTTCTTTGGTCGTATAAACATTCTCATAATATTAGCGGTAAAAATGATTTTGATATTCAGTTTGTTAAAACTCTACAAATGCAAAAAGGCCTCTTTAGTGATGGGCTTCGATTATTGAATGCTCTGCCGATCGACACCAAAAATTTACCGAATGTAAAACGCTGAAATATACTTATATTAGCTAATGATAACAAGCCATTTCATTTCATTTCAATTTCAAGATGTAGAGACAGAAGAACACCATTTTTGTCAAATTTTGTGTAGTTTCAATAGACGATATGAGAAATATTGCCCAACGTCCAACAAAACGTCTGTTTCGTTACACCGTGCGACGATGACGTTGTCATCACCTGGTCGCCGGGTCGGGAGTGAGGTAATCGAAATAATTCGCGTCCACGTAGTATAGTGTGTCGTCACAGTTGGACGCGCAGTCGCAACTCAGCGACTCTTGCATCTCTGGCAGGAGTTCCTCGAGACGGTCCGTCGCACCGCTCGGATAATATTTCGACCACTTTTCTATAGTTAATAAGCACACTATGACGTAATCCTAAACTTGTGACTATAAAATCCGTCAGTATAAATTGCCATCGATTTATTTTTTTGTATTTTATATATTCAATCTGCTCTCGATACTTCCAACCACTACGACAATAAACCTTGGAAGACTGTGTCAAAGTCTTTTTGATGCTGTCGAAAGTTCTTGAAGACAGCAGTCATGGTGATCTTATGTTTCATATCTTGGAAATCTTATTTGTGATTAATTGATTAACGTTTAGCATTATGTTGCAACGAAATGAACAATTTCATGACTAATTTTGCAGGCAAAAGTTTAGCATTACGGACAATTTATACTCCTGGCTGATTTTACAGTCAATTTATACGCATGCCTGATTTCGCAGTCACCAGTTTAGTATTATTTTACAATGAAATAGGCAATCTATACCCGAAACTGATTTTACCGTCACAAGTTTAGCAATGCAATAGACAATTTATTCTCGTGGTTGGTTTACCATTTATATTGCAATTCAATAGACAATTTATACTCATGACTGATTTTACAGTCAATTTATACTCATACCTGATTTTGCAGTCACAAGTTTAGCAATGCAATAGACAATTTATTCTCGTGGTTGATTTTACAAACACAAGTTTACCATTTATATTGCAATTCAATGGACAATTTATACTCATGACTGATTTTACAATCACAAGTTTAGTATTATGGACAATTTATACTCATGACTGATTTTACAGTCAGAAGATTAGTTTTATGAACAGTCACAAGTTTAGCAATACGTGATAATACTCATAGCTGAATTTACAGTCAATTTATACTCATGCCTGATTTGGAAGCCAGAATTTTAGAAGTTTAGAATTTATATTGCAATTCACTGAACAATCTAGACTAATGACTAAATGTTAAAGTTTAGCATTATGGACAATTTATACTCATGGTTGATTTGACAGCCACAAGTTTAGCATTATTTTACAATGAAATGGACCATCCACACGTGACTGATTTTACAGTCACAAGTTTTGAATTTATATTGCAATTCAATGGATAATTTACACTCATGGCTGATTTTACAGTCAATGACTGATTCTATAGTTATAAGTTTAGCATTAGATAGATAATTTTTACTCATGACTGATTTTATAGGCAAAAGTTTAGCATTATAGGCAATTTACGCTCATGGCTGATCCTACAATCATGTTTAATGTTACGTTACAAAGCAATGGACAATTTATACTCGTGACTGATTTTACAGGCAAACGTTTTGCATTGTGGCCAATGGATACTCATTGCTGATTTTACAATGAATCCCTGATTCTGCAGTACTTAGTTTAGAATTATGTTACAGTGCAATGGATAATTTATACTCATGACTAATTTTGCAGCCACAAGTTTAGCATGAAACTAACAATCTATACTCGTGACTGATTTTAAAGGCGAAACTTTAGTATTATGGACAATTCATACTCGTCATAACACAGTCATAAATTTACAACGCAATGGATAATTTATACCCGTGACAGATTTTACAGTCACAAGTTTAGCAGTTATATTGCAATGGAATGGACAATTTATACTCATGGCTGATTTTACAGTCACAACTTTCGCATTATGTTACACAAACACTCAAAAAATCGCTGAGGCCGCTTTACCTTTGTACTTGTTCAAACACGGCACGTCTATCAGGTTACAGAAGTTGATCTCTCGCCCGTCGACGCGTGGCTCGACCGGCATTAAAAATGGCACGCAATTGCACAATGACATTATGCTGTTGATTTTGCAATTGACGAAGCAGTCGCTGGAAGTGTAATTGCCAAACATCGTTTCACCTTCGTCCGGATACTTGCAGTTTCTCTGAAATCCGACAGTGAGATAGTAAAACAACTGCGACCGGAACCTTTACGATTTTTTGCGGGAGCGATTTGATCTGCGGCTCGCTTATCAACATATCGGTGTCGATTTTTATCATGGAATGCTGGCCCGCGGCGACGATCACCTGAGACAGGGAGCCGCTGAGTGCGTCCGCGTAATCGTGAGGCGAGAATATCTTGAGCAAATAGCCTTGCGTCTCGAGGATTGTGTACGAATAGTCGCTCAAATTGGCACCGATCGTCACGGACAGGCCTTGTTCGGGACCGAACCCTGCGAACTTGCGGGGTCGTGACGTCATCGGAGCCCCACTCTCGTTCTCCTTTCTGTAACTTACAGGTTTGGCGCGGTTGCTTTCGAAAATCGATTAAATCGATTGCTAGGGTACAAGAAAAAGAACATTTCTCATACCGTTTATGCGATGGAAAAAGTTATTGTGTGCCCGGTATTCGCAAAAAACTTCGGTTGGCAGTTTCTTAGACAAGGCCATATAGCCCGCACGCACAGCTAAAACTATTTTATTTATGGTTTTCACATATCGCATAGGGTGTTCGACATATTCTGTACAATATTCAAAAATGTTATATGTGTGTTTTTGCAGCAATTTCGCAGAGACGTTGAAGTCCATACCGACATCAAAACTCTAAAGATAAAGCACAATCAAATCTCATCAAGTATTATTTAGAAAATTTCGAAAAAAATTTTTTTTGGTTATTTTGGCTATTGATTAGCAAAACTAAAAGTTAAGTAGTACAAATATGGTGACAAACGGGCGGCAATGTAAGGTTCGGAATAGATAACTCGCAGAAAGAGTTTGTGTGATTTTCCCATTTACTATGTTGCAACTCTTTTCAAAATTGGCTTAATGACTACGTTACAAATACAGCTTTTTCTAAGGCTATAGTTCCCAAAAGCCCGTATTTCCCAACCTTTAAATATTGGGATAACTAGAGTCGGAAATGAAACTTAAAGCTGCTGCAGAGTTGTTTCATTAACTATACATTTTATCCTTTGACAGAACATTAGTTTTCTTTCAAACTCTTAATTGTGCCACTTTTTAAACTCCTCTAATAAAACTGCTTGTAGGTCGTTCTCGGAATTATCAAAAAGAAAACGAGAATGTCCCCACTAACTGAATAAATTTAGCTATTTGCATATTTGCACTATATTTTAAACATTAAAATCATATAAAGCAATTAAAACGTGTATTTTTTATCTTTCCCCTATATATTTGATATTATATGTACGTCAAGCGACCAGATATACCGCTGCCTTCATGTAATGACTCATACTTCAACGGTGTGGTGATGTAGGAGGTGTTGGACGTCGAGGCATAGTTAAAAGTGTGGTCTCACTTCTTTAGGGCGAATTACTACTTACAGATCGATCCTCTCCAGCGGCCTGACGTTGTTGAACACGCAACAGAAACCGGCATCGGTCAGCCTCGCATGGAACAATGTGGCGCAATCGAACTCTTGCTCGTCGAAGACGCAATTCGACAACATCTCCCCACAGGGAGTAGAAAGACCGAGGAGAAGCGACGACGCGTCTCCGTTAACCGTAAAGTTCTTCGCCTCCAGGACGTTCTGGAGCTCGTTAAATTCGGCCATGCCCTGCACGTTCCACGTGTACAAATTGCCGAGATGTCGCAGAAGGTGGGCCGTTTCGGCGACGTCTCGCTTCAAAGATCGCTTTCTGGGCATAAAATTCTAATGCGGAATTTTAAAAATTTAGACGGAAATGGCAGAGTAGAGACCCCATCGATGTTCGTATCTGTTTCTAGTTAAAATGACATTTGAATATATAATTCCGTTCTATTGACCGTGACTATGGGCGAATGTCCGTGGTAGACTTGCCCAACAGAAGGAAGGTAAAGTAAACTGTGGCAATTGTCGGCGATTGGCGAGTAGCCAGAGTAACGTTGCCCAGACAAGCAGTTCTTGCTTAGAAGTTAGGCATAGATTTTGAAGGTTAAGTTACTTAGGGATTTCAGAACCTCTGCTGTGAGAAATTGAATACAGGGTCTAAAAATCAGGTTGGAATCCGTTAACCTCAAAGTCCTATATTTGCATTTTTACCCATTTATTCTTTTAATCAAGATCCTATCAAAAATCTTTTTACTTTAATTAGACAACGTGCAATGTACAATCCATGGTGTTGGCAATTCGCAGTAGTGTTAAAAACTGTTGTGATAACTGCTAGATTATCAAATTTACGAAAATAATTTTATATCTATATCCTGTACCAAATCTCAACGTCGTCTAATTAACTAAAGAAATCTAACCGAACCACCATTGCGACTTTATCGACTATGAAGGTAGTGATCAGTTTGATCCTGTTTACTTTCAAAAATAAATATACTTTAATGTTCTGCCATACCCGCCATTTTTTAACATTCTTTTGGAAATTAAAATTAAATAACAATGTAAACAAATATACCCATTTAAATTTTGCTAGAGACATTAAAAAACATCAATTCAGAATTGGGCAATATAAAAAAAAATTAAAAAATCAAATGAAACTTGAAATAATTGAATAATTGTTAGAACATTGACCCAAATTCTTAATACACTTCTTTTCCTTTTATTTTTTCGCCTATTTACTTTGCAAAGAATGAATATTTACCTGTTTATTTTTGTCTGTAACTCTCGCAACTGTTTATTATCGTGAGGAAAATTATTTGCGTTTGAAATGATCTAATTTGATATTTATTATGCGTCTGATATACATTTTTGTTGGTATAACCAATGTGACATATTTTTCTGATGTTTTTTGCATTGAAAATACATCATCAATCTTTATTACTCGGGTGCTTGTTATTTTTGTTTTGGACCATTTCTGTGCCTCATTTATTTTTGACATTGGTCATTCTTTTCATGCTAATGTGTAATGTGATAATGTTAATACATTTCATACTGACTTTGCACTTCTTAATCTACTTGCATTTTTTATGGCATAGACGTTCCATTCCGTCCACATATTTTTAGTGCTCCGTGATTTCGCGCGGCTAACTACGTTTAGTCTGCGGTGGTACTCACAGTCGCTCGGCCAGTCTTGTAACTCTGCTGTTGCTCAACACGTTTATATCGCAAATAGCGACACCAGGAAACTCCACCTCGTCTATAGGCTTGCTTGACGGTTCGAGGGTGATGAATATCGGTCCTGCGGTCCAGTCCCGAAAAATATGCACGGAAAACATGACGACCAGGCACAACGCGCCAAGCAGGACGATCGCCCATACGATTCTTTCCAATTTGGTAACGTTTCCGGCGAAAAAACGACAGGCCGGAAACGTTGTGTTTTCGAAAAACGACCTGACGAGCGAGCGTCTATCAAAACCGACCGGCATGTCGTATCTCCGTTAACATCTGTCCTTCGCAACCGCTGATTTACGATTTCAGTGACACGGAGGTAAATTACCGTTATGCTTTGAAACGCGACCCACCGAGTGAATAATTGATCGAAACATGTACTCGCGATCTGATGGGAAACAATGTATCGAATTGTTTACATTAAAACACGAAATAGATGCGGAAGTCGATAGTGACGTAAACTAACCAATCAAACAAACGGTGTAATGGTTTTTTTTTATGATCCGTTTTTTTGGCTATCGGGCAAGACTTCCAGGATCGTTAAGCCAGATTTCTCGGTGAATGGTGGGAACTTCCAAATAGAGAAAACCATCATTAAACGGGGGAAATATTCACCTACCAAAAAACCAAATATGAAAAAAAGCTTCAAATAGTTTCAGCGGCATAGAAGCGGAAAAGAATAAAGTTCCTTGACAGAGGAGTTGGAAAGGCATTATGTAAGAGGCACTCAAAGATTATATACTACAAAAATCACTCCTTTATTAAAAATTAAATTCGTATTTATTTCCGATACAAAATTAACGTGTCCACTAGAGATCAAATTATCACGAAATATTCATTAAAAACGACCTAACGTTGGGACACTCGCCGGTTGCCGGCGCAATTGCCTAGCGAAGTAACATTACACAACCAGCTGCAGATTGATTTAGCTGTTAATTCTATATTCCCCAAGGTTATAACAAGGGCGACTTCAAAGAAATTGTAGCACTTGGGAATTACTCCAATGTATTGGGCAATAAAACATGTTGAAGATCCCCAACATCATCACATTCACACTGGGGGCACATTTAATCGAAGATCGCTCAGTCTACACACTCACCCAATATCGACCACGGAGTATATTCTACATTCGACATTTTAGCAAACGTCACTTGTCCAATATTGGCTAAAAATTTTGGTTGCTTCAGCACAGATCAAACAATATATGTATTTTCCTGGATGTCGCTAAAGACACTCAAAGAAATAACGAAACGGCGCAAGTAAGTAAACTACTCTATACATGTCATTAGGATGACATCATAATTTGTGGTTAGGCTAAGCTAATCTAAGTCTTTTATGTGATTTTAACTTAATGACACCTATAAAAAGTAATGATAAAAATGTTATATGAAAATATTAGTTGTGTTAAGGACATACATAATTTATTGTGTATTATTATGAAAAATAGTTCAAACACTATTATTATATAAAATCGGGTGTATGGTAGATGACTATTTGCTAAAATTATATATTGTTTACATTGTAGTGAATACACGTTTTAATTATTAATTAGTTTGTACGCACGTCAACGCAAAAATCAGTGTTTGTTTTTAAATTCTAGCCAAAACAAAATAATAATTGTATCTCATTGTTCATTCATTGTTGAATCGGATATCCCGGATATCCCGTATAAGAAAATTGCTGGAGCCGTTAGATGAATAGGTCGTCATTTCATGACTAATTATTTAGAAGTGTATGATATGTTAATAAACGTGGAGGATGATGGAATAGTCCAGACTATTTTTAATATTTGTAAGCAGGCTAAATAGACCAGTGAATAAAAAAAACTCAAATTATGACGTTTTTCTTCGTTTACACATTACTTTGCCAAAATTATAACGTCATGGTTACGGACAAACTAGCTAAGGCCGCTTGTTCAATAGGCTATTTAGTTCATGATCAAATTATGATTACTTTTATATAAATTTTGAGGTAATTAGATTTTTAGATTCTGGGGTCAATTTGTTCTCATGACAATATGAAAGAACACCAAGGAGTGAAATTGTCTTCTTTGCTTCATAGTAAACCATTTTGCGTCAGGCAACTTATAAACACGTAGCTTTCTTTCATAAAATTCGAAATTGCTAAAAACCAGATTCTTCTTCTTCTTTACGTTTCACGACTGTTCGGTCGACCAAAGAATCACCGCACAACAAAACGCAGACCACAGAAGATGTCGAAGTTAATTGTAAATATTTCTAGACACCCAGAGATGAAATAAAACAGCGAAAAGAAACGAACTACTTTATTTTCGAACGCGACTTGTAGGTTTTATCGTCTGCCGTGGACGTTCATGTGCGCTTTCAAGTGGTGATTCCGCCTGAACGACTTGCCGCACAGGACGCAGTGGTAGTCCTTCACGTCGGTGTGGATCTTTTTGTGCTGTTTCAGGTTCTTCGGGTCGGCGAAGGCTTTTCGGCAGGTCGGACATTCGAACGGCTTCTCGCCGCTGTGCAACCGACGGTGAATGTTCAAATAGTAGGGCGTGGAAAAGGTTTTGGCGCATCGGCCGCATTCGTAGGGTTTCGCACAGGAGTGAGATTTGAAATGTTTCGCTGCGACCGAGGAGTGGGAGAAAGTTTTGCCGCATATTTTACACGCGAACGGACGTTCGCCGGTGTGGGTCCTGGCGTGCGTCGTCAGACGACCGCTTGACACGAACCTAAGATGTGAATGACATATTATAACTATTATAAATATTCTAACAGTGCCAGACCAATCGGAAGCCAGTCTCCTCTTTGAATCGAAGGAGGCTGCTTTTGACATAGGATAAAACCTCAAACCATAAACAAAGAAAAGAAATAGATGTGAGATGACAAATTTATTATAGTTTGCATTGCAACCGCTTGTCGCTAGCGTCGCAACACGTGTGATTTAATGGTATTCGTTGATGGCGTTAACAATTTCAGAATTTTCTTTTTGCATTTGAGTGATTTTTCCGTTTATATTTTATTAACTATAGTTGGTGAAACATGTTTTCATGTTCAATGTTACTCGTGGATGGTGTTAACAATTTCAGAATTTGCTTTTTGCATTTGTTTGATTTGATTCCGTTTAAACTTTATTAACTGTTATAGTTGGCGGAAGATGTTTTGTTGTTCCTGATTGTAAAATAGACAAGCTGGACAAAAGTTCTATACATTCTAATATTTGAATGAGGCTGTAAGTACATTCTATTCTGTTAAAAGTTTACAATGTTGTAATGTTTGTTAGGAGAAAGATTTTTGTATCGATGTTTATTTAAAAAAGGCTAACACACTGCTTTATGGTACAGGTAGAATTTTTTCGTGGATTACTTGGTTTTTCTGAAATATATAATATCTAGAAGATTCTCAAAATTTAGCCCTATATAAAGCCAAAAAAAAATTAAGGGTTCAAATCTGCTCATAAATGAAAGCAAATGTCATATTTTGTTTTTAAAGGTAATCACTGGCGTGCCACTGACTGCCTATGAACAAATAACATTTTGGTCAATTAGGTCGCCATATCTATCTAAAACAAAATATTTAGTTTTTAGTTTAGTTAGTTAGAAGTCTGTTGTTTTTACTTTTACAGATTTAATAAAATAAGACAACATTCTAACAACAAGATAAATAATAAACGATTCTTATTAAAAAGAAAACTACCTAATATTAATAACTTTTAACAAAATTGTCTAGTAATAAACTTTTCATATTTGTTTTGAAACGCCCTGTATACACTATGCCGACGCCGTTGAACAAGTATCCAGTGATCAATTCTGATTGATCGGCACCGTTACTTACTACGCTCGAAGGTGCATCGAAAACTAGAAAACTAACCTCACATTGCACACTTTGCATCGGTACGGTTTGTCGCCCACATGTCTCCTAACGTGAATCGTCAAACTTGAAGAGAATTTAAACGATTTCCCGCAAATGTAACACAGGTGGGGCTTTTCCTCGGTTTTTTTCTCGGCGATTTTGCAATCGGCTGCGCAGCCATGCTTTCGCATGTGTTTTTTCAAGGTGCCCGACTGGGTATATGAGGCATTGCAAATCCGGCACGTGTGCGGCTTTTCGCCGCCGTGCACAGACGCAAAATGCCTCTTGACGTCGTAGGACCTACGACGTTCCCTCTAATCCCCCATAACCTAAGCCACCTCCGATAAATACCTCGCAAATTGTCTCGCGCAAACCGGACATCGGTCTTTCTCGAAATCCGTGTGTGAGGTGGAGTGTTGCCGCAGCGAGTCCTCTGAAGTGAAAACTTTACGGCACGTGGGACACGGAAACTCAGCTTCGAGTACCTCGCACGCAACCGAGCAGTCCCCGTCGTTATTCGAATCGGATGATTCGGTCTCGGATCGTTTCGTATCTCCGAGTCCTTTGTTATCGAACAAAGAATCTTCCAAGCCGTAGTTTTCCAACAACCGCGACTCGTAAACCTGTCGTAGTTTGTCTTGCGATTCGAAACACAGCTCCTTGAACAAATATGAAACGATCAGCTTCTCCAGGCAGCCGTCGCAGATTTTAACGGAAAACAGGTCGTCCTGCGAAACCTAAAAGATGTTCGTTCGTATTACGTCAGCCAGCGATAACTCGATAACATTGCCTCTAAAGATGTGCACTTTTCGAATATCACATTTAGCCATAGCGGTTCTTTATTGGAGATGTTTATTAGAGTAAACAAAGACGTTAAACTAGTTTCCGGCGACAAACAAGTCCGGCACAAAGCCTTCAGCTCCTTCAACTCCATACCCCTGCTCATTTTATGGGAAATTACAACAATTCAATTCTGTCGCGTATCACACCGCACAAGAGGTTAGTTTATCAGTGTCTGGCCCGTCTGTGGACTTGGCTACCCAAGTGAAATCATTAATCAGTAATCACCGACGTCTGTTTTCAACAGGCCCGTCAAAACCAAAACTAACAACACTAAAGAAACAAATTACAGCATATAAATTTTAAATCACTCCGGTTAATACATTCCGTTCGTAAAAAATTGAGAGCAAAGGTTATCGGCAAGCCAACCGTGTCTGCTAGTTGGGCTTAGAAACCACAGACCACATAACGCACTATTACCTGGGACGTAAGTGATCGATTGCTTATGTCACGAGTTGCATATCGTCTCTAAAAAAACGCCTATAATATGGATAAAACATAATTAAAAACGCAAATACCCCTTAAAATTAACTTTTGAACCATGAAAGCACGTTGTTAATAATACTCACCTCCTCTTTAATGGCGGTCGTATTAGATCAACGATCAGCGAAATTGCATACGAGGTGGTTTTGGTTAGAAACCACAGACGATGGATGCCTACGTCAGGAGTTGCATTCCGCGCATAAAAAACGCCGAGGACATGGATAAAACTTTATTTAAAAAACAGATACCCTTTAAAACCAATGTGACACCGGAGACGAAACTACTTTTTCGTGTTCTGCGATAGACTTTTGACCCACGATAGCACGTTGTTGATAATATTCATCTCTTCTTTAACGGCCGGCCGTTGCTTGTGGCCAAACAGCTTCTTAGATTCCTCGACGAAGATCTTTTCGCTGTCGTCGTAATATTTCTCGATTTCGTTGTCGAGCTTTTTGAGTTTGTTCTGCAAAAAGTCGACTCTGTTGAGCTGGCCGGCTCTCAAAATGTCGTCGTACTGCGCGCTCAGTTTATTTTTCAAGCTCTCCGCGTCGCCAGTAGCTAACAAATTGTTCTCGACCGCTTTCAAGTTGTTCCTCACCGTCGCGTCCATGTCGGCGTACGCCTGAATGACATCATCCAAAGATCGCGGTTTGGTCAAAGCGCCTTCGATTATCGGCGACCGTTTAAATATTTCGGACTTCGTTGTCGACGACTTAAGCTGGTCTTGCAGTTCCGCCTCCTTTTCTAGTATCTCCCCGACCGTTTCCTCGATTGCCGCGTGGTCTTTCGGGCACGTAGAGTTTTTGCACGAGCACATCTTGTCGAGGTCTACGGAGAAGTCGACCGAGCCGTCTGGGTTCTTCGTCACGCGCATCGGAAGCTTGACGCCGTTACCAGAGAAGAAAACGTCTCCCGGTTTTGGAGACTGCACGATTTTGCCCAAACTCTGCGACCAATCCGGACCCGCGGTTGCCTAAAAAATATCAAAATGCGCTTTAATTGAACGTTTGCCGCGAGAATTGAATGGTCTGTGATCGCGGCCAATTGGCGCTGTTTTGTGAAAGAAAAGAGGATTTATGTTTATTTTGTCTTGTTAACCGATAAAGTTCAGTGTTATGTACGGCGTTACCAAAAGTTTAAAGTAATGAGGTAAGGCTATGAATTCAAAAATTTAAGATTTGTTTTTATTATACTATTCATAAGATTATTTCTAAATTAAAAGCAGGTCTGCCTGTAATCCCATATTTCTTATAAGGTGGTGATGGCGATTCACACCAAGTGCACTGTCCATTGTGATAAGCACAATATTTTCTTTTAGGTAACGAATGAAGCCCAGCCCGGACTTAATCTAAACCTTTAAAATAACGTCAACAAAAAAAAACACGCAACAAACGAAAATGTTAAATTCAAACTAACGTAAGAAAAATTAGGTTATGACCCGTCAATAACCACCGTGCAGATGCGAGAAATTTAATGAAAATTGCAAGAAGTCAATAATATCTAGTAACGTGATTACCCATGTTGTCGTTTTTCCAGAAAAGCATACATATGTTTGAACAGTTCTTTCATTGATACTGAAACTCTAAAATAAATTTGTATTTTGATTGTAACATTGATATTTTCTTTTCTCTGTTGACGTGATCGCGAATTTTACAATTTATCGATGTGTATTTGCATTATTTGAAGTAGTCAAATAAATTTCATTCTATACTATGCGAATACTTTTAAATCGAGAAACTTCGGTGGTCTGTGGTAGCGGACGACCGGCGCCGTTTCGCAAGGAAGAAGAACCAGTCTATGCTCCATGCTTATAAACGACTTTGCGCGGAAATGAGGCGTAGGATTTTGGTTCTATAGCGAGCGATGGATGAAAAAAGTGTTATTTATTTGTGGAGAATATCAGCTTGTAAATACTGTGCCAAGAAATTGCAGTAAACAGAAGAGGAGGTAACTCGTAGCTTTCAATTGCAGCAACTTGTGGTAACGTGAAAATCGTGCTTTTCAGGATTTTGTACACTCAATTTGCGTAGTTGAAAAAATTTTCGGAAAAAATTAAGAGCCCTATAACTATCTGTCCTTCCTTTATATATTGACCTCAGAGCTGCTGGAAAAAACTCCTGCTATGAAAGACTCAGTAATAATACGATAATTCAGCTTATGTTAATTTTGCTTTCAAACTGTAGTTATACTTTGATCCACCAGAGGTCTCATTGGATTGGATTGGAAAACTGCCAAAAGCTGTTTCCACGCTCATGATTTCTTACCCCGTTCAACTGATTGCGGCTCTGAAGGTTGGGAACTTCCGTGGCGTCTTCACTCTTCGTCGCTGCAACCGACGGTGGCTCCACAATTTTTGGAGTTGCCGCCTTCAACGACCGCAACAGATCGGCCAACTTCGCAGCTGAAGACTTGCCCGGTTTCGGTTTGAGGACTTCCGACAACCCGTCGGCGCTTCTGCTCGCTACCGGCGGCAGTTTATTTTTCGCTTCTTCCAGGTACTTGTCTAGTTTCTCCTTCAGCTGTGCCATTTTCTCGCGTCGCTCGCTCGCCTCCCTGGCCACGTCCAGGTACTTTAAAGCGTCTAATTTTGGCACTTCTTTGTTCATCTCTAGTTTCTTCTCCGGGCCTAGCCCTTGTTTCTGTTGTGTCTTGATCTTGTCCAGGTATGCTTTGAGTTTGGAGTTGATAGTGTCGATGGACTGCGTCTGGGTGCCGTCCTCTGTCCTCGGCGTCACGAAGATCTTCTCCAAAGGCGACGCCAGTTTCTCCTCTTCCTTCTCCTGCGTTTTCGAGGGTTCCTCTTTGACTTCGGTTGTGGTGGTCGGTTCGGTGGTCGTTGTCGTCGTCGTGGGTTTGAGGTCTCGCATGAACTTTTGGATTTTTTCCTTGAGCAGGCGTCGCTGCTTCGCCGCTTTCGTCTCCGTCGTGGTTTCTTCGCTCTCCGAGGAGCTGTCGTCCTCTGTCACGCCCACCACTGGGATTTCTGATGTCGCTCGATCTTCGACGGGCGCCGTGGTACCAGGAGGATCCGCGGAAGTTTCGCTGAAGTCGAGACGTTGCTGGAGCTGAACGTCGGTGGCTTCCGGGCGAATCGAAGTCGGCGGCAGTTGCCCTACGTTTGCCAGAAACCAAACAAATAGTAATCAACGAACCTAATAGATCACATAATGACAAAAGTAGAAGTCCGCATGAGTTTTCTCGTGATAAGCGATTCCTAGCGATCAGATTGGAATAACTGTGAAGAGATATTTCATACTGAAAGAAAAAGAAGCAATGTTATCGCAGTATTCTGAAGTGAAAAACAAAGAGATTATAACCAACGAGCAAGGAAAATGGTGGGAGAAGATGACAGACATTGAAAGAGTGACAAAGACGGAGTAGTAGTTTTTCTTTAGACCATCAAAAAATGAACATCACTTTGGAAGGCAGACTCATATATTTGGCTAGTGCGTCTTTGACTGCTAGAAAAATCCCTGATGAAGTGAAAATAAGTATCATAGTGACCATATTTAACGTCTAAAAAGTCAGAGGATTCGCTACCCGTAGTAGACAGCTAAGATATTATTATTACAAAAATAGGTTATTATGGCATTAAAAACTCTGCACCAGAATGGCTGACAGATTTTATCTAAGATTAAGAATGACGTTTCTAGTGGTAGAGATAGTAAATAGGGTGTGCCGCAGAGAATCATGTGGGGTAAATATACAGGGTGATAAAATTGAGTTTGTTTCCGATATAAAATACTTACAGTCAGTAATAAGATTGACAACAATGTATGGCGATCAAGTACCGTCCAATGCCGAATGATAAATGGTAAAAAACAAATAAAAAGCAATGAGCCAAAGATATCTACTAGGTGCTAGAATGAAATTATTATTGCTTTTACTGTACAAGCAATGGTGGAGTTAGTTTTGACTTATGGATCAGAAGTGTGGACTTTGAATACAGATCTAAAAATAAGGATCTTAGCAGCATAAAGAAAGGTGCTGGATCGAATAGAAAGACTTATTAAGAACGCCTGAAGAGAGATGACCCAAAAGAATATTCAAGTGGAAGGAGGAATCGAGACAGACCATGTAGATCGTGGAGTAAACCGATGAGAAGATTAATGAATGAGCGAAATCTATCGGAAGAGGATGCCTTGGATAGGGAGGTTTGGCATCTTGTATTATATTGTGGTTTAACACTTCTATCTGGGTATAATTGATGAGGTTACCATTGTCACTGTCACCGTCTCGTCCATCTGCGTTCCTCGGCAAGTCCAGCGCGCTGAGGCCATCCTGGAACGAGTCGATGAAGAACTGCGGCATCTTCTTCAAGTCCTTGATGACGTTGCGCGTGTTCTCCGAGTGTTCGTCACCGCTCCCGGGGGCAGTTCGTTCGCCGCCGACCGCGTCAAGCGCGTCCTGCGCCCTGTTTAGTACGTACCGGTTGACCTTGTGAAGGTTGTCGACCATCTTGGATGGCAATGCGTCTTGGGGCGGGCTGGCGGCGACCACTTGGTTTTCGGACGTTGGGGGCTTCCTCTGGATCGACTTCACCATATCTTTGACCTTGTCCAACGCGTCTCGTATCTCGGCGAGTTGGTTGGACCGCTTTTTCTCCACCAGGTGATTCGGCGTCGACGCCGTCGCGGCGGCGGTGGGTTCGGTGGGGCGGGAACCTTGTTTTTCGGACTCCGGCGACTCGTCCGACTCCAAATCTTTCGGCTCGACGACCAACTGCAACCATCCGATGGAAATTTAAGCCCTTTCCCTTCTTTCAGACGAAGAGGGAAGGAGAAACGTGAACCTAACCTCAGATTTTATCGAAATTCAATGATTGGATGAATGAACCCAACAGTTCTGACCTGACGCCGATGGATGCATTTTCATGGGAAACTCTAAAAGATCGTCTAAACGCAAATACCTGATTAGAACAAAAGTTCAAATTCTAAATAAAGACTATTCTTAATCTATCACAGACCCTTTAGAAATGTGGGGAGACCAGTTGAACAATTTCATTTGTAAAAATTGTTACCTACATATTGTATTATGGAATATTTTGTGATGTTGCTAAAACAACATTTATGGTATTCAGTCGCCAGCCACATGCCGATGCATCCCTAAATATAGACCAGCAAAACATTGATAGAGTTACCTATTACAGATATCTTGGATGCTATATCACAGAGCAACTAGAGCCAGATAAAGAAATCAAATGCAGAATAGAAACAGCTCGCACAACTTTCCATTCTTCTGCAATGATAACTTAAACCTTAAATTGCGCCAAAGAATGATCAAATGCTATATTTGGTCTGTGTTGGTTCGGAATTATTGCGAATCAAAGCAAATGAAAAGTCACTCACTGGCGTGCGTGCCGCCATTTCCGGAGGTGGCCCTTCGATGACGTCGGGGTTGGGGCGTCGTTCGACGTCGGCGTCATCCCGCGGCATTAGCTGATTGTCGCTAGAAAACAACATGACACTATTTAGGCGCTTTGGGAGGCTTATAGCTTACTCGTCGTCCAAGAAGCCAGACCTGGGGCTGGCCAGTGGCGAGGAGGCTTCAGGCGCCCCCGCCAGTTGCTTCTGAAAAAAGCGTAAGCGTCGTTGAAGCAAAATAAAAAAAAATCACGTAAAGAGTTCCAGAGGTATCTAACCGTTTTTTTTTCACTCCTTCCTCAATAAGATCGTTCATTTCCTAGGTCTCCGATTTATTCACCGGAAAAATTCGACGCTTGGCAACGTCGCATTTTTACTGAGCGGCGCTACCAAATCGAACTTTCTCCACCTACTGAGTTATATTTTCCGCCAGGAATTTGTTTTGGTGTTTTTCTCATGCTTTTTCGGATTCTTCTCGCAATTTACTGTTTACTGTGGTATTCACGGACAAGTTAGAACCTTCAACCACCAAGCTTGATGATTTTAGACGTTCTGAGCACTTTACACAAGCTATGGGAGGCACTAGAATCCTGAGATGCAGCGATTCTATGACTCTAAGCACTAGATTGCATATCACTTCACATAATGATTGTAGGTGCCCAGCCAGACGGGGTAATGAAAAAGCAGACAGGCTGACTCAGCAAGGCTGCAATGAGGATCAAGTTCAACATGAAAATCTCATTCACTGCGAAGAATGGGACGGGATGTATCGAAATTGGCCACAGTAAAAGGAAAACGACTATTTTAAAATCCAAGCGGCACCACCATGGTTTTATGGTGACTTTATGGTTCATTTGCATAGAATTCTAATTACGAATTTATTTTATTTAAATTTAAACCATATATTTTTTGACTGTGTAATGACGAATATGAAAATTAAAAAGTCTGCAAATCTACCCTATGTGACATGAATTCAGTGTTCAGTTTTATCTTTAGTTTCATAGCAAGGCTTGTTCTCCTGTGTGTGAGAAGTATGTCTTTTTTATAGTCCTGACCATTATCCCTTACTCTTTATAGACCTCAGCATCCAGAAACCTATTTGGGCGGCCGTCTAGCGAGACGCGAACTCATCGTCAATAAGAAGAAGAAAACATGTTTGGTTATGTTGTATAACATCTCGCTTGATTTGCATTGTTCTTATTTGTAATGGTTAGTTATCAGCAGGCAAAGTTAAGATAGTTATTAGTGTAACCAAGTTGTAACTAGTGACTATTATCGATCTCTTGATATTAAATGGTCTGATACGAACCAGTATTGAATCTAAATTATCGAGTTCACTTTTCGACTTTCATTTTATCTTGGACGATAACAGGGGAAGTTCTGTCAAGAAGGCGCTGTAAATTTTCCCATGTGGAACTTGTCCATCTGTGTAAGTTTTCTAGTACTCTAGAATTTTTTGTTCCTGTTGTACTTTTCACGATTTGGACATTGTGATTTCTGGTGAATACATGTAGGTTTATGTAGATTTGGGCCAAAGAGTGAGACTGTAAAATTTTCCACAAAATCTAAAACCACTTTTACGATTTGGACTACTTGCCAGTTGGAGTCGCTACATGTTTGGATTGAGTAATTATTTAAAAAGGGAAGTACCTGACTTAGTTTCCTTATCTGTGTAAACGTCAATAATAAAAAATATCATCTAGTCAAGACTGAACCGCTACCAACCTTCTATCAACCTGGTTACTAGTTTTGGATCTCAAGCAAATAGCAAATAGAATGTCGTAACTGGTTCTCACTCTTCCATCGCTGGATAAAAACAAGATGGAAGGCAGAAACGGACATGGCAAGAACAAAATGTGGAGAAAGCTCACTACACAAACCACAGACCTTCTTGGTCTGCGGGGCTGACATTATTATCATCGTTATTATTATTATGTCAAACTTACGATATTGGGTGTCCAGTTCGACCTCTTGCTGCTAGTGGCGGTCGGCGGCTCGTTGGACTTGGTGGTAACCCAGATGGTGACCTAAAAGATCAACGTCAGCAAGCGAAACATACGTTACTTTGATGTTAAAGTACCGTGTCTATGTCGGAGGTGTCGCTGATGCCTATTATCTTGCAGATCACCTCTTTGGTGTCGCCGTCTCTTAGGGTCGTCACGGGGTACAGAGTTTTCGAGAAAATGTCGTTTTCGGATTTGAACCCGCTTGACAAGGACAGTATCTGAAATGTCCGAGCACAAAGTTTACAGGTTTAAAAAAAGCGATATTGGAAATATATTGAGTAAAATTAAAATCCATCCACATATAGACCAACAAGTCTGCTGCCGGGATTCTCAACAATCTTCGAATTGTGGAAAAGATTAATACACTTTTTACAAACACTTTTGAATCAGTTTGAAAAAGTTGTCCTGCCAATATAAAACCCGCGTGAAAAGTGTTCGTTACGCACCTGGTTATCCGCCGCCTCTCTGTCCGCCAGCTCGCACACGGACTCGCAGGCCTCGCATTTTTTGAGGAATCTGCACCTGATCTGCTTCCTGGACCGACAGAAGTAAAAAATAATAGTGACGTCAAATTAACAACGAAATTTTGATCGAGTACGCACCTGCAAAACTGGCAACGCTCCGTGCTGTTTCCGGCGCCGTTGGCGTCCCTCTTGGTCAAGAGCGCCGGCGAATCACCTACGAAGTTCGGCGATCCTACCAGCGGATCTTCGCGACCGTACGACGAACGTACCAGACCCAACGTCGATGCTCTGTTTAAAACCACAGAATATTAGAATCCAACGCAGGGTGACTTTGAATATACAGTGCGTCAAGATATATATTTTTTTATTTTAAAGAAACTTCTGGATTCTCCGTAGTTCTTGTTATGTGTGTTACCGTGTGTAACAAGTTCAGTTCAAGATAAGGATGTGTATCGTAGGGGTAGTTTAAAAGTCATGAATAATAACAATCATCGTATCTATTACGGTTACCGCTTTCAATGTGCCCATGATCGATCGTTATCTAGGCCACACTGTATAGCACACAAAAAAAATATATATATCAATTTTCAAATTTTCTGATAATAAACGTATTTGGTAACCTAATTGGTAACTAAAAACTAGATATTTTTTTATTTTTTCCGAAAAATGGTTCTCGATTTAACCAATGTAGTGGCGACCTATTTAATCAAAATATTAATGGTTCATAAACAGTCAATGGCACGCTACTGATTACTTAAAAATAATATATTTGCATTCATTTATAAGCAGATCTCATAGTCAGTCTCACGGTTATCGTTTAAAAATAAAAACTAATTTCTCTTCATGCTGTCATATTAACGATATTGTTATTATTGAATGATTTTTATTTTAATAGAAATCAATCCAAAAAGTTGTGGTATACTAAGGATATTACATGAGTGCCAGTGGTATTACAGATATTAAAAAAACATATTTTATTTTTGAAAACTTTACCACTACGTATTTCAAAAGTTAAGACGTTTAAGTCATATGTTCATACAAAGTTTCCTTTTTAAAATTGATCTCTTAATAATTTACATTATTTTGGATAACACCCTGTGTTTCGGCCTCCAGGGCATTTTTTAAGACCACAGTCAACTATGATTGCGGCATAAAATAAGAAACTTTTATATCTCGAGCCCTTGACAAGTGTTCTATCTAGTTCAAAAATAGGGTTTTTCACTCCGATTACGAACACCCTGTACACTGGGACACAGGGTAACCTAGAAGTTTGGTGCTTTGAGATGGAACAAAACGTAAAAACGGGCATATTTTTACTCCGACAGTGTAGTCATCAAATATTTTACATACCACATCATTAGAATGGTCAGAGTATCACAGTATACACTTTAGATGTAATTTAACTTTTAACATTAAAAAGAAAACGTAAATTTTAAATAATAAAAAAATGAAAATAATAATAACATGGAAGATTTGCATTTTACATTTTTTGGAGGCTCGATTACCTCCTTACTTACTGTGGACAGCGTTTAGTTTTGGCTCCTGCCTCGTGAACCGTTTCTATCGCCCCATCTAGCTCTACGAGGGCGTCCATGTTGTTCCGTCCCTGTGCCTCCTGCGCAGAGCCGGCCCTGTCTAAGGCGACATCGCGCGCACGTCGTAGCTTGCTACGGAACACGTCAATATTAACGTAGACGCAAACCACAAGCAACATTAATTTTCTACTTAAGCCTTAATACTGTTTCTTCGCGTTTACGTATATGTAAACAAAACGTTTGAAAAAGAAAAAAATTGAATTTAATTAGTTATTATTTAATGTTAGGTTAACCGGCTGAATTGGTACACTGAATTGGTTTTCAAATTCTGCAATGCAATGCAATGCAATGCCAATATTCTTGAAGGTCGATCGCTCATATTTGCCACTAGCATTATTCGAAGATGACCTAATTGAATACGATGCTCTGGTGTGCACGATAAATAATATATTTGGATCACTTTAACTTCCAAAAATTTCGAATGGCTATACCTATTTTTAATATTTTGCGATTTATTTTTTACCTTTACTTCTATCTTAAACTATTGCTATAATATTAGTTGGCCATGAAAAAAACATTAGTCAAAAGGGCTGTGATGAGATAGAAATAAACAGGACAAAGAACTGTGTCATCACATTTCGTTTTTCTCTATTCCTTGGGAGGGTGGGGTAAGGCGGCCTACTTAAGCTTTATATTAGTTTTTGTGGTTTTTAACCATCAAGACGATTTATTTTTGACTAACTTTAACTAAATTTACCCAAATTTTGGCCGTCGTGCTCCACTCTCACCTATTTATAATTTTATATGTAATAATTACAATTATTTATTAAAAAGTATTTAATAAAAAAAACCGTTACTGATTCGAAATCCATCGAAGTATCCAAAAAATAACATTTTCAAATAATATGGAATAGCTTTTTTTTGAATTTTTAAGCTGTCAATTTTACCCCTGGTATTACGCAAAGGGTTAAAAAAAACAAATAACCAGAATTTATAATTATAGTAACCAAAAAAAATTTGGTTAATTTTTGAGGTGGGCCCCTCCTTACGCCACCCACCCTAATGGTTTTGGTTTTGAAAATATTTAAAATCGTTGTTTTCTGTATCCAATGTTGTTCATAAGTATTTTATTTTTTTGTTATGTATTTTTCTTTGTATATCTAAAGCGTTAAAATTGTGTTTTCTTTTTAATATCGATCGTTTCTAAAATTTCATTTTTCTTTGGATTGTTTTCCTGCGGTATAAACACCTATAATTTGCTATTTCGGTTTTCATTTCTCTTAAACTCACGGTTTCTCGGCCGTCAACTCTTCGCTCCAGCCGCGCAGCCATCCTGCGAGTCCCGCGTCGCAGGAACACAGCAGGAAAAACGCGAAAGTGACTCTCGGATTCATCCTTTCGAAGCGATCACCAAAACTGTACCACCTGGAGGTCGATCGACGACGATATCTGTGTCGAAGCGTCAGCGGAATTTTCGTTGTTGTTTATCGAAATAATCGCGCAGCGTTCGCAATATGGCCGTGACGCAATTCAACAAACGTACAGCTGGATTCTGCCGCCACACTCGTTGGATTTTTGAAAAAAATAATCTTCCACAGGCTAATTAAATCCATCAAACGCAGTCGAATTAGAAAAAAAAAAGATGTTCCCACCGCGCCTTTATCAAATACAAAATACGACAATATTCCGACACCTGTATACGAGGTGTGCTCAAAAAGTAAAGTGACTTTTAAGTTTTATCGAAAAGTATTAATTTACCACGAGGCCAAAAGTATCATCGACCTAGGATTTCCATAATTTTGGTTTGAGATGGAAGGTGTCGAGAGCTTTCTTCTCAGAGGCGATGACTGGTGATAGTGGAGAATCCATAGCTGCCCACTTTTGTCGAAACATCTTAACATTCTCTTTAATGAATGTATAGGTCAAGGGCCGTTTCCAAAAAGCTGGAAAGTGGCCCAGATAGTCCCTATTTTAAAGTCTGGTTATTCTACAGACGCCGCTAATTATGCGAATGTTACCTCGGGTGTCCCCCAGGGATCTCATCGGGGTCCTTTACTCTTTAATATTTTTGTTTTCGATTTGACCTTTGGTTCCTGGTTTCTGTTTATGGTTTAAGGGATTCTTTCACATCACAGCTTCAGAGAGATCTTGACAGATTTGCCGATTATTGCTGAAGCGATTTATAGATATAGATATGTTTAGTTTAAGCCTTAGTTTATTTGAAACAAACGTATATAAAATTCTTTAACTCTGAGTTATAATTTATTTAAATCCAACCTTTGCTTTCGATGTGGAGATAACAAATTTATCGCTTATAGTATAAGCCTACATTGCGCCATTCTGTTATTGGGTAGCTAAATAAATAAAGAGGGATTCAACGTCGAAACTAGCCAGAATATCTTCTGTATCTAACATAATGCTTTATAATTGTTCAATGAAGTGAAAGGAATTAAGTAAGAAACTATAAGCTTTTCCTGTAAAGGGTTTTCATTAGGACAATACATTGGGGAAACCGGACGAAAAATATCAGCTAGGCTCAAAGAACGTGAAAGAGCCTTAAGACTAAGACAAATAAACTCATCAGCAGTTGCGGAACACAATCACAAAACCAGACATAAAATTTTATTCGAATAACCAACGGAAAATCCGAGAGTCTATAGAAATCGATAATAATCGATGCCACCAATATAGGAATCAGTAATCCGAGACAACATTAATTGTGATAACACTGGTTGGCTATGAAATCCTTTAAAAAATTTTATGATAAATATAATGATTCAAACGTTTTGATTTTTTGTTTATATTTCAAAATTTTATTTTTTTTTTCATTTTTTTCATTCGTCAACGTTACAAAAAGTAAATATACATACCAAATGGGTTTCAGAGAGTTATAAGAGAAAGGAGGGAAGTGCCGCAGGTGATTTTGATGGTAGTAAATACGCGCATGCCAAGTATTAATTATGACACTACAACAGTTCAGTGAAAACTTGTCGTCTAATTGTTTAACTTTTATATCCAATATTTTAGTAAGTTTTGCGTAAAGTTCATGTTCTCTACATTGGATTTAAGTAGTTTGAGTATTTTTTTTTTAAAGTAGGGTCAATAAATATAAAATAGAAGTTTGAAAGTTGTTTTAAAATTAATTTTATGTGATTTTAGGTTACAAAATGCCACGGACTTAAAAATTCCTTTGTTTTTTGCTACATTTGTGGGGAATACATATTAAAAACACAGCGACATGTCATGACCGATCTGGTTAAAACAGCTTATAAGCTATATTTTGGATTTTATATCGATGAGCGAGATAAAAGTTGGTTGCCAAAACTATGCTGCAATAGCTGCTCAAGAACGTCGAGAGGTTGGCTTGAAGAAAGTCACAAATCCATGCTGTTTTCAATGCCAATGATTTGGAGTGAGCCTCAAAATCATGAGAATGGTTGTTATTTCTGCATGACATCTACATGAGGATTCTCGAAAAAAAATAGAGATAAGATTGTTTATCCGAACAAAAGACACTCCGCCTCCAGTTCCACCAGTTAATGAGGAGGCTGAAAATAAAAATATTTCAGGTCTACAATCTCAATCGAGTTTTGTTAATATAATTTAGGATTTTTTACTGTAAAACTCAAGCCGCCACATTTTAATAATATAATAATTTATACTTTAATAATATTGTTTTCTGATGAAATAAATATTAATACGTGTGGTACTTATTTGTATATCAGATTCCGTGTTTAGAGCATAAAATAAGACGAATTCATGCAGAGAGAAAAAATTTTTTTTTTGCAGACCAGTGTAAATAAATAAATACTTTTTGATAAAACTTATAAGTCGCTGGACTTTTTGAACACACCTCGTGTGTATTTAACTCGTACCGACCCATGCATCGCGCCAGTTTGACTTGGGCAAAAAGTGAAAACCCCTTTTCTTGTGCCGGAAAATGCTTCCGGGGTAACTCCGTAATATATTGAAAAGGGTGGCAAGGGCGTAGGTAAAACAGATGGCCCATGAAAACCTCCGCTGATAGATGGGGGAGGCAAAAAAGAAAAAGCCACTTCGTTTACACCAGAAGTATTTTATAGCAAACGCCAATGCAGTTTTGCCAATGGAAATGGAAATACGGAGTGTTCAGTGTTTTTTCTTGTCAAATTTTCAAATATTAATTGGTTGAAACTGCAGGAGATAAGAGCCGCAAAAAACATTATTCCAATACGGTTAGTGTAACACAATATTATTATCATCATTCTTATATCTTACTTAAGTAATTGTCTTAATTATTTTTTTATTAAAATACTTCAAAAAATCAAAGTCGAATGCAGAGTGCGCAAACTCTGACGTGTACTGACCGTGTCTGTAAGAATTACCACGTCATTTTTAAATTCATTTACCCGCGTCTTATTAATTTGCATTGCCATTAGAAAACCCACCATTTTAGAAGCACCGATCACTGGTCCGAGTATTTCAATTTTTCTAGTATTATTTTCACGCTCTCATAGCATTCTTTCAACAATACAGTTATGAAGCAGATTTGCTTTTAAACTTCTAGAAATTCGTTTTACTCTGTGAAAATTTGCACGATGTGGCGACACCGCGGTGTGGAGGGTCAGGGAGGGGGATTTTACGAAATAACCGTCAACTGTTAAACAAAAATATTTATTCTCGATAAAAGCTGCTACATAATGATATGATCAACAATAATTTTCTTGATATATTTATGGGAAGTCGGGTTGGTATAGATTACTGGCGAGGAAAGGTTGATACTACATTTGGAATTATGATTTTTATTGATTACCATTAACGTGGGGGGTAAGAGGAATATTTGGGCGTGTATACAAGGTGTGAGTTATAATACATTGCAAAATATTGCGATTTATGGCAACTTACTAATCAAAGTTGCAATCTGTTTTTTGATTTTTTAAAAATAATTCATGAAATAATGGGACTTTTCGCAAAAAATTCGTCAAATGTTTGGTACGGTACTTTCGTGCATTTGATGCTTCCTTTTTTGCACAAAAAAGATACATTTTAAATTTCACCCCGAGTTTACGATTTCTCGAAAATTGGTTTAAAAAAAAATATTACGTAATATTTAAAATTCAACTTTTTTATGCCATCGATTATAAAATAATCTGGATAATGCATATAACTGAAGCTGATTTGGTAGCGTTTTTTTATATTACTTAAAGTAATAAAAAAAAATGTTCGAATAGATTTTCATCCCTCGTGATGCATTTAGAGACACATTTTTGTTTCTCATTGGCAAATCATTAGTTTCGACTAGCCCTGCATGATGTGGAACTGATTTAGATCTTAGTAAATTTCGAAGCTGCGTCCAAATTTTTGACTTTCTACTGGCTCCAGTGTAAACATTTTTTAATTGAAGCTATATTTTGGTAGAGAAATAAAGAAAATAATAATAATATTAATTAATAATAAATAATAATAATATTATACTTAAGTCGCAACTAACCGGAATATGGATGGTTGTTAATTGTTTAACGATAAGTGATGAATAATAAAATAATTAATTTCTTCTTAACTTTTGAGATATACGGTGGTGGAGTTGGGCACACATGTACTACGTACAGAATTTTGCGGGTCTATTTTGACATTGATGGTACGCCACTGATTTCGTCTTAAAATAAAAAATTGCAACCTTAAAATAAAAAAAAAATTAATATAACTAAAAATTAAAAATGTCCTAAAAGTTAAATTACAAAACACCCTGTATACATACGTCCCGTTTAATGTTCCAAACGCCTAAGGCGAAACACCCAGTACATGGGGGTTTGCATTTCAACAAATTGTCAAAGTGAATTTATCGGTACACTAAAATGACTCTCCCTGTATATTGACTTCCAAACGACGGCCCAATCCCCGCACACCGACAATTCAAAATTACATGCTCTTTTTTTTGTTCGTTATTACTTGCTTTCATTATTAATTATCGAATATTTTCATATTTTTCTTTTATTTATTTTTCCTTTTTTATTTTTAGAGTCTTTTAACTTGTATTCCAGAACTTTCGAGCGTTCAAACTGCAAAATTTGAATTGTCCCTGCTTCACCGACCTAATCCTCCTCCCGCATTATTCTACCATTTATTTACAGCAAACGCAGTGGCGTAGGGGCGTCTAAACCAGGTCCGGAGGCGGGTCCCAGGCTAGCAGTTGCAGGCTAGTCGATGCGTTGGGAGCCGCCGTTTTGGTCAGCCCGATGTAGCTTGGCACGTGCTTGGCCGCCCTCTTCCTTATACTGCTAGCGTACAGTTTCAGCACCTGGCAGTTGCAGGTGACCAGTAGGGCGACCAGAATCCCTTGAAGTCCTTGCACGACGTGAAACGATATCCATATGGCGTCCGAGGGGATCAGCTTGGTCAGCGCGGATAGGGTCAGCACCATCGACAACACTATCGCTATCTGAAACACACGGCATTTTTATATACTACAGCCTCAATCGAGTTTTATTTCTGCCTATACACTTTCACCTTCATACACTTTATCGGGATCTTCAAGTCCATCAAAAGAACCTTATTCTTTTTAGAGAATTGGGGCTATCAAAATCTAAAGCACAATTACTCGTATCAAGATTAAAACAGTGGAATTTGTTGGATCAAAGTACAAGAGTCTCATATTTTTGCACATGACAAGAATATTTCGCGAGTTACTTTTCGAAAGAAGATGATTTAGTATATTGTAATGATGCTGCCGGGCTTCTTCCAGACTTCGTTTTCCAGGAAATTCTGATGAATGGAGAGTTTTTATTTATGCCTCAAAGATAAGCCGTTTTACTCCATAATGGTAAGCAACACGAATACATTCTGACATGACTGTCAGAATTGACAAATGTCAAAATTCAAAGCGTGGGAATATCTCCGAAAACATCCGATTGCTCCCAAACCCGTGCAGTAAAATCGCGGAAATGTCCGAGGTGGTTCGGATTCATGGGAAACGAAACCGAAGTGGTAAAGTGATGCTTTCCGCATGCTAGATCGGTGCGTAACTAGGTATTTTGCAGACGGGAGTAGAAAAATACAATTATACCATAATATACATATAAATTAGGCTTAGGCTTCGTGCGTTAATGGATTTTGTTGGGCCACTCTCAATACGATCTACGTAATTCTGGAACATCGGTTTTAAAGCCCTCAGTAGTTCTCCGAATAAATCCTATTTCCAATAAAAGCCTCTATGTGGGACTCGAACAACAGATTAGAGGCCTCTAGCATAAACACGTATCAGCAAGCCGATCATATATGGTACTACCTTGCAAATAATGCTTCAAAAGGTTTAGAAGCCCCCATTGCAGACTGAATATTCCGAGTTTATCAGCCAACTCAACAATTTTCTCAAAGTGTCATGAGTGTTGCGGACGAAACAGATTGGTCAGGAAGGACCTACCCTTGTAGAAACCATGTTGTTTGACGTCACCGTTGTTATTCTTTTGAAAAAACAATAGCTGTAACGAAACAGACTAAGAAAGTTCTCCAAAATGACATGTCATAGAATTGATAGATTCCGTAAGCGTATTTACTGGCTTATTTAATTACCACAACAGCCTAGGCTTACGGTTTTGTTCAATAATAGGAAAATTCTTAAAATTTATAAATTTTATTTAACGTTTCATATAAAAAATTTACATACTTTAGTGGTAATTTCATTGGATTACGAAAGGAAAAATATGAAATAACTAACATAAATAATTAGACTTTCAAATTTGACCTTTTTAATTTTGATTATCTCGTAGTATAACTGACGAGTTACCAATAATAATATCAATTTTTGATAATTATTATCTAGTTTCCTTAAACTTAAATTCATGATTTGCTTAATTTTTATGTTTATGTTAATTTTCATTCCAATATGTTTTTTTGGGCAATTTGAACAAGATATTGAATATACAACATTTGATTTCCGTTTAACCGGAATTTAATTTTTTAATGGGTTTAAATTAGATTTTATTAGTTTATAAGATTTGTGGCAAGCTGTCATATCATATTTGCACAGAATATGTAAATTATTAATATATGGTATTTATAATGCAACGAGGTACTGTACTGGGAAGACGGATGTTAATAAAAATTTGAAAAAAAAATTGAACATAAGCCCAGTGAAAACTGCATCTTGATATATTTATAAAATAAAATAATTTAACACTCAAAAGAAGTTGAATTTTGATAAGCATCTATTCTCTAAGGGTTGTTATGGAAATTAAAGTTCGTTGTTTATCCCAGTTTTTTAAAAATACTATAAACATATTGTTGTGATATTCTTATTTGTAATTATTTATCAACATTGACTCTTGAGTTCTTTATTTTTTAATTGCATAAATACATATTAGGCTAACACATTTTTTGTTATTTGTTAGTAATTATTTTCAAAAGCAAAGAATTTTCAATTAATTCTGAGAAATTCTATTGGAATTTCAAAGAATTCCAATGAAATTCAATTGAAAGACTATTACTATCTGTTACTACTACTATCCATAAATTGGACTATCCGTTAATATCGCCATCCGTTGCTATGACTGTCTGTTATTATGACTAAGTGTTACTGTGACTATGACTATATGTCACTCGCTAAAGGTCCCACTTTTTTTTCCTGTTCTCTGTTCTCTGTAACACACACACGGTAGGTATTTGAAGCTTGTCCAGTGTATAAAATAATATTTTAATGACCTCGTCCATTTCCTCGTCTTGAATTGGCGATTATCTTCAAGATCAATTTTACGTTCGATACGGCGTACTAGGCCGCGGATTATATCGGATTTTTATTAGTCGACGCGATTTTCACAACCCCGTGTATATTTTTAAAATCACGTAGAATAGATTCATCGGGGAACGAGGCATTGTAATCCTGGTCGAAGTTATAGGATTATCCGACATCGAAAGGCTATTTTCTAGTTCTACACAATGGGTCTCGAGTCTTTGTTATCCAATTTCGCAAATGGATGATCCGATTCGCCATTCCATTCTTAAATCCGAACGACTGGAAATTTTTTACGGCACACCGGGGGGGTCTTAACCATATAGAACCCATCGAAAAGATTTTATTATTCATGTCCTAACATCCTTTATAAATATTTTCTTATGTTTAAGACGAGAACTTCGTATGGAGGTCGCAAGTCCCCTAGCAGTCGTATCTCAGACACCATCGCTTGAAAACTTTAGAGAGAGACGTTGTCAAGTCCATCGTTTTTTCGATAGAGGTCCGAATTTTCTATTTTGAATGAAAATAAGATGTTTGTGTTGAGTTTTCGAGATGCAGACAATTTCAAATTCACGAGAAACTCTGGGAGGAAGGCTACTTTGCAATATTATCTAAAAGACGCAAACAAAAACATCCTTCGCACCTAATTTTTGTCGGAAAATAATATCAACTTCTATCTGTGGGTAATTTCTCCAATACCCTGTATATATAATAATATGTCTTGCAAATGGCTTACTACTAGAATGAGTTCCCCAACATTCTACACTCAGACTGCTCTTGTCCGGACATGCCGGGCAAAATTGGGAAACAAGTTTCAACTAGAAACGCAGGAGTATCTAATACCATCTGTTACTACGACTTTTCATTACTAGGACAATATGTTAATATGACTATCTGTTCCTCTGACTACCTGTTATTACGAATAACTGTTACTATGACTACGACTATCTGTTGCTATGAAATTCGAGACCTCGCTAAAGGTTGCTCGTACTAGGTTCGACAATATGTTCGTATATATTACAGAGGTATTTGACTGCGATCGTTTCAGTAAGTACGTATTTATGTACCTGATTCTCGAATTTTGACCCTGTTTTCACTGGATAGTTCAAGAAGTAAGGGTAAGTACCTGTACACAATTTATCTTACAGGTTAGTTTGAAAATAATCATTTTTGTGTTGTGTGCCTGTCGATTAACAACATTTTTTTTCTTGAGCTATAAGGGGCTGCGGGTTTGGAGTAATAAACAATACGCAAAATTAATCACGGGGTAGGTTGTAAAAGCATTATATTTCTGGTCGAAGTATAACATGAGTTTTCCAACACAGCATTGACTCGTTTGAGACAGTTCAAACAGAAATTTAAAGTTATAAGTAAGTAATAGTCGAACAATGTTAGCTAGACTTATCTAAATGATACAGGGTGAATAAAATCCGGAGTATTCTCGTTGAAAAATAAAATGAAAGAATCGACGGCTAAACTAAATTCGACCTCGAAAATTTCAATTTCCTTTCGAGTACGCGAAAAACCAGGTATCGTCGTCGTTTCTTTCATGTCGAAAGTTAATTCACGTACACCGTCTTCTGATAAGGAACGGTTAAGCGTCGGCGGATAAGAAAGAGCTAGGGGAAAATTTTTAATCTGGCGAGATTTACCGCCCACGTAGCCATTTAAATTTACTTTAAAAGAACTCGTATCTTTAAATTATGCTCGACTGTTCGCGTGTTAACGTTCTTCCGTATTATAGGGGGTTCGGGTATACAGGGTGATATGGAAACGGCGTCGCAGATTTTGTTCTGTCGGAATAAAATAAAAAATGACAGTAGATAAACGAAGGAGATTCTGACGGACATAACCTAAATGAAGAGGGTTCAGATGAACATCACCGAAACAAGTGGCGCTGTGATGAACACAACCTAAACAAAGGGAGTTCTGACGACGCGGATTTATAACACGTACGTGGCGACATAGTACGACACGAGGGATAAAAACTTATACTTCGCCACTTGTTTTTAATCACCGTCACCTATGGCGTATTACGTTATATTCGTCAGAACTCCCTTGTTTCGGTTATATACGAGGGCAGCGCCAATATTTCCCTGCCTGAATATGAAAGAAACAAAGTAGAGTAACACCTTTTTATTTTTCAATGTAATTCCCCTTAACCCTTAAATACACTTATTACATCTCATTATTAATAACTCAATCCCTTTAAAAAAATATTCTTTTGGTTCGTGTGCAAAATGAGCTAAAAAAACCTCTTTTAACTCAACTTTTTCGTCAAACCGCCGTCCACGTAATTCCTTTTCCAAATATCCAAACAAATAATAGTCGCTGGGGGCCATATCTGGACCATAGGGAGGATGATATATCTGTTGGAACCCGAACTCTAAAATGACAGCTTGTGCAACACCAGCAGAATGGACAGGTGCATTATCGTGCAAAAGACGCACGCCTCTCGTCAGTTTTCCTCGACGTTTTACACGGATGCAGTCTCGCAATTTATGTAATAATGTTGCGTAATATTTACAGAATCCCAAAAGATCGTGGCCATCACCTTTTTTGTTGACTGGCACACTCCGAATTTTCTTGGAAGTGCTTCACCCTTACGACGTCACTCCATTGATTCTTTTTTCGATAGAGGGCCATAATAGAGAACCATAGTTTCTATTACAGGCTTTGGTTCCGACCTACAGAGTTCCAAAAAAGACCGCGCACACTCGACACGGCGTTGTTTTTGAATAGCCGAAAGGTTTTTAGGAACCCGTCTTGCATACCTAAATGATCATGCAGGATTCGACGAACACTTGTATCAGAAAGCTTAGCAATTTCTGAGATTTTCTTGACCTTTAAACGTCGACCACTCAATACCACCTCTTCCACAATCGCAACAATACCTTCCGTTAGGACCTCCATTGGTCGACCAGTTCTTGAATCATCTTCAAGAGACTCCTGCCCCATTCGAAAACGTTTTGCCCATTCTTTCACTAGAGAAAGTTATAGGTTCAAGTTGTTAAAAATGATTACAGAAGGCAAGGCACTTTCAAACTTGCAGCATTGAGGGGAGACTGCGTGAAAAGAAGAAGAACTAGTAGTATAACGCTTAATGTCAAATATTGGATTCTGAACACAAAAATTACCCAGGCACAGTTGAAAAATCGCAGACACCAAAGTGGATAGTGTTTATTAGTTTTGGTTTTAGTTAATTAGTTAAGTCAAGTATTTTTGCTTTGACAAAATGCTTTGTAAAACTAACGAATATAACAGCTCATTAAGGGACAACGTTTTGCCAAATTTATTTACATAATTTAGTTTCATATCAAACTTTTTATTTTTTAAATTTGACTCTCAGTTCCAACATTCACTTGGTAAATTACATGGCACCATTTCAATGACACCCTGTATGTTTTCAATTGTTACTGTTTACAAAAATTAAAAATCTCAATACTTTCGATCAGCGACCGGCGTATTCGTAGCTCGAGGGTTGTGGTTAAGGATTAGGAGCCGGTCAGAGTAGCCGGGGTATTTATTACAGGCTTTCTTGGGTCGGACATAAAGGAAAATGGGCAAAATTTGAATGGATGTCGCTAGCCACCAGAGCAAAGGCCAGCCAGCGTCGTCGCAAAAGTCGCTCTGGTAGATTAAATTCGTCATATTCATTACCTTTTGTTGAAAAATAAAACGAGGAACCTTATTTTTTTGAGTTATTTACTAACCAAATCGAACACTTTTTACGGAAAATTTTGTATTTTCATAAAAACCCTTTCATAGCATCTTTTTTTATAACTAATAGCTTAAGGTATCCAGATATCCAAAAAGCAAGAACCTAATTTACCAAAGAATTACAATCCAATGTCTATAGTTCACACTTTTTGAATCAGTAATAAAAAACCGGTTAACACGCTTTTTATATAGCAGCAATCATTGTGAGAGACGTAGTGGAGGGAAAAATAACTAAAGAGTTCTTTTTCAAAAATATACTACGTTCCATTCTAGTAGCAAAACGGCATTTTAAAGTTGGTACAAACATGTACAACACGAACACTTCTGCTGACAAGACCGTCGGAATTGACAAATGTCGAAACATCCTGTTGCTTCAAGGCCGGTGCGGTTATATCCGGGATATGTACGAGGTGCCACGGGTAGCTGGGGATCGAAACTGACGTGATAAAATGGAAAATAAATAACTAAATCCATACGTTTTCGTTTTTTTAACTAGCATTAGTAATATAATTGAAAATATACAAACTAACTAAAGCTAGCCGAAATTACCCAGAAAAACCGCAGGCACGAAAATGTCTGTCGGTGATGGTGGTTGGTTTATCGATTCAACGAAAATTACACATCATGGATAATAAAATCTGGTGGGTTGCGGTTACACGTGCCGCCCCTAATACTAATTCGAAGGAAAAATGCAATTGGGCATGCCGTCGCGTCCCGACGGACTCACCTTCGTGAAAAGTATTATCTGGAGGGTCCGCTTGCGTCGCATTTTGTCGCGTATTCGCTTGTCGGTCTGCATTCCGACGATATACCTAGACAGGACCGTGGAACGCAGCAGATAGTAGAAGGTCGCTGCGGCGAATGCGCCAGATGGCAGCACTGAGCCGTAAACGAAGGCGTCGTCGTCGAGAAACCTGAAACGGAAGAGACGTAACCCCCAAATTCCTGATTGTTATTTTGAGGTTAACTTTAAACTAAAAAAAACAATTAATTCAATATTAATAAAAATGACAACCAAGTTAAATTAAACATCAGATGAGTAATTTTTATATCAAATATATATAAAGCAAAGCATCCCAGAGGATTCTATAATTTCTCCCTTAATGTTCTCCATTTTTTTATTATTTATTTATTTACATAGCCAAAGTCTAACCAACAGGCAAACGTGGCTGTTCAGTTACAGGATACCGCATATTAAACATCACATTACATGGTCGGGAACACAAAAGAAACTTAACTAGGTATTTCCCAAGCTAATCGACAGTAATTAAAAAAATGTTACAAAATGTTGTTTCTTTTAAACTCGTTTAGGCTTAAGTTGACTAAGTCCGCACGTACGAGTACATCTAATAGAAAAAATAGTTGGATCTGATTCTTTATATAGAAAACTACTAGCATTAAAGGACAAGATTGTTGACAATTTTATAAAGAAAAATCTGCGCAATTTCTGCCTGTTTCAAGCGATCTCAATTTATAAAACCGCATAAAAGTAGTGCCCGTCTCTATTATAACTAAAATTAAGGTTTCTAAAAAGATTTTGTAGACACTCCCTATCCTGTCGATCGGATACTTGTGATAGATACACTGGATGAATATTCCAAGATATACCTATAATCTATAACTTGTCGAGTTGTTGTATATACACAACTCGTTAATTTTTTGTTATAATATATCAATAATATGTAACAAATATATAGACTTTGATGTTCATATTTATGAATGTGTTGCTAAGAATTTAATTAATTTCTTCATTATTATCATAAAAAAAATGATTTTATTTTCATCTAAACCCTTTCTATTACTGCCAATTTGTGATAATAATTACCTTGTGTTGGCAAACTGTGATATCATATTCGAAAAGAATATTTTTGTTTAATTGCATGATTTTTTGATATTTCCTTTTTATCATAAAACATACCGGTACGTTGTTTAAATATTTCATTAATGTTATTTCAGGGTAATGATTCTCAATTAATATTTTGATAAAATTTCCGGTTTATAGTCTGGTGATGGCATTTTTATATCACGATCTGTCGCAGTTACGTACCATGTATGTTTTGTATACAGTTTTGTTTATATGTTACCATCATTATCAAAGTTATGTCAGGAAAAATATTTTTTCTACCGCATTCCTTACATTCCAAAAACGCAGTGATAAATTTTTTAAGTCACTCGTGACTCAAATGTCGTTTTTCAAACTTGTTGAAATGATATTCTATTCCATCTGTTTAAATTTCAATTGCAAATTATGTTTTAAATTATTAAAAGCATTAAGAATATCATTAACATAATTATAAAAAAAACGCTTTTTTATTTTTCCAAATATCCTTTTTCCTTCCCCTATTCCTTTTTCAGTTTAGAAGAAATTTCATTTTCTTTAAAAAGATACACAATTAAATCTCATCTTATGAATGGCGTTCCTTTGTTTTATTATACACAATTAATACGTTCTCAACAAATTTATGCCCTTATGTAAAAAGAAACAGGCGGCTTTGAGACGACGCCGACAAAGGAATCTGCTTTAATTCATTCCATAAACTTAGTCGCCCTGGCGTTTCCGAAGATTCAATCCCGCGCCCGCACAATCAGCGCCGCCATTTGCAATTAACTCGGATATAACGTTTTCGCTGGTTAGCTGGCGGTGCGATAACTTGGTTAATGCAAACGATGCGACCGACGTATTAGGCATTACTGTAGCTTTCGAATATTTATCAGGTTATTTACGATTTATGCGTTTACCTATTAAATCCAACCTTAAAAGTAACCTTTGGACCCATTTGGATGCAATATTATAAAACTGAAAGTGTTTAGGTATTCATCGGTCTAAATCTATAAAAAACTGTTTCTAGAATCCCTTGAAAATGGATTGGGCTTTTTGAAAATCATTTTTAATATTTAATAGTCCATTTTTATCTAACCTGACACGAGAACATAAACATAACATAACATTCAAAACCAATAGAGCGTTTTTTGTTTTTGTAAAAATTATGCTATACAAAGTTCACTAAATAGCATCAAAACTAGTTTTATAACAAAAAGGAATTTTAATATTAATAAAATAATGTTCTTATTTTAGTATTTTGAGGTAGTTTTTTATTTTAAACAAGTTGAAACTACTATATATTAACTTTTGGATTCCTCTTGAGACCTGTTGGCTTCTTCAGAGCTTAACTGAAATTGTTTTGCATTCTCCTCTATACCTGCTTACATATCGTTTGAGGGGGGCGGAGCTAAATGAGGGGCATGAACATTGTCTCGGATGACTGATTCCCATATAAACAAGAACTTTCTCGTTTCTCTAGTTTTAACATTATATTTCGTATGAACTCTGAGTAAGTGGTTTTATCATTCCATCCATATTTTCAACTCGTGCATTTTTAAAGAGACTTTCCTGATGCTTTGAAGATCAACCGCGTGTCCACTATCTTTAACAAGCCTGATATAGAGGCCCTATCTCAATATTTTATATTAAAGGTATTGAATTTCTTCCCAAGTCTGAAGTTAATTAACTGGAATCTAATAATCTCTTTAACCCTACTCAGTTTGACTTTAGACTTGACCTGCCCACTATAGATGCTATACTGCTAGATTCTTCCATTGCGTCAGTCATAAAATTCTACTAAACAAACTAGAATGAAACTTTTGTAATCATATCTCGCTGATCGAAAACGGTATGTCATAGTAAGTTAGAGAAATAATGACGTGAAACAAGTGAATCATCCTCAGGGATCCATACTGGGTCTCATTTTATTCACATTGTGTATAAATGGCCTGCATTACTTTTCGCTTCCTGACTCATGTGTTTTATATCTCAAAATATAACTGAAACGTGCTTGAAGGCTGCAGAATTGTTTACTCAAAATTAATTGTGCTTTAACAATGAGAGAGTGATAATTTCAAGTAATCGGGAAATGCAGAAAGGTAAATCAGCTAAGCTAAGACACTGTAACAATTGTAATTGAGACGTTCACAACCGTAACCTTAAACTCTCTGTATCAGTGAGGAACTCTTCGGATGTGACCCTCAGCAACTGTTTGGACGGTTTTGAAAATATCATATGATTAACGCGATTGTCAAATAATATTACAAATATTCTGGATTCCTCCTGCGTCGTCAGAAAGAAGAATCCAAAAGATTTGCACATAGTATTATGCTTACAGTATCGGAAATTTCGTTGGAAACAAAAGTTATTTCCCAATATTTCGTTTTTTCATACATTGGGCTTAAAATTGAAAACAATTCAGGTACAAAGTGTCTCCAACATTTTTATACGTAACCATATCTTTTGTGAAGTGAACTTTGTCAACCTAGTTTGGTTTAATTGCCCTCTGCGCTTATAAATTATCTCAACGCATTGTCCGAACTAAAACTGAGGAAAACTATCTTCCGAGCGGGGCAGTTCCCGATCGTCGGATCCGTTACAATGGATACTGAACGACGCGCAGTTGGAATTTAGACGGCAGCGTCTTAATTAAGGGTCACGGAAAGTTTCCTCCTCTCCTAGAAACTATATAGCGTGCTCGGAGACGAATTCGTACAAGCGGAATCCGACTACGATTCGCGATTATCAACTCGCCAAATTGTTCGTCGGGGAGACGAGCTTTGTGCAATAAATTGCACGGACGATTATTGCATGCCGAACGTGAAATTGGCACAACGTTAATTAAAACCCGAGCCGTTCTATTTTAGCGAGTCGCCTCTTTTTTTTTTTGAAATCCCGTTTTTGATTACGCGTTTTTAGTAGTAGTAGCAAGTCCAGGTAGTGCAAAAACCAACATGTATATAATTGTGAATGACATCGAGTATAAAACAAACAAACATAAAACAACAAAACCATCGAAAATTCAAATAAACAAGAAAAAAGAAGCAAATCAATTAAAGATGTAAAAATCCGGGCTATATTTTAATTTCGCTTTAAATTCAACAACAGCGTACCCCATTATCGATAAACATTTAGAATTTAATACAAGGTCTAAGTTTGTCTAAATCTGTAAAGATAACTATGGTTATCGCTATTTTTAGGAATACACGAACGATCTTGTGAATATGACGCAGCTGTCGATACAACCAAACACAAGTCGATGGCGTAATGCGTAATCTTTAAATACAAGGTTGGACATGACGCGCAGATGAATAACTACTCCACAGTACTGGTTACAGGAAAGTTAAATGGGAATGCAATAGAGCATGGCTTACTATTATTAAATAACTAGCTGGTTTGCATTAGGTATACTAAAATCTGCTTTTCTCAAATCGCGGCCTTTGAGAAGAAAACAGTTGACAGTTCCCATCTAAAAACAAAACTTTGGAGATGATGATACTTCTTTACATTCAAAACATTATATCAAGGGTTATAATAATGATATTTATAATAATATGCTTTAATTGCTTTTCCACACTTCATAATGTTCAGCATCGTCCCATATTACATAATAGTGATCAATTAACCATGTAAAATAGCTTTCCCTTTATTCATTTAAATGCCTGTTATGGGGTTTAAGCTTTGGGAAAATAACACAGCAATGGAATCCTAAGGCCCAGAGACTGAACCTTGATCAAAGTAATAATGGTGGTTTAGCTTGGTGTGATCATTGTTAATATTGCTGAGCGTTGCCGTAGTCCAAATAATCGGTTTTTCAAAATAAATAATAAGCTTCAAATCGTTTTAATTTTACAAGTTAAAAGGTCAACAACAATTTGTCAAATACTAACAATTGAAGCAAGTCAACGGACAAATTATCTTAAAAAAAAGAACATATAATAACTACGTTAAATCGGCTAGGGAAACCGTAAAATGACGTCAGGACGAACGCGACGTTGCCAAAGCATCGCAAAATGTCGCAGAAACGCCTTGGCATAACTACTAACAGCAAATTCATTGCTAAAATTTGTTTGTTGTTTCGTTGACGCATTTTTTAATAAACGTTGGGGGCGCTTTTGAATATTTTCGGGTGAATCCGAGCGATTTAAATGTTAATTAGTTTAATGTTTAGTTAACCATTTGCTCGTTCGAATTATATATGCAAAACCTAATTAGCCAAAACGCGAAAATTCATGTTTCGTGAGCGGGAAATTATTATTAGATCGAATGGTCGCGAGGCCTACAATAACAAAAAAACAATAAATTAAAATTAAAAACGATTTTATTTAGTGACGAAAGAGTGGAAATGAATTTGCGTTCTAGTTTTTAAAATTTTCCCAAATTCACATAAAAAATCGACAAAATCAATTTTTACAGATTTTGTTGTGGTCATTTGGTGAAAAATCTTCATTTGAGACTACTGTTTAATTCAGAAAATTTTCGATTGATAACTGGCGGCTTAAGACACTTTGCACTATAAAAATTGTTGAAAAAGACGATTTTTGAATGAAATTTATTGGAAATATATCGGCGGAGTTTAAATGACAGTGAAATCAAACCCGAAGTTCTGATTAAGAACTTTAATCACCATTCACAGAATACAATTAACAAAAAATGAATAAACGGAATGGCGGTTGCCATGGTTACGGACAGACAGTCAGCTCGCACGGCATAATGAGCGCATTCACTAGATCGAGAGTCAGCAAAACTTTTCTCTAACAAAATATATATAAAATGTGAGTTTTCACTAACTTCACACTAAATTTAATGGAAATATATTAAAAAAGTTTATTTTCACTAATTTTTTGTGGCAATTTCGCGCGAAAGTGAAATTTTTAGAATAACTGCCTATTTAACCTACTTTTTTTTCCAAAAATTGGCGCAAAGGCCTCTTTTGATCCAAATTTTTGACGAAAATATATTAAAATATGGGGATTTTCACTAACTTTTTTTGTTCAATTTCGTCAGACAGAGATTAGAAAAGGTTTAATTTCACTGTTTTTTTTAAGTGATTTCGTCAGAATATGAGGTTATAGAGCCCCATTTAAGATAATTTTCACTACAAAATTTGATTATAAGACGAATTTGAGTAGAATTTGATGCAAATGCACTTAAAAAAGTGGATTCTCAAATTCATAGACGACTTAAACTAAATTGAAACAGTCTCAACAGGGACAAAAAGAGCTCGGTAAAAGGTTTTGGGGGTGATTTTCATGTAAACCATCAGTTTCTGGCAAAATATTATATAGGAAAATGTGACTTTCGGAAAAAAAATTGTACGGTAGGTGGGCATTTGATGTATACATATTACAAATAAACAATTTTTCTGGGACCTGTATATATTTCGAAGATTAAAAAATAAAGGATGTTAACATTCCTGAAAACTATGTAAAAATTGTATTTTTGACCTATATACAGAAACCGCTTCGCCGATATATATATGGGCGCACTTATTCGTCATAATCTGCGTTTTATCTGAAATATTGGGGTCGTAAAAAGGCGCGGCGATCTTCCCCGGGGAATAAACGGCTTCCCGCCGAATTCGGAGCGAGGGAAACTGTTGCCGTCCATAACTTATGATCCGCCGTATCCTTTGTTACGACGCGGTTATGCAATTCGCAAGTTATGGCCGGAAAACGCTCAATAAAAGTCGGTGCGAATTTTCCTATGCTCAAAATTTACTATTGAGACTTTTTTGCGTGGTTCGAAAAAAAAATTCGAAATTGGCCTTCTAAACTTATATGGGTAGGTATTCGAACTTTTGTTGGCGACGAAATTAATTTTTCACGAAAATGAAATACTGTGATGTATTTTTTTTTCATTCCATTTAAAAAAAAAAATTCTGTAAAGTACTCTATAATCGGCAGTAATAAAAAAACTCGCTCTAAGGGTTGAACATCAGCTCCAAATGAGAGTTTTCGAAGAAATTTTATTAAATTTTTGCAGTGAAAAGTGTCTCGAATCAGCAGCTATTGATCTAAAAACCTCCTTTTCTGAAGAAACGACCACAAAAAAAACAAACACAATCACTTCTTCAGTCGATTTTCATTAAATGACAGTCATAATCACCTTTTCATTTTTTTTTGAAAAATCGGCCGTTAATATAATACCTTCTTTTCTGAAAAAATGATTGCGAAATACAAGTCAAAATTTTGAAGAATATTTTCGTCAAATTCCAGTCAAAAAACATCTTTTTCAAAAATTGTGGATTTTGAAACCCAAAAATATAATTTTCGACGAGTAAGCAGATAAATATATACTCTAATATAAGTATACAAATTACATTATGTTACATTTAAGGTCACGAGTAGATAGATGATTGTGAATATATACGTATAGAAAAAATAAATAAAAATTTCGCTTTAAGGGCATATATTTTTTATAAAATATACGATGTCAGATATTAACGAGTTAGCAGTTAAAGTTGAAATACTTATAAGTTAAACTCACCAGCAGTTCCTTTCTTTCATGCCTTTCGTGTCGAGCAAGTTGCCTGCCCGCTCGTAATACTGCGTCGAGATGCTGGCTAGTAGTAAGAGTGACGGCACACCCCATCCGAACAGAGAATATCTACGAAATTGTAGTACATATTAATGGGTTATGTGTATACCGTCTACGGGACATGATGATTATAGCCTGTGAAAAACACCCTGTATATCTCTGAAGTGTATTAATGTCAATACTCTGTGGATCTGTTCTGTCCTGCTAGTAATTGTCCTTCATTGTGAACAAAAGCAAAGTGGACGATTTATCTTGCAAGGGTCAGCCCTCGATAAATGAGACCAATAAATGAAATAATTATATCGGAGCTCGTGCAAACCACCCGTAAATTAAAGTATTTAATCAACTTAAAACTTTCAAAAGACCCTAACAGCGACCGGACGAAGCTTTCAAATATCCCTTTTTTCAAGTTATTAAAAACAAACACGTTTTCCGGCGGCCTTCGATAGCTTTTCAGATGCATGTCATTTTAATTTCGGCGTCCAGGAAGTTGTTGTCAAACCCCTATTGTTTCTGTTTGGCCACCGAATTCGTCGAACTGTCGATAGAGTCGACGAAACAATGGCAGTCGATAACGGGGTTCTCAAAATCGAAGCATAAGTAGAATGGATAACGAGTCCCTGTAATAGGTCGAAGGGGCAATCCTGACTTAGGTATACTGTAGAAACGAGGAATTTTGGAATCGCGAAAAAAAGGTTTAGTTTAGTTATCTGATATCGACTATACTTTTCACAAATCAAACGTCAATATTTTGTGGTCGCGAGTCTTTCTTTAAACGCGCATCACATCCAACGGTTTCAAAATTCACAACCAGGAGAGCTACGACACCCATTTCTTCGTGCGTACCGTATAAATTTGTTGCTAGAGGTTAATCGAAACTGTTTCGAAACCAGAACAAGTATAAATAGTATTACAGTAGCCTTTGAAAACTTTGCTCGGAAACACCCTGTACGCCTCTGACGTGTGAAATTGGAAATATCCTGTGGATTGATTCTGTTCTGTTACTAGAAAAGTCAAACACACATCGAATCCAACGATATCAAAATTCACAATCAGGAGAGCTACGACACCCATTTCTTCATAAGTACCGTATAAATTTGCTGCCTATATCGTCGTCGTTGACGGGTACGAGGTGAAGTCCGGTCTTGAACTGGCTGTACATGTTGTGCGTCATCAGTAGCATCCACGTGAAAACGCAGAGTCGGACGTACTGCAGAGCGAACGCCATGGCGATACACAGTTCCGAATCCTGCAAGGAAGAAAGTCGGCGTAAAATTGCGAAAATGAGTGTTTTCGGAGGATTATTCAAAAAACTATTTAATTGGTATCCGCGTCGCAGCTACCTTTATTAAAAGACATTAATTATCTTCACAATCACCTGACACAAAAGAACGTTTTTCCCTCTTAGCGTTCTTTTTTTAGCGGAGCACTTATTCTGTCCGGCAAGTACATAAATCATCCGGCGGACAGTTTATTGAGAGAAAATTTCCTGGAGGTGAATTCGAAGCAGCAAGTCCGTCGCAGGAAATGGGAATTTATCTGATTAAATTTAAATTTTACATTTCTTCTCGCGCAGGGTCCGCATCTATAAATTCGACACGACAAATTCGTTATTCTGAGGTCTTGTACGATGCAATTAAAAAGTTTATCGGATGGGTATTAGAGATTATGGGACATCTCTTGGTTAGTAAACAATTTTAGTGCACTAGCTGACACGAAAGTTACGATGGCCCCTTGGACATTGGGATTTTAGATTTGTTTAATTAATTAACTACCCAAACAACAAGAGACTGTTGCTGTTCGTATAGTCTTTCTGTCATAACCAAGGCAAAAACAGGTGAGAAGTTGGTGTTTTTTTTATTTACTTTGGGGGTCTTTTGAATGCCCGCAATGAAAAGGTCAGACGACCTCTTAAAGATATTTTCGCTTGTTTTGGTTCGGGAAACTTTTCCAGCAAACCATTCGCTATAGTTTTTCGCGTTTTCGTTTCTGCTTTCTTATACTTTCTCCACTGGAAGAATAAATTAGAACGAGATGCATAGTTGGAGTCATATGGTACCTTGAATATGTTGTAACTAACATCTTTGCTGCCTCAATAATGTAAGATTTAAACACGTCTTGATCAATTTTATAATAACTGGTAATGACTTCAAGAACTAACATTTGTATCAAGCCTAGTAATTTTGGCTGCTATATCTGGGTTTAAAAAAACGTCTGCCAGTATTGTCATTGCTGCTAGTACCGAAACCTAGCTTCGACTTATCTATTATTAAGCCCATTTGTTCTTTAAATTATTTTTAAATCCATTACCTATTTTTAGCCACAGCAAGCAAGTTTCAACTAAGTCAGGTGTAATTCATACTCAAAAAATCGGATTCTGGCATGCAGAACCGGAATGGAAGATTGGTATAGTCTGTTCATAGAAAGTGACTAAGGAAAAACCCGGGCAAGCTGCAAGAATCAAATATGGCCGAACAGGTCCGTACTTTGTTTAGAATTGAGTTATTTGATTAATATTTTAATCGGTTATTCCTTTGATCCCTCCCATGGGAGACGAGTTCCTCCGGTACCTCAAAACCTCCTCAATTTTAAATGCGGTCCTTTTTGCGGGTTCCGGTAGCCCTAGGGCCCCTCAACACACGATAATACCCTTTACGCAACGATCCGAAATCAAATAACTCTAAACAACTCAAAAAAATCTTTAAAAAACGACCTCCTCAAAAGCGATTTTTGAGGTCGCTTGTCCCTCAAGAAATTTTTCTGAATCCAATGGTGAAAACACGAACCTCCTAGATCTTACCGATTCCGAGATCCCACGAGATTCCACGAGTCTGCTAATTGCAAGCATATGCTTTTTGTTTCAAGGCTAATGTGATTTATTGAAGGGATAACTTCATATGACAAATAATTTGTTTTCTAAATAACATATTTTTATTATGAGTGTATGGAGCAATTTTATTGCTGCGTATACTTTTCGTATGTTGTGGTTGATATGCTCTTTGTCTCTAATTTAATTTTCGGTAAAACAGAACCAATTAAAAAAAATGAACGCGTTTTCAGCCCCCCACCGCCAAAGGCTTCGTCACGCTCCGAAATCTAGTCGTTTCCGTCGCTCAAAAGCGGAGATTCGAATTTTATAAGAGCCGTGAAACAATTAAAACTGCCGACGACTCTCCCTTTGACTGCCCCCCCCCCTCCCGCCCCAACTAAGGTGAAATTTTCATTTCGTTGACCCTTTTCGGAGCCGGTGGGGTCGCTCGCTGTCGACGAAGGCCCTTCCGACAAATTTACTCGGTTGTTTAGGAATTCGTCGCCCCCATCCCCATTCGGAACGAATTTTTCGAGTTCCTTTGTTTAATTATATCGGCGCGTACATCACTGGCCTAGCCTCCGCAGGAAAATTTAAATGTAAATTTAAATGCAAAGCTCATTGACGTAACTGCAGATCAGATTCAAAATACCCTAAATGAAGGGAATCCGGAAGAGATTAATAATCTTGTTGACAAGAAAAAGAAAAATTAAAATCAAATGAAGGAGAAGTTAGGACATCATACGCTTGGTTGAACTTGCAACGAATTAATGAATCATTGCAAAGTTAGACTCGATTATAAGCTGAAAGAATTCATACTTGCTTTGCCTCGTAAAACGGCCCAGGCAATTTTCCTCTTTTTATTATGTGGAGGAGTTTTAGTTCCTTGTTACTTTCGACAATCGGTGAAATCGAATTGTTCGGAAGCATCTGCGCTCGTATAAAAATTTTATATCTCGGTAACGGTAACATATGATCGCCGTTGATACACCGTCACCGTCGAAAAAAAAAATTTTGTTTTGTCTGTTTGTCCGTTCTTCGTTCTCGTCTTTTGATTTTTCCTGAATAATTTTCGAACCGTTGGAGCTACAAAATTGAAATTAAGCCTCCACGAAGCACATAACCTTATAAGAAATGGGTGTCGGGAAGTATTTAAAAAAAAATAAAAATCGCGTGTGCAAGAGACTACAAAAAAGACCATTTTTCAAAAACGGTTTACAAATCCGAAAAAATTCTTGAACCAGAAGAGGCAGAGGACACGACTCCATAAACTTTTATTCTTGACAACTTTTCAAAAATATACAGGGTGCGTTGCAAATTCAAAAAAACTGAAATATGGGTCCAAGTATTATTGAAAATTGGCAATAATTTGAAATCTGTGTTTTAGATGTCAGTTTCTTTTACACGCCCATCTAGACAGGGTGTTCGCGACATTCCGTGCAATATTAAAAAACATAATAAGTGCTCCAAATTTGCAGCTACCGACTTCAGTCTTGGGAGAGAAGTAGAAGTCTGGACTCGCATTTAGAATCTTTAAATTGAGAGCAATAAATTAACGCGAAGTATTTTTTTTTCAATTTTTGATTTTTTTTGTAGTTATTTGGGCATCCAGAAAAATATCTTTTCCTCCAACGGTATTAACGGTAAATCAAAATTCGTACAAACAATAGCTAATCCGTCCAAACAGTGTTATAGGCCGTATCAAGGGCTACAATTTTTGTATTTACGGTTTTCCTCTATCACATACGCTGTTCGAGAGACGATGACGTCATTTAATATTCCCACGTATTGCATAGTTTCAGAAAACAAGTAGTTTTTGAAAGCCATTTAGTCCATTGGAAAAATTCGGATACCAGGAAACTAAGGAGATCCAGGGCTATATCCTCTATTTGGAACATTGTTGGAAGTACATACAGGGTATGCGTTTGTGGGCAAAAAATTCTAATAGATCCTAATAGAATGTGGGAACAGAAATATGACAAAGTTGACCGATAGGAATGCGGAGGTAAGAATGAAAACAGAATCTTCTAGGCATGGGAGAGTGGGTAAGTCATCATAGAACACTGCTGTAAAAGAAAAGAAAAAAGCTTTACAAAAATCAGTATACGGAAATGCCACAAGGCCTGTAGGTATTCGCATTGATTTAGTCAAGTATGGAAAAGATTATTACATACATTACATTTACGATAAAAACCATGCCAAAATTATTAAAATGAAGATGTAGAAGAGTAGTGTATTGAGAAATAATAGAAAAACGAATGGACCCACTCACTTGGTTTTTGTAAACCTGGAGAGAGCCTACGACACAGTACTTTTCAAGATTGACGAGTAAAACTTTGTGATAATTGACGTCAAAAGTCAAGACGATATTCTTTGAGACAAACCATATTATTTCTATAATCCCCACCATTACTGAAATCTGGACACGTTACTTATTTGTATTTTTAGGGCGAAATTACCAGAGATTCTTAAGCGACGTCAAGTTTGATTGCCGCTCGCGGTGTCGCGCGTTCAAGATGGCGTTCGATCGATCCGCACGTCGTTCAATATCTATTAAGGGCGCGTTAGGGAGCGTTATTGGTCGTAAACAAAGGTCACCTACGTTAGCCAAGGTCGCAACCCGCCCTGACGTGAAGTTACCGCGGAACATATTTTTACATTGCAAGCAATATGGCAGTTTGGTAACTTTGTTGGATTCTTCGCCCGAAGAAAGTCGGTAAATAAATGTGACGTTGCCAAGAAAATTATTTTGAGTACCGTCCATATATGTATTTTTTGGGTAGGATGTATTTTTTTTCGGCAAATTTGAATAAGATGCTATTTTAAATGTGGGAAATGGCAATTTCCAACACACATTTATCAGAACTGCAATTAATTAATCAACTTCCATTGCAGCTGAAAGAAAACAAATGAACTGATGTTCAGATGTGGTCGTCAAAGGGCTAAAGACGAAAAACTGGTTACAAAACTTTCTCACCAACAATGTGTTGGAAGAAACTCGACCTAACATCGCTGTAAACCACATTTACTTTGATTCATTTATAATGTAGCTTCGAAAAATCTATATTCTCTGCCAGGTGCAGAAATACTTCTTCAGAACTGGATGGCATATTACCAAACTGTTCCAGAATCGCCTTTGCTACACTACTATCGCGACTCGAAGGAAGAAGAAATTTATTTCTCATCATTCTACTTTTCGTTTTGTCTCGTTTTCTTGTAGTAAGTTTTAAAAAAACAATTAAAACAAAGAAAATGTTGGTTAATAGTTAATGAATTATTGTCGTCACAACGAAAACACCATTTCTAAATGATCCAGTGACATTTTTTTGTAGAAGGGGGATACTGGAGTATCCCCGAACGCTTACTCCCACTCCAGCGTAGTTCCACCCCATTGACCCGCCGTTTGTTTGCACGACTGGCATAATGAATTCCCTCGGGTG